TACAGCAGCAGTAGCAGCAGCCACGCCGGAGGCCGCGAGATGGAGATGCCGGTCTGTACTCTACATATCTCACGCAGGTCGGTCGGTCAGTCGGAGATGTGCCTGTAGGCTTCCGATCTCCTTGACTTTCGTCCAGGGTTCTCACCCCCACGATGTCGGTCGGCGGTGGTGCACGATTGAGTTTTTTGTTTTTGCCGGAGATGCCGGAGAAGCAACAGGACATGACAGAGATATCTGCCTGGGTACCAAACTAGAGGGAAGGAAGGAAGGGAGGAAGGAAGGAAGGAAAGCGTGAGTGAAGCTTCGGAGTCGGAACGACTGCCATACGGTAGTTATGAACTTATGATACCGGCGATCTCGATTCTCGGCCCTGCCGAACTCCCCGCCGTGCCCCGTGCCCCGTGCTCGGCCGTGCTCGGCCTCGTTACGAGATTGCGACGAACGGGATATGCGGAGATATCCGATGTCGCTGTCGTTGTTGATGTTGCTGTCGTTGCGGCTGACCAGCCTCGTCCAGGTAAGTCATGACCCACGGGTGCTACCTACAGGAGTACATGGTAGGTACAACAGTCGAAGTCACCTGTGCAGTGTCCAGTGTCCAGTGTCGATCTCTGCCCTTCCAGGTGAACGGCGACGGTAGAATACAGCCTGAACTTTGAAGTTCAAGATGGACCAGGGACCAGGGCAGGGCTAGGGTTTATAGTAATCCTCGCGGTGAGCGGTGGGAAATCTTGGAAATCTTGAAATTCCGGAAATTCCGATATCTGTACAGAGCTGTCGTTTCGAGTTCGAAGCACGGCATGAGAATACCAACTTTCTTACCAAGAAGTATGTCACCGTCGTAATCCTTCCTTCTTGTCTGGCCCGAGTCGAGTTGTCGGGCGAAAACTTATACCTTTTGCACTTTGCACTTTGCTTTGCTTCGGCGGCAGAGGCCAGCAAAACTCCGGATACCTACTCTACCGGTACTCTACTTTACCTGGAGTATCGTCATAACGGACGGACGGTTGGGAAACTTGCTTTTACCCCAACCACACACACACCCATACACACACACTCACACACACAGATGTTTCTTCTCGACGCTTCCATCCAGCATCCATCCATCCATCCATCCAGCATCCACCTCCCGACGTCCCGAGATGCCCGCCGCCGCCGCTGCACGCACGCACAACCAGGAATCGGCTGTCATTACCCGCAGGCCACAGCACTCTTTCCCTCCTCCCCTCCTCCGACTCTTCCGGGTCCGGGTGGTGGTGGTGGGACCCCACCTACCCACCTACCGTATGTTTCCATCTCGAAGTATAGTACCTACTAGTACTGGGGGACCCACACACAGCGAGCGCGATGCGTTCATCTATCGGAGGGGAGGGATTCGGCGAGAGTAGATCGACCCCAAGGTGCTCCAAGGTGCGCTCCACGAATGGGGAGGCTTTGCGGGCCCGACCGAAAAGAGGGGAAGAGTAAGGGAAGGGAAGGGAAGGGGAAACAATTGAGACAGCTGGGACAATTGGGACGAGACAAACGCGGTGAACGTGGTAACGAACGACTACATAAACGACTACATACAGGGCATACATTAAGAGTACCGTATGAAGTTATGTAGATACAGATGTATGTGTATGTGTATCTGCGCGGAGAGTCGGAGAGTCGGCGTACATAACTGGCAGCAGCGCCGCTCCGCTCCGCTCCAGCCTTCGGGACAGGGCAGATCTGGGAGTGTGTCGATGGCGGGGCTACATAGGGAACCTCGAATACCTACTCTACACATCTACAAGATAATAGCCCGTACGGGGCTGGCGTTGGGACTGGCGTTGACATTGGCGTTGGCGCTATTAGTAATTGTAATTTATTTACGCCGGAGAGCGCGATGCTGCAAAGCTGGCTGCAGCGAAGCTCGTTGAACCAACTGTGGTCAGTGGTCAGTGGTTTGTGATCCACACACACATCCACACACACATCTATCCACCCGCCCCTCGAAACAACAACCATGGCTATGGATGGGTGGATGGGTGGGTGTCAGTGTCAATGTGCTTGCGTGCGTTCGTGCGTGCGGACGGACTGTGGACGGGCGGACGGTGGATGGTGGATGGTGGACGGTGGATGGTGGATGGTGGACGGTGGTGGATCGCGGTGTGTAGAACTGTCGAAGTGTGGATGTCGAAGTGTCGAAGTGTGGATGTCGAAGTGTCGAAGTGTGGATGTCGAAGTGTCGAAGTGTGGATGTCGAAGTGTCGAAGTGTGGATGTCGAAGTGTCGAAGTGTGGATGTCGAAGTGTCGAAGTGTCGAAGTGGACGGATGGGGAGGAGTCGAGCAGTTCCCTGGAGACTCGAGAGCGAGGCATGGGCCGCACGATGATTGGAGATGATTGATCGATGGATGATGGATGGCCAACCCCACCGCCCACCGCCACCCACTGCCCGCCTCCATCTTGTCTTGTCTTGTGTGTGAAGGCTGGTCTGTGGCTGGTTAGAGGTTAGACACTCTACTCTACTATTTCGTTTCCTATTCGGGGCAGGGCTTTCTCGTTCCTTTTCTTTTTTGGCGAGAAGCCTTTGATCCTTTTCGCCTTTTCGGGGTGATGGGTGATGGGTGATGGGGTCTCTTAGAGATGCAGTGCAGTGCGGCGTCCTGTCCTGTCCTGTCGTGCTTCATGCGAATCTCAGACCTGCCTGCTCTGCTCAAGTACTCTGCAATTGCTGCGGGTCTCACTGCGGATTCTCTCCTGGTTGGTACTTGTGTCGACTTTGCGCGCAAGTACTAGTAGTTCCTTATGACTGGTGTAGGAACGAAAGGGAGTCACCGGCGCTGGGAGTGAGTGAGTGAGTGAGGTTATGCTGATGCTGATGCTGATGCTGATGCTGATGCTGGTGAGGGCGGCGGCGGCACTGTAGTATGCCTTGCCTTGCCGGCCGCACGCATCGCCTCTCAGGGTCCACTCTCACTCTCACTCTCTGGCTCGTCGCTCCTCGCTCCGGCCTCTCTCGAAAATCATGTCCCTCCCATTTCCAATTTTCGCATCACCCGCCTCGAGTAGGAAGTAAGAACGAGAGAGGGCTCTTCGATTGTACCTACTCTACTCTATGCATGGCCAGCCCCGGAATGAGCGAAGAGTAGAGCCGAGAGGGATACCCGGTTATCCACCACCACAACATCATCATCATCAGCAGCATCAGCAGCAGCATCATCATCGTCGATGCTACTCTATCTAGCTGGCTGGCCGACCGACCACGGTGACCACTGTGACCAGGCCACACACTCCCACACTCCCACACACCTGAGCAGCCCCCCATCTCCCACAGAACCGCCGCCCCAGCAAGAGAGCGCGCCAAAACGGAGACTAGCCGTAAACAAAACTGGCGGCGAAGCGAAACCCTGCGCGGACGAGAGAGAGAGAGAGCGACAGGAAGGAGAGGAGAGATTGCGATTGCCAGTTATTTGCGTGCTTGTTGCCGCGTCCGAGTCCGAGTCCGAGTCCGAGTCTGAGTCCGAGTCCGAGTTCGAGTCTGAGCCTGAGCCTGAGTCTGAGTCCTGATTCATCGTCGCACGGTGGAGAGACAGCCAGCCAGCCAGCCAGCCATCGGTGCCGGTCTGTACCGGAGCAGCAGCAGCTGTAGTCACGGTACAATTCATCACACATAATCCCGTAGAGTAGAGCAGAGTAGAGTACTCCTAGATATGCGCTGCCTGCGCTGCCTGCACACATATCATAGTTTCTCCAGCAAAGTCATGTTCGAGTCCAGTCCGCAGGGCAGTTAGCCAGGCATCACACACACGCACACGCACACACAGAGTCCCACCAACCAAGCCTGCCTGTCTGCCTGAAGGAAGGGGGAGGGGCGCATACCGTAGTTAGAGTAGAGAGCGTCGGCGAGAATGAACGAGAGACACAACACGGCGAGAATGAACGCGAGACACAACACGGCGGGACTTGAGACTCGAGACTCGAGACTCGCCCCGATGGAAAGTCCCCAAGTATGTAGAGTGCTCGCTGCCAGCCCAGCCCGTACATACTCTACCTTTTTCGTACACTCTGACGCTTCGCTCCCTCGCTCTCTCGAGTCTCGTTCCCCTCCCTTCCCTTCCCTCGCCCTCCTTCCTTCCTTCCTTCCATCGTCTCCCCGACTGCCTTTCCTCCCCCGTCCTGGTCTCCAAGCTGTACGTTTCGTTGTCCAAGACCGAAACCCCGACCCCTACTAGGTTTTCCCAGTTGGCCACAACCCTCAGCGATACCCAGATAGCGTTTGGTGTCCCACCCCCCGCTATCGATTGTCCTTTCTCCACACAAACAGAGACGACGAGGGGCTCCTGCGCTGCTGTGCTCCTGCGCTCGCCCGCCGCTTGTGTTTCCCGCCCTCAGCTACATACAAATCCCTCCCCCCTCCCCTTCCCCCTCCACCCTTCACCCTTCACCCCCCTCCCTCCCACACTTCCACACATCCCCCTCGCTCCGTCCACCACCACCTCACCGGATCCAAAAAAAAAAGAAGAAAAAAGAAAAAAAAGAAAAAAAAAGAAAACATCCAGCTTCCTCCTCCACACACACACCCTCCCACCGAACCTAACCCCCCCTCCCCCCCAAGACGCCACCCTCTTTTCCTGCGCGTCTCTTAATCCTTCGATATCCTGTCGCCACGCCTTATAGTGCAGTGCCGCTCCGAAACACCCCTCCGCAGTTATATCTATCCTTCTTCACCCGGCTCTTCTCTTCTGGAAATCTTGCTTTGTCGTATGGCATATCGAGTTCCACCTGATAGCGGTCCATCTATAATCCTCTTCCTTCACGTTCCTATACATATATCCTTCCGCCCGCCCTCTTCCATCCTGTAGGCCTTCAACACACTTAGTCCGCTTCCGCTTCCAGCTTCGACATTCTCCCTCCTACAACCCTTAGCCTGGATCGCTGCGCAACATAATACATACACCCCCGCAATACCAGAAGTCGAGTTTCAATACGAACGGACATCGCCCTGACCACCCCCCATCCGATACTCCGTTCTTCATGAATACTCCACCCCAATACGATTCTGCTTCCACTTATTCCAGCTCTATCTCGTCGTTGTCGATGCCTCTCACACCAGAATCGTTACCGGAATTGAACACTAAATTCGTCCCGGCTCTCAACCCTCCACTCTCCGGCCCATATTTCGACATGATGGACGAACATCACTCGGAAGACCACTTCGCGCACCACCACCACGCCAAGTTTGTTGTCGGACCCCCGGATCTCGATGCCGACGGCAGAGAATGCCACACCGTTCCCGAAGAGGACGAAGACAACGAGACGGCTAGCGAGTTGCAGGAACCCGTAACCCCCACTAGCGAAACTCACGACGGTGTGTACATCAGCTCCAGTTCCGACGAAGGCTTCCGTGCAACCGCCCCCATCATCATCGCTACCCCCGCCACTCCGAAACAGCACTCCCACTCCGCCCTAGAACCGGGTGCGTCTTCGTCCGCAACCTCCACCGCCCCCTCCGTCGGACGCGCTAGCTTGCGAAGACATGCGTCGGAGCGCATCCAGACCATGATTCGTCGGGTAAATTCGTCCACTGCTAAAGCCGGCGGCGAGGGTCTCGGCCTCGTCATCGAGCCTCCATCCAGCTCTCCTCCAAAACGCGGCTTCTTCTCGAGAAAGAACACTTCCTCTTCTTCCACGCGTGGTATCTCGCCGCCATCTCCTGGCTCGCTTCCATCGCCGACCAACTCCCTCGAGCCCCAGCCTTCTGCAGCCACCACCATCACCGCCCAGCGCCCCTCGAGCCTCGAAGACAAGTCGAAGCCGCACTTCTTCTCGCGTAAGAGCCGCTCCAGCAGTGTCAGCGGGATCAAGGATCTCACCGGCACCGCCATCACCCACCCCGCCATGACCGGAGCCGGATCCAAGTCGCGTCGCATGAGCACACAGGTCCCCGAGATGAGCGCGCCCGTCACTGCTCTCGCTTCGAAATACGCCAGCCACAGCCATATTCCCGGCAAGTCGAAGCGGTGCGGTGAGGGTGTTTCCGCCGTCGTCAAGGTCATGCACAGCCTCAACGGACAGCGCAACGAGCTCTTCGCTGTCAAGGAATTCCGGAAACGAGCCAAGGCCGAGAGCGAGGATGAGTACCTTGAGAAGGTCAATTCCGAGTTTTGCATCTCCAAGAGTCTCGACCACCCCAACATCGTCATCACCGAGGATCTCTGCATCAGCAGTTCGAAGCGGTGGTGTCACGTCATGGAGTACTGTGCCGGTGGCGACCTCTTTGGCCTAATCCAGAAGGACTTTATGGGAGAAGCCGAGAAGCATTGTTGCTTCAAGCAGCTCCTCCGTGGTGTTGCTTACCTGCACGAACACGGCATCGCTCACCGGGATCTGAAGCCCGAGAACCTCCTGGTCACTGTGGACGGACACCTCAAGATTACCGACTTTGGAGTTTCAGAGGTATTTGCCGGAAAGCACCCCGGTTCGACCGGGTTCAGATGTGGGATGGACATGACCGAGATCCGACTCAGCAATCCTGGCATCGTGGGAAGTGCGCCGTACATCTCACCCGAGGTTCAAGGCAAGACTGGTTAGTCCCTTCTCACACGATGCCCCCTCCCACCTAAACTGACCTGTTCTCGTCCATCAGGTCCCTACGACGCTAGGAAGCTCGATGTTTGGTCCTGTGCCATGATCTACCTGGTCATCATCTTCTCCGGACCGCTCTGGTATTCGACTGAGCTCACCGACAACAACACTCACTTCAAGCGTTACGTCGAGGTTTTCAGGGAGTGGGAGGAGCGGAACCCCTCGGGCGAGATGACCAAGGATGGATCCTACCCTCGTCACCCAGTCTTCGCGAGCCTGAAGCCGGCCGCCATGAAGCTAATCTACCGCATGCTTCACCTGGACCCGTCGAAGCGGATCACCATCCAGGAGGCACTTTCCGACAGATGGGTTCAATCCCTCGAGGTCTGCAACGTCGAAATCGGCAGAGGCTGCTCCCACAAAGAGGTGGACGCCAGTTGCAAGGCTTCTTCCAAGCAGGTTGCCAAGGCGGGTGTACACCGTCTCCACCACCACCTCCCCCCGAACGTCGGAAAGATTTACGGCCGGGAGTACGACTGATTGGACGGGCTCGACCCTCTTCTTTCGATGAAAATAATTGTTTGATTCTGCGTTCACAATTTCGTTACTGTACAGTGTTTTTGCTTTGTTCTATGGGTCCGGGGTGTCTATTTCACTGGCGCAGGTTGTGTTGTACTTTTGTTGCTGTCTATATTGCACTGATTTTCTCTGCATATTTGTGGATGGTAGGAGGGATCGTCCATCCGCTTAGGGTATCCGTTTTTTTCCTTTTTCTTTCTTTACTGGCAAATTTCGTAGGCCAAGAGGTTTCCTTTTTTTTTTCCTTTCTCTTTCGTGCGGTTCCAGGTGTTTGAAGGGATTGTTTTTTTTTTGGGTTATCAAGCTAGGGGGGGTGGGAGGGGGAGGAGGTGCTCTATCTTTTGCGTTTAATTTTTGTACGATGTGTTAATATTGTCGTCTTTTTCCTTTTCTTCTTCTTTTTCTTCTTCTTTTTCTTTTTTCTTTTCCCTTACTACGTTGTTTCTATTGAAATCGATGAAACGGCGCGCAGCAGACGGGTGGGCTGGGCAAGTGGGAGGGTGTATAGAGTACTACTGGATTTGGGATTGGATTGGATATCTACGGGTTTGGGGATTGGGGGCTGGTGGACTGGTGGTGGGGAATGCTGAGAATCACCAGGAATACAAAGAAAGCTTCGTTGTTGTATGCAACTTCTTCTGTCTGTTCTGTTCTGTCTGTCTGTTTGGCTGTTTGGCTGTCGTGGAATTGGATTAATTTCTTCGATTGATGTCTATTTGTTGTGTTGTGTTGTGTTGAGTAGGTAGAATACCTATCTCGGAACGGAACGTTACCTATCTGAACTGCTGGAGAATGACGGCGATTTAATTACTCCATGTTCCTACCATCTACCGATCGCTGGCTGCTGTTGGGGGGGGAGGGGGGGGGGTTTCGGTAATCAAATCTATGCGATATTATGCTACATACCTATAGACTTCATATCAAGCTGATGATTCCGCTGTAGACTCTATGTTGTAGACTCTAGAGGAAGAGTACCTAGAGGAAGAGTGTTTGCTGGCTGGTCATGATGAGCGCGGTGATGAGGGCGCACGGCGAACGGGCGGGTACTAGCCAACGCACAATGCAATGCAAATGACAATGCAAATGCAAATGCAAGCCAGGTGATCAGAGCGTTTATGTTGTTGTATGAGTGCGGGCTTAAGCAGTGCTGTAGTGTAATTGTAGTGTTGTTTGTGTAGGTAGTGTCGTGCGCGCTCGCCATCATCGCCAACCTTCATACGCAGCCTACTATCTGGCTACCTGGCTGTCTGTCTACCTGTCTGTCTACGCAGTCTGTCTACGCAGTCTACTGCCTGTCTGTCTACGCAGTCTACTGCCTGTCTGTCTACGCAGTCTACTAGAGTACTGCGACATCATACACAGCAGCAGACAGCAGCCTCAAAGTTCTCGAAGTTCTCACTCCTCAGTCCTCAGTTCTAAATTCTCAGTTCTCGTGTATTGAAGTCTAGAAGCACAATCCCCCTCCAAAAAAAGGTAGAAAAAAGCAAAACCGTACTTCGGTTCGCCCACCCCCGTCTCCCATCCCCCGTCCCCGTCCCCGTCCCCCGTCCCCCAGTCCCCACAGCAGCAGCCCAGCTTCGCGAATGCGAATAAGCCTTTTTCCTTCCCCAATGTCCAATCGCCATTGCTGACTGGTAACCGGTGAATGGTGACTGCCCACTGCCCACTGCCCACTGCCCACTGCCCACTGCCCACTGCCCACTGCCCACTGCCCACTGCCCACTGCCCACTGTCCACTGCCCACTGCCCGCTGCAGCCCTCAGCCCTCACCCTCACCCTCACCCTCAGCCCGGCGGGTAAGCGGCATCGCGCAGGAAGTACCTTTAGATTGGTGGGTCTGGCTGGTGGGTTTGTCTAGCTGGGTCGTGCGAAGCGGTTGGTGGGTTCGGTTGGTGGGTTTGTGGATTGGTGGGTTCAACTGGTGGGTTCAACTGGTGGGTTCGGTTTGGGTTGTTGGGTGGCCTACATGCGAGGTAGGGGGGCTGGTGATGGTGGAGGGAAAGCTGAGCTGAGCTGCGGGTTGGCCGGCGGCGGCGGCGGCGGCGGAGGGGGCGTGGGATGGGGGCGGGGCACGTGATCACTTGCTCGTTTTCGCAGCTCGCTCGCTGTGCTTTTCGATGTTGCTGCTGTTGTTGCTGGGCACTTGCACTTGGGGCGGTGGAGGAGGCGGTGGGGCTTCTCGTGCACTTCCACTGCACCGCACTGCAAACTAGTATCTACGTGGGGAAGAATGGAGGCGGGCAAGGGGATGGGGGATCGGTCGGTCCGTGCAGGCATGCTATGGGGAGGGGGGCGGATTCGACAGAAGTACCAGTGTCGACATAACCATCAAGAGTAGAGGGGAGTAGAGGGGAGTATCGTAGCGGCGGAGGGTTGAGCCGATCTTGCGCTGCTCGCTTCGCTGCACTGACTGGACTTGTCTCGTCTCGTCGCTCGATGGTGGCCGATGATGGCTTGTGCTTGTGCTTCTGCTTCTACTTCAGTGGTGGTGGTGGTGGTGGTGGGGATGTCTCGCGCGCAGGCTCAGGCTCAGGTTCAAGCTCAGGCTCAAGTTCAAGCTCAAATTCAGGTTCAGGTCCAAATTCAGGTCCAAGTTCAAACTCAAATTCAAGCTCAAGCTTTTCAAGCTTTTCGAGATTTGAGACTTGGGATTCGACATTCGAGATTCAAGATTAGACTTTCGGCCACCTTTTCAACGTTTCGGCGGTGACGTCGCCGTCGCTCACGGTCGCGGTCTCTGGAAACGCAACTACCTTCGCGGCGCAATTGACTTTCGAACATCTCTACAAACATACTTCATACTTCCACTCCATCCATTCGCCCGCCCGTCCATGTCTACATTCGCGCATCTGCCCTGCCCTGCCCACGTCCCCAACACCCCCCCGACACACACACAACCGGGCTGCCCCAGTGTCACCACCGCATACGCCCGCTGCCCCCCGATCTCCTATGACAGGTATGATAGGTGGGAACCCGATGAGCGAGATGCAGGCCCGGACTGGCCCCGGACTGGCCCCGGGCTGGGACTGGGCTGGGACTGGGCCCGGGCTGCGTTCGCGGGTCGGCCTACATGTCTATGCTCCACATGCTTACCCTATGCTAGCTGCGTGTGTAAGTCCGCACGCGGTGCAGTGCGGTGGTGCGGTGGTGCGGGATTTCTTCCCACATACCGTGATGCATACTTACATACATACACGAGTACATACGCAGTGTGTAAATGTGGCGGCGAATGGCCAACGAACGGAGACGAACGGCGACGAACGAACTGCGAATGGCGACGACGAACGGAGCTCTGAGCGTGACCGTCACCGTGGCCGTGACCGTAGCTGTGGCCGGTCGCCGGTCGTCGGCGGTCCCGTTTGAGGCTTTGAGGTGCGCGTTGAGGTGTTTATCTACATACCTACATAACGGATCCGACCCGTGGCTTGCTTGCTTGCTTGCGGCTGCTGTGGGGACATCGTGCAGTAAACCCCGTGCATCACCAAGAGTCCAAGACGGAAGGAGGACGACGAGGAGCAGGAGGAGGTGGTGGAGGAGCGAAGGGCCCCAAGGGATCGTCAACAGTGTGTACTGAACTGTGCATGCGTTCCCCGCGGATGGAAGGAAAGATCCATGCGCACTTACATATGTAGGTGTGAATGTAGGTAGGCTGCATACTGCGAGGAAGCATCACGATACCACCCCTCCGCCATCACACCGTATCGTATCATATCGCGCCTCAGCTCGCCTCGCCCTAGGTAAGCTACATACATAAGCTAGAGAACCTATGCTAGAGAACAGCACCGACATCGACACTGACACGGCAGCACAAGCACGAGGCTAACTAACCACCACAGTAGAACCTCACTTCACATCGCTGTAACTATTGGATGCTAACACACGAGTAGATACCGTACTTATGTAGGCGGGCGTCATCGTCGGCGGCGGGGCGGGGGAAGAGTGGGAGAGGGGCACTGAGGCAGGCAGATGACCCCCCTTCAACGGAAGCTACATCAGCTAGATCGGCACGTGTGATGAGATGGTTCACCCGAATGGCTGAGGTTTTGAGATCTTACACGTCTTACACATACATAGGGTCCGTAGAGAAGGCTGGCTTTGAAGGCGGTGGGAATGTGTCTTGAGATAGAACTATCTACACAGCTGAAGAAATGGTACCGTATGTATGTACTACCTACCTGAGTAGTGACCGACGCTCCGCGGTCCCAAGGTCCACCGCAGCCGCACAAGCCCGAAAGACGAAAGACGTGGCAACCATACGTACGGAGCCCCCGCAGTTCGAATAATGATCTGCAAAAGGAAAACGCCTTGCCGGTTTGGCGAGACAGATCCGTACACGATAGGTTGAAACCCGGCGGGCTGCGTTCAAGGCTTAGGTCACCATATTCTCCATTGGGTCGTTGTCCCGTCCAGCGGACTCGAGCTTAGTAACTGGGCGCTATACTTTACGTACTTTGTGTATGACGCTGCGGCGTGCGCAGGAGCAACAGTTCCAGAATCCAACCTTTTGCTACATGGGTAGGTTATGTTCGGCGTCCGATCGGAAAGGCCGTCTGCGTCAATTCTCCCAAGTGTACCCAGAAGAGCACCGAGTCTCGTGCGATTGCTAAGCATTTGCTCTCGAAAGGTGCATGTATTCCCCAGGCCTGCGCTGTAGTACCTGGGTAGGATGGCAGCACGGAAGTCGTCCTATCAGGGTCGTCAACCCCCGGCCTTCCCACGATTCAAGCTCGCCGCAATATCTGAGAGCCGCACGGCCGGCCGGCCAGCTAGAGGTCGGAGGTCAGAGGTATCCACGCTCCAGGCTCATTGCGGTGCAAAAATATCCGGTGAGAAATGGCCAGGTTATGTATGACGGATCAATCCGCAGCAACTTCCCAGTCTTTTTTCGACAAAGAGCCGATCATCCAGGACCCAAATCGAAGATGAACCAAGTTTTTCCGGTATGCATACTGGGATGTCCCGAGCTGTGACGACGGGTCCCTTGATGCCTCCCTCTCCCTCTCCCGGAGCCGGTTTGTAATGTGCCTGTGTCGTCGTCGCCACTTTTTGTAGAGTAACCACGTTTTTCCTCGTACGATTTTTATACCAACATAGACCCCCAGTCTGCCGAATCCCGAGTCTCCGAAGGCAGTTTTCGTTTCGTGTTTCTCTGGATGACAGCGTCCGTTAAGGTAAAGACATGTTCCTTGAAGGTGAAGTCACCCTCTGTCCTCCCTAAACATCACGACAGCCATGGCCATGACTGTTGTGAGGGTATCCTTTCACAAACTGAATTCGGATCCTCGGGTTTTCGACGACCACTCCATGTCGCCTGGTTATGCAGGTACAGCATGTGACGTCATAGCATACCGAACAAATCTGACTCTTCATTTATTTGTTCATGTTTGGTCCGTGTCACCAGTTCCGCGGGGTGGTTGCGCGGAGTGGTTGCGCGCGCTCCGATGGGCGAATACATAATGGCATCTTGAGCAGAATTAGGCAGTCCATTGCGGGGAGTCGCGATCCTCCGGTAAGACGCGTCAGTCTTCCGAGAGCTGGTCCTTGAGTTCAGACTCGAAATGCTGAGCCCTCCTGTAGGTATGGTGCTTGCGTTGAAACCACATTCTCCGTCGCAGCTTCCGCGCTTTATGCCTTGAGGTTTCGTCCATGTTGCGGTCGTGGGCCTGAATGTTGTGTAAGTTCCCCGGTGAAGGAGGAGTAGGTGAGGGGCAGAGGATGACGGGTGCGGGGGAGCTGTGGTGATATGTAGGTCTGTGGAAGACGGCAATGCAGGAGTGGGAAGGCGGAGACGAAGGCTTGCGAGCCTCGAGCCAAGCCTCATTTCAACCACCGCAATGCGCCACTAACTGGTCATGCGCCACAGTCCTCCACAGCAACCATTCCATTGACATTGTGACTTCTATGTTGAACCTCACCACCCGCAGATCTTCCTCTCAACCATCAATCTCAACAACCAGGCCGCCAAGGGACCTACAGTGAGGTCCAGAATGGTCTCTTCCTGCTCGCAATCTACCAAAGAATACCGGCAGTTACTCGAGCACTCTAGATACTCTAAAGCCCCACGAAACCGACAAAGCCGACAATGATGGATGGCGTGCCAGACTTTGGGTTGTTTCGGTTCATCCTACATGAAGGCATGCACCCACGGGCGTCACGCACACATGAGAGAATGCAGCATGGTATGTGTATGTACGTGCGGACCAGCTCATCTACGGTGATGGGGAATTGTTCTAAGCTTGTTTGCCGCAGCTTCCCTTCCCGGGCCTTCCCCATCATCGCCAACCCGCGCGTTGCCTACGCTGCGCTGCGAAGAAACGAAGGCATCGTTTGTTATGGGGGTGGTGGTGTCGGTGTGTCGGTGCACTACTTGTGGAGATGCGGAGATGGCTGCTGACTTGACACATGCAGTAGGCACGGTGGGTGTGGGTGGGTGAGGATTTTCTGCGTGCATACTCAGCTGCCGCAAATCCACGTCCTCCCCACATTATGATTCCCAAGTACATAATAGAGTACCTATTATTTGTACGACCGGCCGGGGAGACAACCGTCTAAGAAGGCATGCGCATCCCTCCGCTCACTCTCTTTCGTTCGCTTGCCCGCCTCCTGCTTGTGGGCACCACTCGGCCTCGAGCTCATTCCATCTCCACTGCTACCGCCGAGTGCTGCTGCCTCAGTGCTGCTGCCTCAGTGCTCACTGCTCACTGCTGCCGTGTCTGAGACAAATATGGGCTTGCCTTTGCCTGCGCTGCGTTATCAACGTCGAACAGGAACAAGCAAAGCAGAGCAACAAAGCAACATCGGTATCGCCGGCTCGCATCGGCCCCTTTGGAAACGGCCATCGCGCACCCCGCAGTCGCATTGGAGTAATATTGCAGCCCGGACCATACATAGAGGAGAGGAAGAATTGACGTGATTACACGTGCAGGGCGACCGGGGACACCGGCCGATGATCTGGAGCACTTCTCTGGCTTCCATAGGATCCGCGGACAAGATTTGCTTTCCTTTTTTTTGCCTCCTCTTCGCCATGCCCTGCCTGCTTTTGGAGGTCGCCGACAGACTACCGGTATGATATCCTGTGGGTGTGGTCAGTGCATGAACGAGAGAGAGGCTCTGGCGCGTGTGAAAGGGCTGCTTGAGCATACAAGTTGCATGGCATATGCAGACGGTGGTGGGGGGGTCCACACCAGCGAGTTCATCTCACGTAGTCCCATCAGTCATGCTGACGGCCTGCCAGCTGCGGGCTATCTCTGCACGCCCATTTCATACGCACTCACTTGCCTCCAGCCCAATAGGCGCGGTCCGAAGGATGGGATGGGCCCTTGGGCAAATCTTGCTTTCTTTTTCTTTTTTCTTTTCTTTTCTTTTCTTTCTTTTCTGCAGCGGCACCAGAACCCTTGCTCTACGTTCCGATCCGGATTCTTGCCCTTGATTTGCCTGCTTGCATGCTTATTGGTTTCTGCCTGATCTTGTGGCCGTCCATGGCGATGAGCAAACAGCAGGAACCAAGATGTTGACAGCGCTCGGCGCCCAGAGAATCGCAGAAGTGTGGGGTGCCAACTAATTAGGTCGAAGCAGCACAGGACGAGGAAGAGAATTTCGAAAGTTCTATGCCGCCGTATCCTTCTGCGTCTTCTCGTGCTTCAAGATCCTCCAACTCTCTCGTCTCGAGATTAATTCCTTTTCTTGCCTTCCCTTTCCTTCATGTTTTCTTTTTCTTCTTTTTTTACCACTTTCCTTTTCGCCTCCACTCCCACTTCCCCTCACCTCCCTTATCGTATCGGATGCAATTCGTCGATGGAGGCGTCGGTCGGTCGGACGATAGTTACTCTACAATAGATACACCCAATCGATACCTATCCGCAGCAAAACCCCAGACCTTTGATCCTTCCCTCCACCTCCAGAGTGCCGGCTGGTGGTAATGACTTTCCCGTTCGAAATAATTCATCCGTCGCCCCCGGATCACTTCTGCGGACGTCGAGTACTCTAGGTACTCTACGCACGCCTGTACCTACCCTCCTGCGGACGTATAGATATAGCATTATCTAACTGAACTACGGGTCCAGCAGAGTGCTCTACTTAGAGTAGATAGAGCGAGAGGGGCCTCTATTCCAAACTGGCAGTATCCAGATCCACCAGCCCTTTACCGATGGACGTGGATGCATAAGTGTGAGCGATGGCTGATATGATATCGACGCTGACACCACAGCTAAGAACATACCTAGCCAATCGCGAAACTGGATTACCTTCCTCCTCCTAAGCGAGCGAGCGAGAGCGCATAATCATTCCCCCTCCCCCGGCGATGAGGTGCTGCCCCCCCACTCAACACGCGATCTCACTCGTGCTCTACTCTCCACACACCCCACAAATACACAAATAACTACCTACACAAAGCACAGGATCGCCTAGCCACTCGACTCGGAGAAAAACGGGTGTGTTACGATAGTTGCTTGTGTGGCCGTGGATGTGTGTGTGGCCGTGGGTGTGTGGGCAAAAATATGAATGGCCACGGCCAACCCGCGTCCGCCGCTCTTAACGGTTCTTGGTCTTGGTTTTCTTTCTTTTTTGAGGAGCATTTTCCCCGGACCGAAGGGCGGTGGGTGGGCTGGTGGTGGTGGTGGTGGCGGGGAGAAATTCGTTTCGCCTCGGGGCGCGGGTTGCAAGCAGCCATGTAAGGGCGGAGAGAATCGGTTCGAAATTCATTCAAATTCAAATTCCTGTCGAAATAGAAATTGTAGAAATAATAGCAACAGGATTTAATTCGATATTTCAACTCCCCGCTTGCGCTTCGGCTTGGGCTTGCGGGTGGGTGAAAGGAAAGGAAGGGAAAGGAAAGGGAGGCGAGAGCGTTCTTTCGCCACCACCACCACCGCCATGGTTACCGACGAAAAGGGTGGCAGAACGAATGGTTCTGGCTGGTGTACAATACAAAATGATGAAGGTTCCACGACCTCCACCTCCGCGGCATAACATCACGAACTGGGCCGCAGAGTCAGCTTTTCGGGTGCTTTCCCTATTGCTTCCTTCCCCCCTCCCCAAGCAAGCAAGCAAGCAAATCTCGCGGCTCTACTCTAGATACTCGACTCGACGGCGCACGCCCGGTCAGAAGGAAATGGCGGGCGGCTAAGTGTGTCCTCTACTCTAGTGTTTGTACCTAGTGTACCGTATTTACATATGTCTGTAAATTACTCCAACGCGAGTCCGTGAGCGATGACATCTGCGGCGCGCGAAGCAGGCAGGCACGCAGGCAGGCAGGCGGGTCCGTCCGTCCATCCATCCACCTAAAATTTGCCAGCACCAGCGCCGCACCAGCGCCAGCGCCAGCACGAGCACGAGCACGAGCGAGCACACAACGCCGCCGTCGCCCCGCAGTAGTTAGTCTACATACTCTGGCTAGCTAGCGGAGAAGCGGAGAAAGTGGGTGGGAGAACTCTCACCCACCAACCCACCACCCAGCGAGCCGGCCTACCCACATCCCACATCCCACACTCATGTCGGACGGCACGGGTGCGGCGGGCTCGCTCGGGGAAAGGAAAATCCGAGGCCCTTCACTCCTTCCGCGGAAAATCCAGAGAAAAATAGCCCCTTACATTTAACGAAAAAGGAAGAAAAAGGAAAAATTCCTCCGGAATTATATGTCGGAAGGACGGAAGAGCGGAAGAGCGGGATGGAGAAATAAGCCTTTTCTTTGGTTTTTTTTTGGGGTTTTTTGAAAGGTCCGCCCAAAGTTCCAGAGTCCGTCTCTTGGGTGGACTCTCGTGGGTGAAGCGCCAAGTATGTACACTGAAGCAAACGAAACGAAACGAAAGAAAAATTTGGTTGATCTAGAAGCTTGAGAACAGTACCTACTCAACTCTACTACACCTGGAGTCGTGGACGGCAAACGGGATGGTATGTATGTAGATCTCGGTCTACGCGTCTACATAAGGATCCCGCGGAGTATGTAGGGATCTTGCGGGGGGAAAAGAGGAAAGAGGAAAATAAGGCTCCAGTGCTCCACTCCACGTCGCTGCCTGTCTGTCTGCCGGTAGGTATGTACATATGTACGTACAGTACGTATATATCTCACCTCCACCTCCATTACCGGCAGTACTCTCCGTATCCGACAGGACAAGACGAAGGCGAGTACCGGTAGGTATGTATGTATGTGAGTACGGTAGGTAAGTAGGTAGAGATAAGCCTTTTCGGTGTGCCCTACCTGCCCACATACATACCTACTGCACCCCAGAGCGGGCCGGCTGGCAAACCAGGCAGGCACGGACGAGCGTCGTCCGAAAACCATATTGTGGAGTGCATGAAGGAAGGAAGGCAAGGCATGGGCATGGGCATGGGCATGGCATGGCAACCGTTTGCTTCCTCTCAGTGTGTGTGAGTGATGAGTGATCGCGCCGTGATTCGTTACGGTCGTCTGGGGTAAATATCACTCGATCGAGAAATGAATGGAGGACCCGGGGGCCGGGTTGGGTCACGGGATGGGATGGGATGGTTGGGTATTGTGACTTTCTTTGTTCATTCGCACTGGACTAGATATCAAAGTGGTAGAGGGTATAAGTGTACTTTGATTAAATCAGATAGATGATAGGAACATGCTTATTCGAACAGCAGGACAGCAAGCAAACCAGATACAATTTAGAGTACCATCTTCACATCAACCCAAAGCCCCATCCAAAACCCGCCCACCAAAACCCACCTACCAAAACCCCAAAAAGTCTCCGAGTCATACCACTAATAGTTCTCCCAAACAACATCCGGCACAACAGTCCTGATGACGCCCCAGTGACCGACGGCGGATATCTTCTGCCAGGCATTGAGCTTGCCGATGTTGCTCTCGGTGAGGATCTCATAGCTATCGTCCGCAATATCCGCCCAGTATTTCTCGAGGTTGATCTCGTACCTGGGGAACAGGAACCTTTGCCGTGCATACGAGCCTAGGAAGTCGGACTCCACAGGCGCCCGAAATTCGTATGGTGCCGTATACTTGGTACAGAACATCACCTGCCACAACCATCCATAGTCAGCTCGCTGGAAATCTCCCACATTGGTTCGTGCAAAGTAGATCTTTCGTGGAACGCGCACTCCTCCCATCCTCCATACACAGGCTCCATTGGTGGAGGGACAGGTCCGACTTCTAGACTCCAACGAAAAAAGTAAAGAGATAATAAAAGGAGGGTGCCCGAAATAAGTGTCCGGAGAACAAGCTTTCTGGCCGAGAAATATGGAGTGCATTATTGAAGCATCGGGTAACCTTCAGGGCGTACAGTCCGTGAAAAGCAACGAATGACTGCTCGGAAAAATAAAAGGTAGCAGCGGGAGGAGAGGTTGGTGTGATGCATGGTGAACGAACAAGCATTCGGCTTCTGCGGGAAGAGCAAATGGGCTGCAGAAAGCTTGACGCACCGACGTCCATACGGCAGCACAAAATGCGCCTACAAGGGTTGGATACCCTGCCGACAGATCTTTCCCACTCATACGCATGCACACCTCCACCACATCATCATCCTCCGGATATCACGGCTTCTCAGCCTCGCATATTGAGTGCTTCCTTCCAGCTGGCAGATCCGCGTAAAGCTGGTCCGTCGTCTGACCGACCAACAGGAACATCCCCCTCCTTCCAGAGACCAGATGACTGGAGACCCTTCATACGGGGTTTCGGGAGCGAAGTGAGATCGTTGATCTGACTTCTCTGTGCTGAGGCGACGGCTTCCCGGTCTCGATTATCCCAATGAAGAGATACAATAACGAAGGGACTATCCTGACCACCACTACCACCCAGGGAGACGAGGGATATACTGTCGGTGTCCAGGTTTGTGGAGAAAATGATAGTCGACGTTCGTTCCGCATCTGGAACATGCCGAACCAGATGTCGAGGACTGGCTGACATGTGGAATGCGTGGTAGCGGGGTAGATGGACAGGTATCTGCGTATTGTGCTTTGTGTGTGCGACATCGCCAGTGCCGCAGAAAACGATATATCCAAATCATGGGAACAATAAAACGACAAACGAACAAATGCGCCACCGTAGATACGGAAGAGAAGGAGAAGCTGTGAAAACTCACCATGTTTGTGAAGTCCATCTTTGCCTCTTTGATGTCCTCGCTCGGCATTTCCTCGCGGAACACGCGGCAGTTGTGGAACACTTTTCGGACCGTCTCAATTATGGATCTCGCTGCCCGTAATTTCAAGTCGCCGGCCCAATTCTGCGGTAGTTGACGCGTGGTCAGTGGCGATTCTTGCAAAAATAATGTCCGTTCATGGATTTCATGATCGAGACGAGGATATAGATTAAGTCCATGTAGACATCAAAGCATGCGCAGTGTCCGACGTCCGATGCATAGCATCTCAATTTTGCCGCCTTGCATGGCCACATTATGCAATAAAATGGGACCTCGAGTGACTGTGACCTGAAACATACGAGGTACAAGAAAGTACATCTTGCTTTGTAGGTCGGTGAGAGCGACGGGGAAATCGAGATGGGGCATCAAAACTGCATGCAAGTGATTCTTGTCTCACCGAATCCCCATCACCATACAGAAGGAGCGTCATCGCCCGGCAGTTAAGCGGGGACAATCGGTAGAGGTAAGTGCGAGGATTCAAGAAACAGGCAGACGAAATGGGAACAGAAGATAGAAACTCACAATGGCGATAACTCCATCATCGTTCAGCATTTGACTCAAACCCTCGAACAGTTCCGATGTGAAAAGACTAGCAGGTACGGCGCCTCCAGTAAAGACATCGTGCAAGATGTAGTCGTACTTCTTCGGATCCTCACTCTTGGCAGCTTCCCTCTTCACAAAACCAACCGCGTCCTCGATATACGCCGTGTGGTTTTTCTCGAGCCCGAAGTACTCCAGGGCATACTCATAGACAATCGGGTCCAGCTCAACGATGTCCGTCTCAATGCCATGCTTGATCAGCGCATCAGCCGAGGTGCCGATTCCCAGACCACTGCCAGCAAATGTAAGTTCCGAGTGACCCAACATGACCAGTGCTAGAGCGACTTACATCGCCAATGCCTTCGGGTTAGGACTCTTTGGTGCCGGTTCGATCAGGCGGACAGCCTCCATGATGACAAAAATCGAATATATGGGCTCCTTGAAATTCGGGTGGTCCATATGCTCAAAGCCGATCGGTGGACGCTGCCACTCGCCTCCTAGCAGCGAGTGATCACAACGCAGCACTCGATATCCGACCTGAAAGTTCTCCAAGACCGAGATGTATCCCGTGTTGCTCTCGTGTCTAGCAATGAGGGTATGGTTGTGTGCCGCCAATGTCTCGTTTAACGCCGGCGTCAGAATGCACATCGGATTATCGTTTGCCGAATGGAAGATAGCGGCGATAGTTGTCGCCAACAGGAGACTCGGCGAGAGGGCCGCGTACAGGCCTCCCAGGACATGATGCAACCCACACCGAGTCAGTGCCCATGAAGATCCGATGTGGTTCTGCAGGAGACCGGGAATGGTGCTACGCGCGATGCTAAAGATGGCGTAAGAAATACCGGCGGGAATAGCGTCCAAGACGATGTTGTTGAACTCCATCAGCGTAGCTGCAGCGTACACACTCAGGAATAGAACCGGGTAGTACGTCAGCGCTTCAGTGTAGATCGGCCCGTTGATAGCGCCCCATTTGGTTGAGTAACGAAAGATGAAGTGCAGAACTCCGGGGGTGTGCAACACCAGCACTGGGATCAATGCCGACAACTTGACCGGGAATTTCCTGACAAGGCCTTTCAAAAGCCAGACCGAAAAGAACATACCGCTGACAATCTTGTCGTGGTGGAGCGACGAGGGTATCTCGCCGTATACCGGCGCCAGCGACAGCTGCGAGACGTACGATCCTACAGCTGCAGCAACCAGATAGAGAACAGCCCGTGTCCACGGTATGATGCGATAGGCGATTGAAAAGAAATCTATCGCCAGGAGAGGGCTCCGTGGTTGCTGGGCGCGCTTTTGGGCCGCACGTAATCCTTTGGCGGACAGCTGCGGCTGTGGAGGTTGTGGAGAAGCCATGATGATTGTGGAGCTGCAACCAGCCAGCGACTTCGAAAAAAGGTAGCTTCGGAAAAAGATGAAGGAGACGCGCTGTAAATCGATGGCTATAGGATTAAGTAAAGTAAAGCTTTGGGGTAAGGATATTCGACAAGGCCAGCGTGTCGTCAATCCATCTGACGGGGTAAAGGTGATGTGGTATGTAGAAGGGAGGATGGATAAAGTGTTTGAAAGAGGAGAGCTTGCGGCAAAGCGGACCGTGGACGATACGCTTGCATGCTGGTCGCGACATGATACGTCCAGGGCCGAGCTTGGCAACGGCTGGTCTCCAATAGCACCGTGACACAAGGTCTCAAAAGAGCTCCAGCCTTCGTCACCGTCACGACTCACAACCACCCATTGCCACCATCGCCAACAGCCGCACATAACACCAAAATATGCCAGGTCGCTTAAAATCCTCGTCGCCGGACGCAACGGATTGCTCATCGGATGCAGCAGACGCCTCACCAACGCCCACACTCTCCACAGCCGCGGAGTCTCCAAAAACACCCACGCCCTCGACGCCTCCACCGTCCGTGCCTGACCTCGCGCGTACCCCACCTCCACCCGCGCCACAGCGCGCACCACCCATGACGCCAGAACGCACCCGCCTCACCCTCATCCGCAATCGCCGCCTTCACTACCTCTCATCAACCCCGACCTACTTCACTGCGCCCGACCTCGAGCTCGCCGATCCACTCCTCTACGACCGCTTAATCCGACAATACATGACACCGGCGGAACGCGAAGCACAAGGGCGTGCGCGGGGTTGGTCGGGAGTTCTCGAAGCGGATCTCACTCGCGCTGAGGCGAAGGTTGCCGCTCTCGCGGACAGCGACACCAGTGTGCCTGTCGAGGCCAGGGCGGAGACGGCGTCCGGAGAGGTGGTGTCCACCCGGGAGGAGGGCGAGCAGCTGTGGCGTGAGACGATGACACTACGGTTTCTCGAGGGGAGGGACCCCGACGTTGATTACGTGACGATCGATGAGAGCGAGGATTGGGATGACCAGGAGACGGAGAGAAGGGAGGCAGAGGAGATGTGGTTCGATGCTGAGACTCCAAGCGCCGTCACGAGCGATACAGGGGTGCTAGATTATTGATCGGGCGTGGGGTTTACATTTGTATCTGAGATTTGGGTTTACCGGAGTTTGATTGCCTTTCGAGTTTCACGAAGTGTATGTATGATGGCAACGGTCAGGATGACTTGAAACGTTACACATTCGGGGATCTATTTCCCCCAGAGCCCCACTGTTGCTATCCGGCATTCTGCACTCTTGAACCTTGTCATGACAAGAGAGCTAGTGACTGACGATGATGATATCACCGTTAGACATACTTTGTCACTCGAAGTGAGCAGTAAAACACGCCCCGAATTTACGTGGAGACCAATGTGATAGCAGAAAACGGACTCTAGGAAAGCATCGAACAACTGCCTCACAATTGAGCCTGATCCCGCCCAGTCTCTTGAAGCGGGGCATCACGAGAGGAACTAGATCCCGGAATGTATGGATAGAGACACGCATGGGCAAGCACCATGTGTACCGACTACAGCGCAAGCAGTTCACGGGACTAGCAGTAACAGAGGCCGTCAAGGCTGGGGCATGTTGTTTATCGGCTTAAGACCGAATACCTATACTTACGGAGCCTTCTTTACGTGGGACTGGAGAGAGAGCAAGGACACTTGTTGGTGGTGCGACCTCCGCAAGATTTGCGTGGAGTACAACTAGATCAGGCGCTGGGCCGGCGGTTAGGATAAATTCGAAGAAACGAGAAATCGTTGTCCAGCTATCTGAGCTATCTACAGATAAAAGGCGTAGCCCAGCTATACTTGAATTTTCAAGGCATGAGTATCGGAAGTAAATCCCAAGGGGGGAAGAAGGAGAAGGGAGAGCGAGCCGTCGGGCGTGGAGGTCAATGAGGAGGAAGAACACAGGTAAACATTCCATTATGATTTCTTTGGTCCGCCGGGAACTCACATTACGTCCTCGGCCCCTCCTCCGCGCCGTGGGTATCCGGTGCAGATGTATGAAGGATACGTAGCCGAGACGAGACGAGGATTGCCGCATATTTTGAGGGGGGAGGGACGAGGAAATGCTGCTCTTTGGCTGGATTGGATGGCAGATAGGGCTAACGCATGCGGAATCACTCGGCACTCGGCACTGGGCGGTGGATTGGGGGATGGAAGTGGGGGTTCGAGATGGAGATGATTGGAATGCGACTATTGGCAGGCGTTGCTCACTCTCCGCAGGGCCGGAACAGGCCGTCCATTGACTCTACCAGTGGCTGTCTAACTCCAAGGGCCGTGATTCCAAGCTCACTTCTCCAAGGCTATGATTCCAAGCCCAAGCTCAATTCTCCAAGCAGGTTCTCCGCAGCACAGCATCAGCGCACTCCAAGCTCTACTCTCAAACACGCACCTCGCACTTCCATCTTCGAATCTCCGAGTACCAGCAAATCCGAATTGACATCCTAACCGACAGTCTTCCAATGCTGTAGCCTGTAGCGGTTTTCCATCTCACAGCCTCTGGGGGGGGTCGTATGGATTTGTGGTACATAGCGGCAATAGTGGTCGCTGTAGTGTGTGGGTAATGGGGAGAGTGCTTCACAAGTTCTCACTTGCATTCCGCGGAATATTTGGAAAAACAGTAAACTCCTCTTGCTCCGTACGGAGCGCGGCCGACGTCTATTAAGTTCCCTCAGGATTGAGAAGCACTCGTTAGCGAGCGAGATTATGTGCGTGATAAGTACCTCGCATGCCATCCCATCGGGCGCGCACCAGCCAGAATGTACAGTCCGTGTCGATTTCGTCCGCATTCGTCGAGGTGGGCCTGGCACATACCCTAACTATGGACAGGAACGATCTGATATGTAGGCTGAATGCGAGCACCTACTCTACATACGATGAAACAACAAAACACAAAAACGAAAAACAAAGTTCGCGTTGGAACTTGGATGATCCACCCGCGCGGTTTGTGCAGTTGCAACGCCGGCAAATACGTACCCCTCACGTGAACCCTGAATGGGAATAAGCAACCCTGATTGAGGCCCCAAGCTCCACGCTATTGCCTTCTGCACGACGACAACCACGCTACTATAATGGCACCTCGCAGTCCCCACTACCCCTCGCCATAACTTTAGATAGTTACAGCGGCAACATTTCTCGTCAACGCTGATGAAGCGGTGGGGTGGGCTACTAGTACCCATTGAAGTCAGAAGAGCACGGCGTATACTTGGAATATTGTACACAGAGGACTACGCGGGCTTGAGTATCGCCAAAAACCCGGAAGAAAGGGCCGAAGATTGTCTTTATTCCCCAGTCCTCTTCACCACGGGCGAACGGGCAGAGACGGCTGTACTTGTCTTGTCGCTTCGGCGCCGATGAATCATGAATCCCGAGGCCATCAAGAGGGAGGTTGGTATACTTCGACGGCGACGATGGTATCCCGTTTGCAACTAGGTATCGGCAAACCCCGGTTCGCAGTGCTGCAGGATACCTATTCGCCCACTGCCTTCGCTCTCCCATTGGTAGAAGTTTCGGTGTTTCACTACGTTCTCTCAGGTCCCCGAACCGAAGGCTCGATGCTCACGAGTTTGGTATATCGCTGTTTGTACGGGACAGTGTTCGACATAGTCCAGTCCGTCCGTCCTGAGCCTCGGACTGGACTGGACTGTATCTTGGCAGTCCGTCCGGGAGCGGTGTTCGGACGGACTGTGCTTCGATTGTATAGGTAGTGCTATCACTATCGCCACGACCACTGATAGTAGAAGAGAGAGGGACTCGTCACTCGATCGTCCGTGAGATGGATCGTCGGTCCAAGAAGTACCGGTACTACATAGAAAGGAGACCTGTTCGAAAGCCAAGACGCTCCCACGATATGTAGAGATCTATGGGACCGATGACCAATGGGGGACGCGATACTATCGAAAGTGCTAGAACCGTCGGAAGTGCTGAAACCGAATAGTTCGCGCGGCAACGCACCCAACGATGGAGGTTGAATCCGCGCGTATGTAGAACCGTATGTTCGGAAAGCGCTAGTAACGTATGGACCATGGTACACGCGGTACTGGTACATGCCTAGAGCTGGTGGAGTAATCCGTGGGGGTCGACGATCTCCAACTGTCAACTACCTAGGTGGCTCGCGTGTAATGTCTTGTCCTGACCACTGACAGCCTGCACCAGTACGGTCGGTAGACATACATGGCCATTTCGAGAGTATATAGGTCTATTGGGCTGGGTTGGGGTCCGCATACCGACGCCTTCGATGCCGTGGTCCCGGAGGAAGTGCTGGGTGCTGGGTCCTATGTACCTACTAGGCACAGTGGATCCGTAGCCCGGTAGCCGGCCATGATCTAGCACTCGTCCGGCAATGGACGCGTCTCCAGGTCCGCCGAAATAGTGGCATCTCTTCCTTTCCTTTCCAAATATAGTACCTATCACTCCCCCATGGTGCCGGTGCGTGCAGCGTGCTGCGGAAGTGAAATTTGTTATTCACTAAGTATCACTCGCTCGAGTGACGAGTTGCTTGATTGAACTAAAAAACAAAAAAACAAAACAAAAGCAGAAGTTGTAACTTGTAACTTGTCCACGCGTCTCCGGAGTACGCAGTACGGTAGGGGGTCACGAGTGTCTGGATGATGTTTTGTGGGAGGTAGTACCTATTATACATACTAGGTATACCTAATAGACAAGTAATGTAGGTATCACGTTCAATGATGAATAAGGCCAATACTGAATAGTACATGGAGTTGAGGGGACGGTTACCATATACTGCAAACGGATCGTGACTTTGATGCAGCCACTAGTTAGAGTAGCCAGGCACAGACAAGTTACTCTAATAGGGGTTTAAGGACAGGTATCTACCAGATGCCAGTTCCTTACGAATCTTCCGGCAGCGCAAACTACCTATTCCAGAGCACCCGGGTACTAATTAGCACTGCTTATTTCTCACGTGACCACCGTACCCATCGATTAACCGACCAATGCAGTAATGCAGCTGACTGGGAGGACCCAGGGGAGGATGGCCGACTCAACTTAACTCAACTCGACTCGACTCGACTCGACTCGACCCAACTCGATTCGAAGTGAGGAGCGAGGAGGGCTCAGGGAGGAGGTAAAATACGGTAATCGGTGATTAGATCTGGATCTGGAGGTGAACTCTGGTGAACTCTGCGCAAAAGTGAAAGTGACATCTGTTAGCAGTGCTTCCGGTCCGAGCGGGCGAGACTTGCATAGGTGGGTATTGAGAGACCTCCGACGGGTACGGGCAACTGGTGAGACCGATTGAATTGACTAGAATGCAACAAGAAAATCAAGCAGCCTGTGTTCTTCGGGCCGAACAGCCTCAAAGTATCTCCGCGATGTTGAACTAATAATGCCTGATGGTGGTGATAATGTCTATGCCTCGCGTGTTCTAGGGGCCAACCGACTAGACGAACATGAAAGTAGCAACAGAGGAGGAGGACATTTCAACGTTGAGGCAACCGCATCGGGTCTGGCCTCCCGAGTCCCACAGTGGGTATTTAGGGTACATACGGTACGAATAACCTCCAAAGTTCACTAGGAATTACTAGAGTTACTATGTAGAGTTACTAGAGTTACTACTATCGAGGTTCTGCACCGCCCGTCTTACATAGGTCGTCACAGCAACGGAGGGTTGCAGGGGTGGTGCAGGGGCGGGTGTCGGGATTAAAGTCAAGCACATCCTCGAGGCTATGGACGAGGCTGACGACGCCGGGCAAAGTATGCACAGGAAAAATTGGGCGTAACCCCTGTCCGTCCTATGCTCCCAAGACGTAAACAAACTACCTGATTGAGAATTCAGCCACAACTCATGTCAGAGGCTCCTGTGGTGCGCGCGCGGAGGTACAGAGAGAGAACTCCCACAACCATCACTATCAAGACTTCAGTTCAATATGGACTCTATTACGTCGTTCGCATCAAATCAAATTCCCTACGGTCGCTACAAATGGGGGGTTTTTTCTCTGGTGAACGGTTGATTTGCGTGTCGTAGCGTCGCGGTGTCACGGCATCACCGTGGGTTGTTGGTTGTGGCTTTGGCTGGTTATGGGTCGCCTCGCCCCGCCACCCGACTGACTTTTTGGGGGTTTGGATGGGTTATGCAATGCCAAGAACGAAACGTTATGACGGGCGCTGCAGAACCTCGTTTAAATTTTGTTCGCACTTGTTCTGAAAAATAGGACGGAGTTTAAGTAAGACGGGAGGTGCAGAACCTCGATACTAGTAGTAGAGCGTGTGCACGCAATGGCGATGTGCATATGCTGGCCTGCCTGCCTGCTTGCCTGCTTGCTTGCTTGCTTGTTACAGCGCTTACGCAGGGGAGTTGAGCTGAGTGAGTGCGTACTCTACATACGAAGGGGGTGGTTCCCCTCTCCTCTCACAGCTACATACGGTACCGTACCGTATTCTAGAGTGAGTGGTTAGTTAGTGGAAATGAATGACATCGAATGCATGCGGGTGCGGGCATTGCCTGCTGGTATGTACTCTACATAATAATCCGCTCCACAACTCCACAAACTCCACTCGTTGCTCGTTGCTCGTTCTGCCCTACCTACCAAAGGTACCGTACCTACCATCTGTACGTACTCTACCTAGAGTACACGCCTACGTTGTCATCACGTCGCTCGAGCTTTGGAACGATGCTTACTCTACCTATGTTGGAAGGGCAGCCAGCCAACCAGACTTTACTTTAGACTTGTTTTCTTCTTTCTTTTATTATTTCTTCTTTTTTCTCTTTCGGTAGAAGTTTCGGTACCTAGAGCAGCGGAACCGTGCTTTTTCCTTTTTTCCTTTTTTCCTTCACTTTCCCTCCCTCCTGTGTTTCTTTGCTTTGTCCGCCTGTGCAGTGTGCGCCGGCGGTTCCGTTGCGAGACGGCGCGCGCGATGTGTGGTGGTGGTGGTGCCGTGGTGGTGCCGTGGTGGAGGTGGAGTAGGATTGCCAGCAGAAGCAGCAGCAGAAGCAGCAGCAGAAGCAGCAGCAGAAGCAGCAGCAGAAGCAGCAGCAGAAGCAGCAGCAGAAGCAGCAGCAGAAGCAGCAGCAGAAGCAGCAGAAGCAGAAGCAGAAGTGTGAAGGAAGGGTGACGTGCGGCTTCCAGAACAACGTTGCGGTCTCGTCTCGGCTGCACGAGTAGAGTACGGTAGAGTGGAGTACGGTAGAGTGGAGTACGGTAGAGTAACTGCAGTGCAGCAAAGCACAGTCAGTCCGGATCGATATCGCGAGTCGCGACAAACTTGAAATAGGTACTCTAGCTTTTCGAGAGGAGAAGTTAGAAGTTAGAAGTTATGCATAGAACAGACGACGGGTACGATGAGCACGATGAGCCTGAAGAGCCTGAAGAGCATGAAGAGCATGAAGAGTACGAAGAGCCTAGAGGGCAGTAATCGTGTGCGCCAACCGTGCTGCTAGAAGATTAGAGTACGATAGTTTGTGTCTTTCTAGATGCTGATAAGTTTAACAACTTTATGTACTACATACCGCCAGCTTCATCGGCCTACCGAAGGTGTCGATACTGGTAGTTGAAATTTGAGTACCGAAGTTGCCCTTACCGGTGCCAAGACCGCCGACGAATGGCGGTGGTGGTGGCGGCGGTGGTGGATATTCGTGATGAAGATGAGCTGCAGACAAGACGGACTTTAGCCACAGGGCATGAACCGACAGCACTTGGGCATCGCCGACAGCGAGGGCGGCGGCGTGGCGGCCATCTCTCACTCCCGGCAGCCCTACTGTGGTTACTATCTCCAACCATGGGACCCAGGCCATCTCGAGTCTCAGCCACACCTAGAGTAGGTACTCTACTCTACTAGTGTCCGTTCCCACGGAATCCATAGGTGCTCAAAGCCCTCTCCCTCACCCGCGCCACTCACATTTTCGTAGTGCACCGAAGAATGTCAACAGCGCCACCTCAGAAGGTGATCAGATACGCGATGGTGGATCTGCAGCTCTGCTGGCTTGACCAGTCACCAAGCCTCCACCCCCCGAAAGGCCCCCTCGGTGCACCGGTGCAACAGTGCATCGGCCCCCACCAAGAAGACGTCAAGACGTCAAGATCGGCCTCTTGGAAAGGTCAAAGGCGCATCATAGACACTCGTTAGAGAGCGAATCCCGAAGAATTGGAGAGCGTGCTGCCGACGAAGGTGAGGTGTCGGAGACGATCGAGACGAGGGATGGCGTTGTGGTCGTGCGCAAAGCGCATGGACGGTTTGTTACGGGGCTAGGGTTCTGCTGCTTGCTCTATGGTACGGTGTACCACCTATGATGGGTTGCGTCTCAATCGAACCTCCAGAACCCGTTGAGCATAGCCACTAGAGTAGATGCATCGGGGGGTAACACTTCTTTGTGGGTTATACGCACTCACTCACTCGTCAGCACACGCACACGCACTCGTACGGACCACGGTGACGATATGTACATAGGGAACGGTTACGTCGATAGTGCTTCTCGCTCTATGCTTATGTGACTCCTCACCGACGACGACGACGCAAGGAAGGGTTAAGCTTCTACTGTACTGCTAGTGTATAGTACTCTATCTCACAGAAGCCCTCAGCACTCTGTTTGGCTTACTCTACTGCCATACTGGAGTACCTAGATCCCCCCACCCCCCACCGATGGCATACTCTCCGTTTCGTTTGGTAGCTGCATGGAAGGGGGGATATGCATACCTTGATGGAGCCTGGACAACTGCCTACTCCGACTGTGGACAGAGATGGAACGGAACTTGGATGCGGACGAGAGGTTATTTGCGGATTGGGCATCATCGCGTTGGGGAGGGGGCAGTTGGATGGAACAAGGGAGAAAGAAAGCGAGGGAACAAGGGCAGAAAGAAAGAAGACTCGAGTCTCGATTGTCGATTCTCGAAGGCTGCAGAAGAAACAACAACAACAAGAGAAAGAAGAAAGAATGAGGGAAGAAAGAAACTCGGCGCCTCTTGCTCGCCTGGCCTTTCTCAACCATACCTACCGGAGTGTGCACACACGCCCTCGCAACACACACACTCGCATATGCACACATACTCTCTTCTCACGACCTTGCCTACCTGCCTCATCCATTCGGCCATCGTCCAGTCCATCCCATTTGGACGGGCCCCTCGAGCCTGACTGTCTTCCTGCCCTGCCCCTCCCCACCACCCACCCCCCATTCACCCCATCACCCCATCGCCCCCATCGCCCCCTTCCAACCTTCCACCCTTCCACCACCCCATTCACTCATATCCATTCCCTTTGGACACTCTACACACCCTGATCATCTGGTAGCATACCATAGAGTTAGTAGTCACTTCATCCTAACTGCTTCCCATACATACCACCGAGCACACCCCCTCGCTCCCCAGTCGCTCTCTCGCTCGTCCAAAGGCGCCAACCCCAACCCACCACCTACCACACCTACCACCCCCAACCCATCACCCACCTCCCACCACCCCAACCCACCACACACCCTCCCCCATCGCAGGCCACCATCTCCCACCACGGCCATCTCCTCCTCCCTTCTACGTCTCGTTTGTTCCTTGTCGCCCTTCTTCGATAGTCAGTCCCCTCTGTCTCCCTCCACCTCCTCTCCTCCTCCACATCCTGCACCACCTCCTCCTGCTCCACACACCAACCCCAAAAACCCTCCGGCGCCCGCACTTCTCCCCACATTTACACCTCCGAAATCTACGGCTCACGGCCCAGCACCATTAGGAGCGCGCTCTCGGACTCCGTCGATAGACTCTGCTCGGTGTCGCGAAATCGCAGTTGAACTTTATTGGAAGAAAGAAAGAAAAGAAAGAAAGAAAAGAAAGAAAGAAAAAAAATAGGCCCCCTAGCACCAGAAGCATCAGCATCATCATCGTCAGCGAAACCCATCTGCTTGTACAGGCATTAATCAATCGTCCGTTCCCACTCTGCGCCGCATCGCAACCGCACCGCAACCGCATCAACCAACCAACCCGTCCACATCCAAAACCCCAAACCCAACAAATCCCTCCCACACGCCTACCTGCCCGTTCGCCTTCGAAATCGCCGCGCGCATCGATCGCTTTCTCTTCGGATCCTTTGTCCACTCGACTTCTCTTCGTCACGAGGATCATCTTTTCCCCTTGTCGCATCCGTCTCCGCTGTCGCGCACTCCCGGTTGCTGCTCTGCTCTCTTTGCGATCCATCGCTCACCCTACCCACTCGCTCGGTCGCTCTTCGCTCGCCATCTGATCTTTGCGCGCGTCACCAACCGCGATAAATTAAAAAAAAACACCGCCGCTGCTGGTCTCTGCGCTTCGCGACGAATTTCAAGTAAAGTTTTTTTCGACTACGGATCCGGTCCTGCCACGCGCATCTACTCGGTACTAGCCATCTTCTCTTTCTTTCCGTGACTGTAAGTCTTTGTTCCACCGCATTTTGGGCGTAGGAGGAGTCTGGGTGTGTGTGTGCGTGCGTGCGGTTTATCTCACAAGACTGCAGTTTTCCCCCTCGGTTACGGCCTTCGTTATCGGCATCAAAACAACAGTAACAACGACAACGCCATCCCTCCCCCCGCTATTCTCCCACCCGCGACAGCCTGCTAGTTTGAATCGCAAATAACCCGGAAGGCACCGCGGAAAAAAACGTGGAATTCTCTCGGGTTTTCGGGTCTCGATAGTACTCAGCGACACAAGCTTTGATCAACGCTCGTTATTTCTACTCGCGCAAAGATCTACTTGCGACAAATACCGGGTTCCGCGCGATCATCGGCTTCTTCAACCAAACCGGAAAAGAAAAGAAAAAATTACCGGAGAAAAAATAAATAAAGGCGTTTAAAACACCACTACACCGCTACTACAAATCATGCAAACCCCTCCAGGGGCATCCGGCATGGGTTCCTCACCCTCAAATCAACAATCTTCCATTCTCCAGAGTCTGAATTGGATGCCGGAATCGCTGGCGTTTTCACGTATGATGCCCGGCGGTGGTGACCACACTACCGCCCCACTGTCGGTCAGCAGCTCTGCGACACCGCGGCGCTACAGCCCGCCTTCGCCTGGAGCAAACGATCTGATGGACTTTTTTGGATCGCCTTCGAGGGAATGGAATGGTGTCAAGATCGATCGTCTGGCCGCCAGTGTTACGGCGAAGGAGGTCAAGACGATGTTCATCTTCAGCGTTGGATTTGAGGATGTCAGGATCATTCGAAGCGACCCGGCGGTAAAGGGTCCGTACTCGACCGACGCGTATGTGCGTCTCCAGAACGCGGAATGCGCACAGGAGGCCGAGCGACTGCTGAACGGCAAAGAGTTCAACGGACACAACATCACTGTCGCGATGGTCCCCAGGCCCACTCCATCCGAGATCGTTGCGATGGCAGCCTCTCTGGAGATGTTTGCACCCGACTTCACATCGCAGTCACCCTCGAGCTCGGATGGCCTGACTACCCCCGGCACCATCGGTACGAAGCCATTGAGCGAATATACAACTGTGGCTTCCCGTCACTTAACATCACCCATGGGTAACGGTCACACGGGCAACGGTGTGATCGGTAGGACCGACTCCGGTCTTGGCAACGACGTTTTCCCGAGCATGAACGGGATGGGGCGGGTCGGTGGAAACACCAACGGGAACGGGACCCCTGCGTCAGATGCCATGGTGGCTGCGTTGGACCGACTGAGTGTTAACGACCAGATGAACGGTGGCATGAACGGTCTTGGTGGCGCTAACGGTTACGAGAACGCCTTCCTGGCCGACAGTTATCTCGACAACATGGCCAATCTCCTTCCCAGCCGCGGAATGACGCTGGATCACGACTCCGGAGAGAATTACGACCCCTTATCCTTCGCGAGGCCTCGCCGGCAGACCAATCCCGCCCAGCCCACCACCAGCCGCTTTGGCGGCTTGCCACCACTCTCCACGGTCGGTGTGAATGGATATTCGCAGGCAGGGATCACATCGCCCCTCACCGCGCCCCCTGTTGCTGCGCCGGGATTAACTTCGCCAATGTCTGTCAACTCGCCAAACGGTTGGCCGGCCTCGGCGGTTAACAAGCAGTACTATGCCAACAACTTCCCCATCTCGCACCCTCCAGCCAATCCCGCCGACCAGAACCCTCCGTGCAACACCCTGTACGTTGGTAATCTTCCGGCGCAGACATCGGAGGACGAGTTGAAGGCAATGTTTTGCCGACAGCGTGGTTACAAGAGGATGTGTTTCCGCACGAAACCCCAGGGTCCCATGTGTTTCGTCGAATTCGAAGACACTCATTACGCCACCAAGGCTCTGACCGAGCTCTACGGGCGGGCGTTGTCCAACAGCACAAAGGGTGGTGTGCGGCTCAGTTTCTCCAAGAACCCTCTTGGCGTGCGTTCACACCCAACCGGCCCAGCCAATCCCGGTGCGCCGAAAGTGAACGGCTCCATCTCTGGAGCGAGCGGTGTTCCTTCCCATGGCTTCAATAGTCCAACCGTGCGTGCTCCACCGGGACTTCCGGCGCCATCCCGTCAGATGTCGTTGTCCACTCCAACTTCTAGCGACCCCACCGGTCCTCCACCCGGATTGTTCGGGAATGGCTCTTCGACGCCGCTGAGGGAACAGAACAGCATATTCGGCCGTGGCGGCATACTCGGTGGTTCGCAGCCCACGTCACGCTTGCCTCCCGGTATCCCAACCACCGGCTCGGCCTTTTACTCGGGAACCACGCCGGATCTCCGGTCACCATTGGACATGCGTTCTATCGGCGATGGATATTCTCCCGGACCGGGCGCTATAGGCACTAGATAGGAGGGGATTTGCATCGGCATTTGCGTGGGGAGTCACTTTCGCTACGTTGAAACATTTATTGCATCCTTCACGAGAAAACGATCACTGGCGTAACGGAACGGGGAACTAATTTCTTGGCTTTTTTGTTGGGTTTCTAAAGGACAGCATCACAAGTGGGGATTGCGTGGGGGTATTGCTTTTTTTTTTGGGGGCCCTTTTTTTTCTTCTCATTTGTCGCTTTTCTTCGTTGTCACCATCTTCATCTTCATTGACATCATCATTATATTGGCTGGTTTAGTTCATTCATCTTTTTTTTTTTTTCTTTTTTCTTTTTGGGACTCATGGGTTGGTTGGTCTACGAGAGAAGGTGTTCTTGCTGTTGTTGGTTCATGACTGCGTGGTTGTGGGGGGTAGGGGGGCGAGGCGAAATGGGCATGTATCCGGAGCTATGGCTGGGCTTGGGCTTGGAGGACACACACCACACACACAGCAGGTCAGGTGTTGTAGGGGGCAAGGCAAGGCTGCGATATGGGTTGTTTCTGTCATCTTTCTGTCACTTTGTCACTTTGTATGGTTTTACAATTTTCTTGCTCCCCCTCGATCGAACTCGCGGTGTCGTCACATGTTGTCTCCCGGGGGAGGGGGGGGGGGGGGGGGGGGGGGGGGGGGGGGGTTTATCTCGTTTTCTGTTTCTTCTTTCTTGTATGTTTTTATTCTTTATTTTCGCGCTTACTCAAAGATACGGCTGGCACTGCTGCATGGAAACGCATCGCACGGAAACGCATCGATTGAATTGCTGGAGTTTGTTGGTATTTCCTACGGCATCGGATTTTGTTTCGTTGTGAGGGTTACAAAAAATTCCAGCCTGCGGTACTCGGGTGGTCGGGTGGGACGGGGGAGGAGGCGCGGGGCATAGCTGTGATGTCGCTCGTTCGGGTTTTCATCTTTTGCGTTGCGTTGCGCTGCGGTTGTGGGGTTGTGAGGATTTGAAGCTTGAAGCTTGAACGATGATGATGACTCGGATGGTGAGTTCTGTTTCCGTTACTGTTTCGTTTTGTCCGATTCGTTTCGGTTCGTTTGGGTTCTTTGTTGGCGGGGGAGGGGCGGGAGGAGGGGGGGCTTGCGAGCTTCTTCTTTCCTGAATCTTTCCTTCCATCCATCCATCCTTCCTTCCTTTCAAGAGGAGCGGGAGCGTGGGGGGGAGCGCGGGGGATTTACGTTCTTGAATTGTCGTTTACTTAACTTAACTTTACTTTACGGGGGCGGGGGGGTTTATACGTTACTTTACTTGCTCTTGGTCTTGGTCTTGCTGGTGCTGGTGCTGGTGCTGGTGCACGGGAGAGGTAGTAGTGGAGCTGGTGGTGAGGGTAAAGGCGGAGTGTGAAATATTGCGGTATGATACGGTGATTCCTACTTGGTATGTAGGTTGTAATGGTTACGAATGGCAATGGTTACGAATGGAAATGGCAATGGCTACGAATGGCAATGGCAATGGCAATGGCAGTGGCAATGGCAACGGAAGAGGAAGAGGATTGTGAATCTGTGAGATGTGAATTTATGAGATGTTGTGAATCTGGGAATTTGTGAGATGTTGTGAACCGCTCACCAGTCGCTGGCCGCCGGTCGCTGGCCGCTAGTCGTCGGTCGGTGCCGTCGACTCAAACCGAATCCAATCGAATCCAATCGGAATGTGTTGCGGAATGTGTGAGCGCGAGTGTGAGTGAGGGGGTTGCTCTGGAATTCCTGTCCGAGCTATGATAGTAGTTACCTTGTAGCTTTTTTGATCCCCGTGCACGCCTCCATTGCCACGGCGGCCAGCCTGGTTGGGTTGACCGTTGTACTTGTAAGTTGTCCCTCCATCCACACCGGCGGAGTGCGGCGACGAACGTGTGTTCTGGCCGAAGGGAGGCGGGAGCGCGAGGAGGGGGGATACTTACCTGCGTACCTTCCTAAGTACCGTACGTCGTGCGGCGAGCGGGCGGGCATAATGTGTCACTCGGACCCCGGGGTACCTAAATGCCTTGATGTGTTTTGGAATTCCAGATGGGTGTCACCAGTTACAATATGCACTGTGTGGCTTGCGGTATTCGTCTCAGTTTTTGCAGGTATTACTACTATGATAGGTAGTAATAGACAACTCGTGCTGACAATCCAAGCTTAGGGATCGTCGGGACTCGGAAAACTACCGGTGCCCTTCCGGTACCACGGCGACACTATCCCTGAGCGAGGTGCTGTACTGGTACTGGTGGTTACTGAGCTCGCCGCGGATGCTAGCTATGGTTGTGGCCGGGGCCGTGTCCTGGAGGAACTGTCTGCAAGAGGAGGAGGAGGAGGAACTGTTGGCGAGAGAAGGAGTTGCGGCGAGAGGAGGAGCTATCAGCGAAAGGAGGAAGTGAAGGAGGAGCTGTCGACGAGAGGAAGTGTGCGAACTCCTCTCGACGCCACCGCCGGGCTGGAAGGCTATTGGTAAAGAAGCCGTCTGCAACTCCGTTGTGCTAACTACTGCATCTACCAAACCCTGTAATACTCCAAAAGATCGCATTGTACGGACCCTAAAGTGCAAGCACGGAAGTCGTTAAGCAGTGATACCGCAGCTATCCGATTGTCGGTCACGTAGTACTACCGAATTGACCAAATGCCTACGCAGTCTTGTTTATAAAACGAACCTGCAACTACCTGCACGCTTGATATAATTACGTAGTGCATTGCAATACTGTAACTAGAACTCTCGTTGTCTGTAGTCTGTAGATGACGTACTACTTTTCGACACGTGATGTGAGAAAGACGGTATGATACCTACGGCTCCTGTCATTATGGAAATACGTGTTCTTTGACATTTCCAAAAGTGGGCAGACCGTATACGTATTGAACAAAATCTAGTGGTTTTTTGGTATTAAAATCACCACGGGTAGCAATCGCACCCCGCTTTTTGCTGCTACATGATGTATGTACGTGATCACTTTTCATATGGGCCAAACTGTATCGAGCACGGGTCAACTTGACATAGGTACTTAGATACATTAGGTAGGTACCGTGGCCTGGTAGGCGCCTCGAGTGCTGAGGGCGGCTCCAGCTACCTAATCATCAATGAGTGGAGAAATCATTGCATTTTGAATATCTAACGGCAGCATGACAGCCGGATGGCTACTTAGGTAGGTAGTAGGTACCCCGGACCCGAGCCATTGGTTGTTATGGGCCTCCCGGTATGTACCTAGATAGGTAGGTAGCCCGGTAAGGTTTCTTCGGCATCTTGGTGTTGTCCATCCTTAGATACATCGTTACGGGGATAAACGAAGAGAAGAAGAGGATGTTCGTGACAGTGAAGTGGTGAGTATGTACCTATGTATGAGAGGCAGTGTTCTCCATCGTCCGGTCCGTCCGGTCCTGGGCCGCGGACGAGGACGGCATCCGAGTCAGAATACTACTACTTTTCACAGCTTTTGGAGCGGCGAGGGATGAACTGACGCGGTGGTGCGTAGGATATCGGTGCTAAGAAATCATCAATCAGTCGAATAATATTCACATGATTTGGACGGTCATTCTCCACCGTCGGATGGGGACCGACCCGTCCGTCCCAGGCTCGGACCTGACGGACAGATTTTGCAACCGTCCGTCCCAGGCTCGGACCGTCCGGAATTTTGGCCGAAAGGACCGGACGATGGAGAACACTGATGAGAGGACGCGAAGCCTGTTCGTGATGTTCGTTCGTACTATAGTGAAGGAGGGGGTAAAGAATAAGCCTTTTTCCGCATCAGTACGGTCAAAATGGGTATTTCGACCGTACTGATACGCAGGAAAGCGGATTTTTACCCCCCCCCCCTTCACTATAGTACCTAATGTACTGCAGTGGTAGTGTTGATTTGTGGACACTCCTTCAAGGGCTCTGTGATGGTACTCTTGTTCCATGGGGTTTCATCATCACGTTGATGGCGGCTACCTCGTCTCCTATATAGTAATGAGCCCATTCATCACGGCTGACTGCCGCTCTCATAACTTCCTCACATCAACATACCTGCCTACATACATATTACGTATAGATCATCGTCATTGCTTCATAAGAGCCAACCGGTCGCGCTGGAACGAGGCTAGCCTTCAATCTATTACTCTAATTTTGTGCAATAGACTGCTAATGAGACTGGGGAAAGAAGTCATAGACGCCTTCCGAGGCTCCAGCTTCCCCATGACGCTAGGACAAGCGCCAAGCAGGATCGATGCACAGCCCCCAATCTCGCAGGGCCTATGTACTGTACAAGTACTGTATGTATATACATACATTGTATGGTCGCCAGGGAATTTGCGCTGCAGAAAGCTTACCTCATCTTCTAGATACAGTCCAGGGAAGCTTCGCGGCGGAAAGGTGGGCGATAGTTACTACATACTAGTAATCATATGTAGCGAGCGTCGCACACAGGCCAGTTGGAAAATACCGTCTTCCGGCTGCTTGGGCCACCGTGGTCGTGAACTTAGTAAGCCAGCTGGGTAAGTACCTTGTACTTTGTATCTGGCGGTTCTTTCCGACAATGTGGGCGAATAAGATGGTGCGCGCATGTGGGGATTTCCGACCTGCATACCTACCTACTCGTGGCACGTATGATGTATCCGGATGGCGTGTTTTATTTCTCGTTTTGGTGCCCACCCACACTCCTTTGGTGTGTCCGAATACCTACTGCATATCAGATGCCCGCCACGAGTAGGTATGTAGAGTAGAGTAGTAGCCCTTACCGTGGCGATGGTTCCGTTTCCAATCACTTCGCACGGATTATCTCGATATAACCTCATAACATGTAGCGGCCGGAAAAGAGAAGCGACGTTGGGGCACTCCACTACCGGTAGATCGTTGTTTGGATATTCAGACAGGCTGAACAGGGGTTCCGCCTGAAGAAGAATCAGAACTGCGTGACTCTCCAATAGTAACAACTACCATCACCACTGGCCGTAGCTCCTCTTCTTACCTCGAGCCTGATGTCTTTCCGTCAGACAGAATAAGGAGTGACGAGCCTCGGGGTTGGCTGTTGGCGGTTGAGAGCGGTGCTGAGGACTTTCGTCAGCCTTGCCTCCACACGCCGCTAACTGGAGGCGCCACAATGTCAGCCTGTCCAAACACCCTTGCAAAAGATCTGGCGGCTGGGGCCATTGGCACTTTGCGCACGTCGCACGTCGCACGTCGCAATTCGCAACATGCGCAAAGTGCGGGATGTTCCCCTCTACCCCACAAGCTCCATTCGCCGCCGCATGTTGCGCAATCCCTCATTGGGAGGCGAAAGCTTGGTATCACAAAAGCAAAGGCTACCTCGAAGGTTTTCTATATCTTCACATATCCACCCTCCGGAGATGGAGCTCTGTACTTCCTACTATTCTGCCACCCTCTCGCAGCCGCTACACCAATGGACTCCAACTCCAGGATCTACTTTGACCAGAATTCTTCGGATGTTCGCCTTAACTTCCCACGTTTGTGGCTACCTGATCTAAACAATCACTCCCACAGTTTAGGTTGGTTTATTCCGCATTGGTCGACGATTAGATCAAAACTTAAAGGGTGGTACTGGAATATCACTGACCACGTTAGCAGAAGGGGCTACATCATATCCAGAGGTTCCCGAGACACCAGACCGTTTCCAGGAAATACAAATTCCGGAAGCTCCGTCGCAAGCGCAATCACAATGTTCGCCTCATCTTGTCCAAACCATTTCAGGCCCCGCAGCGCAACTACCGCCGCAAACGTCCTCGGCCATGAACCGGAAGAGGGGGAGGAGGACGCGGGAGCAGCTTCTAAGGAGGTGCTCGCACTGCACCAAAGACCATCGACAGGTGATTGTTCTCCATTTATCTCGGCAACATTTTTTCTGATCTTGATGCAGTGCAACTGGCCTATGGGTTCACAGTCCTGCGAAAGATGCAAGAAGTTCGGGTATACCTGTCTGATAGATGGACTCGAAGATCCAAAGAGAAGGAAGTTGGCTAGTCTCAAATGCTGGCAATGCCGTGAGAGCAAGCAAAAAGTACGGAAGCCTGAAACGATCTCGAAAGGATTGCCGCTAACATAAAAACGGTGAGTGATAGTGCAAACCTGACGAGAGGCAGTGGCCAGAAAGGTGCAAGTTGTGCATCGCTCGCGGCTTGCCATGCTCTCCACCAACCTTGGCGACCGGAAGATTGAAGGCGGCGACCGGAAAATCGAACGTGCCAATCGGGCCGGACCCGAAGAAGGGCAACAACAGTCTTCGCGAATCACAGAAATCACTCACGCCTTCATCCGCCATCATTGAGCGTCATCCCTCCCCTCCCGACGTCCTGAGATTCTCATCTGCGTCTATAAGAGCCGAGAGCCCATACCGCCCAGACCAATTCGATCATTTGCCTGATGCGGAATCTTCGCACGGTGCCAAGGCGAACTCCCCCCCGCATCCGACTGGTATCAGCGAAGAGATAGGGCGGACTACCCTCTACGCCGCATGTGAGGCAGGTGACAAATCAAGAGTCGAACATCTACTGACTGCTGGTTCCAATGTCAATTCGTTTCCAGCAAAGTGTGGAGGACGAACCGCCCTCCAGGCCGCATGCAAGGGAGGTCACAAATCGATTGTCGAGCTTCTACTACGGAATAACGCCGAAGTCAATGCTCCTCCAGTGGTGCATGGTGGAAGAACAGCCCTCCAGGTCGCATGCGAGGAAGGTCACGAATCGATTGTCGAGCTTCTTCTGCGGAATAACGCCGAAGTCAATGCTCCTCCAGCGGTGCATGGTGGAAGAACAGCCCTCCAGGCCGCATGCGAGGAAGGTCACGAATCGATTGTCGAGCTTCTGCTGCGGAATAACGCCGAAGTCAATGCTCCTCCAGCGGTGCATGGTGGAAGAACCGCCCTCCAGGTCGCATGCGGGAGAGGTCGCGAATCGATTGTCGAGCTTCTGCTGCGGAATAACGCCGAAGTCAATGCTGATCCAGCGGAGATTCATGGAAGAACCGCCCTCCAGGTCGCATGCGAGGAAGGTCACGAATCGATTGTCGAGCTTCTGCTGCGGAATAACGCCGAAGTCAATGCTGATCCAGCGGAGATTCGTGGAAGAACAGCCCTCCAGGTCGCATGCGAGGAAGGTCACGAATCGATTGTCGAGGTTCGGCTGCGGAATAACGCCGAAGTCAATGCTCCTCCAACGGTGCATGGTGGAAGAACAGCCCTCCAGGCCGCATGCAAGGGAGGTCACAAATCGATTGTCGAGCTTCTACTACGGAATAACGCTGAAGTCAATGCTCCAGCAGCGGAGTTTTGTGGAAGAACAGCCCTCCAGGCCACATGCGAGGGAGGTCACAAATCGATTGTCGAGCTTCTACTACGGAATAACGCCGAAGTCAATGCTCCTCCAGCGGTGCATGGTGGAAGAACAGCCCTCCAGGCCGCATGCAAGGGAGGTCACAAATCGATTGTCGAGCTTCTACTACGGAATAACGCTGAAGTCAATGCTCCTCCAGCGGAGTTTTGTGGAAGAATAGCCCTCCAGGCCACATGCGAGGGAGGTCACAAATCGATTGTCGAGCTTCTGCTGCGGAATAACGCCGAAGTCAATGCTCTTCCAGCGGTGAATAATGGAAGAACAGCCCTCCAGGTCGCATGCGGGAGAGGCCACGAATCGATTGTCGAGCTTCTGCTGCGGAATAACGCCGAAGTCAATGCTGATCCAGCGGAGATTTGTGGAAGAACCGCCCTCCAGGTCGCATGCGAGGAAGGTCACGAATCGATTGTCGAGCTTCTGCTGCGGAATAACGCCGAAGTCAATGCTCCTCCAGCGGTGCATGGTGGAAGAACCGCCCTCCAGGTCGCATGCGGGAGAGGTCGCGAATCGATTGTCGAGCTTCTGCTGCGGAATAACGCCGAAGTCAATGCTGATCCAGCGGAGATTCATGGAAGAACCGCCCTCCAGGCCGCATGCGAGGGAGGTCACGAATCGATTGTCGAGCTTCTACTACGGAATAACGCCGAAGTCAATGCTCTTCCAGCGGTGGATGGTGGAAGAACCGCCCTCCAGGCCGCATGCAAGGGAGGTCGCGAATCGATTGTCGAGCTTCTGCTGCGGAATAACGCCGAAGTCAATGCTGATCCAGCGGAGATTTGTGGAAGAACCGCCCTCCAGGTCGCATGCGGGAGAGGTCGCGAATCGATTGTCGAGCTTCTGCTGCGGAATAATGCCGAAGTCAATGCTCTTCCAGCGGTGGATGGTGGAAGAACCGCCCTCCAGGCCGCATGCGAGGAAGGTCACGAATCGATTGTCGAGCTTCTGCTGCGGAATAACGCCGAAGTCAATGCTGATCCAGCGGAGATTTGTGGAAGAACAGCCCTCCAGGCCGCATGCAAGGGAGGTCGCGAATCGATTGTCGAGCTTCTGCTGCGGAATAACGCCGAAGTCAATGCTGATCCAGCGGAGATTTGTGGAAGAACCGCCCTCCAGGTCGCATGCGAGGAAGGTCACGAATCGATTGTCGAGCTTCTGCTGCGGAATAACGCCGAAGTCAATGCTCTTCCAGCGGTGAATAATGGAAGAACAGCCCTCCAGGCCGCATGCGAGGAAGGTCACGATTCGATTGTCGAGCTTCTGCTGCGGAATAACGCCGAAGTCAATGCTCTTCCAGCGGTGAATAATGGAAGAACCGCCCTCCAGGTCGCATGCGGGAGAGGCCACGAATCGATTGTCGAGCTTCTGCTGCGGAATAACGCCGAAGTCAATGCTCCTCCAGCGGTGCATGGTGGAAGAACCGCCCTCCAGGTCGCATGCGGGAGAGGTCGCGAATCGATTGTCGAGCTTCTACTACGGAATAACGCTGAAGTCAATGCTCCTCCAGCGGAGTTTTGTGGAAGAACAGCCCTCCAGGCCGCATGCAAGGGAGGTCGCGAATCGATTGTCGAGCTTCTACTACGGAATAACGCCGAAGTCAATGCTCCTCCAGCGGTGCATGGTGGAAGAACAGCCCTCCAGGTCGCATGCGAGGAAGGTCACAAATCGAATGTCGAGCTTCTGCTGCGGAATAACGCCGAAGTCAATGCTCCTCCAGCGGTGCATGGTGGAAGAACCGCCCTCCAGGTCGCATGCGGGAGAGGTCGCGAATCGATTGTCGAGCTTCTGCTGCGGAATAATGCCGAAGTCAATGCTCTTCCAGCGGTGGATGGTGGAAGAACCGCCCTCCAGGCCGCATGCGAGGAAGGTCACGAATCGATTGTCGAGCTTCTGCTGCGGAATAACGCCGAAGTCAATGCTGATCCAGCGGAGATTTGTGGAAGAACAGCCCTCCAGGCCGCATGCAAGGGAGGTCGCGAATCGATTGTCGAGCTTCTACTACGGAATAACGCCGAAGTCAATGCTCCTCCAGCGGTGCATGGTGGAAGAACAGCCCTCCAGGTCGCATGCGAGGAAGGTCACAAATCGATTGTCGAGCTTCTGCTGCGGAATAACGCCGAAGTCAATGCTCCTCCAGCGGTGCATGGTGGAAGAACCGCCCTCCAGGTCGCATGCGGGAGAGGTCGCGAATCGATTGTCGAGCTTCTGCTGCGGAATAACGCCGAAGTCAATGCTCTTCCAGCGGTGAATAATGGAAGAACAGCCCTCCAGGTCGCATGCGAGGAAGGTCACGAATCGATTGTCGAGCTTCTGCTGCGGAATAACGCCGAAGTCAATGCTCTTCCAGCGGTGAATAATGGAAGAACAGCCCTCCAGGCCGCATGCGAGGAAGGTCACGATTCGATTGTCGAGCTTCTGCTGCGGAATAACGCCGAAGTCAATGCTCTTCCAGCGGTGAATAATGGAAGAACCGCCCTCCAGGTCGCATGCGGGAGAGGCCACGAATCGATTGTCGAGCTTCTGCTGCGGAATAACGCCGAAGTCAATGCTGATCCAGCGGAGATTTGTGGAAGAACAGCCCTCCAGGCCGCATGCAAGGGAGGTCGCGAATCGATTGTCGAGCTTCTGCTGCGGAATAACGCCGAAGTCAATGCTGATCCAGCGGAGATTTGTGGAAGAACCGCCCTCCAGGTCGCATGCGGGAGAGGTCGCGAATCGATTGTCGAGCTTCTGCTGCGGAATAATGCCGAAGTCAATGCTCTTCCAGCGGTGGATGGTGGAAGAACCGCCCTCCAGGCCGCATGCGAGGAAGGTCACGAATCGATTGTCGAGCTTCTGCTGCGGAATAACGCCGAAGTCAATGCTGATCCAGCGGAGATTTGTGGAAGAACAGCCCTCCAGGCCGCATGCAAGGGAGGTCGCGAATCGATTGTCGAGCTTCTGCTGCGGAATAACGCCGAAGTCAATGCTGATCCAGCGGAGATTTGTGGAAGAACCGCCCTCCAGGTCGCATGCGAGGGAGGTCACGAATCGATTGTCGAGCTTCTGCTGCGGAATAACGCCGAAGTCAATGCTCCTCCAGCGGTGCATGGTGGAAGAACCGCCCTCCAGGTCGCATGCGGGAGAGGTCGCGAATCGATTGTCGAGCTTCTGCTGCGGAATAACGCCGAAGTCAATGCTCTTCCAGCGGTGAATAATGGAAGAACAGCCCTCCAGGTCGCATGCGGGAGAGGCCACGAATCGATTGTCGAGCTTCTGCTGCGGAATAACGCCGAAGTCAATGCTCTTCCAGCGGTGAATAATGGAAGAACAGCCCTCCAGGTCGCATGCGGGAGAGGCCACGAATCGATTGTCGAGCTTCTGCTGCGGAATAATGCCGAAGTCAATGCTCTTCCAGCGGTGGATGGTGGAAGAACCGCCCTCCAGGCCGCATGCGAGGAAGGTCACGAATCGATTGTCGAGCTTCTGCTGCGGAATAACGCCGAAGTCAATGCTCCTCCAGCGGTGCATGGTGGAAGAACCGCCCTCCAGGTCGCATGCGGGAGAGGTCGCGAATCGATTGTCGAGCTTCTGCTGCGGAATAACGCCGAAGTCAATGCACCCCCAACGAAGTAGGGAGGTGTAACAGCGCTGACTGCAGCGTTACGTGGCGAGTATACGGGATCATGGAGGTTTTAAGAGACGCAGGAGCAACCGAATAATGATGTTTGTGTCCCAGATTCTGAGTGAACTCATAAAGTGTACTGACACGATCATTAGAATACTTGATTATATCTATATCGCAGGCTGGTTAGTGTTAGCATTCAGCACATGGGCCCGGTATACGCGCGGGTGGGTTGAGGGATCTGAATGTAGTGTATTGGAGCTACTGAGAGCGATCTAAAATCTTGCCATGATTTGTATTTGTCTTTTGAAGAACTATCGTTACTTCTACATCCCATACATCTGTCGAGAGTTCCCACCGATTCTCGCGATCAAAGTTCCTATGCCCTACCTACTATCCTTCGCCAGTGCAGGAATAATGAATGATTAGGGACAGTCTCGTAGCAGCCGATCGGACGGAGGCAAACCCGGTCACTCACATCTACACCCGCCCACTATATTTTCCCTCTCTTGACTCCCTACTACAGACTCACCGAACAAACCACCGTATCCATATCCTCCCCCTCTCTAAACAACATCCTCATCATGCTTTTCCCCATCAGCGAAGGAAATGGCAACGAAAAGTAGGAGAGTGGTGCATAAAGGACGAAGTCTGTCCGAGAAACAACGAAGGCACGAACTGCATAAGATACATAGTCAAGCTACGAATCTCCAAGCCGTGTGCGTAGGTTGATTCTGCAACACTCACCGGGCACCTCCCAATTGTATCTTCAAGCTCACCGAAGACGCCTACACTGGGCTACCGTCCCGGTTGCCACAGCCAGCCGTCGAATCGTGTAGTACTATATACCTACTATCCGCACCTTGACATATTCAGATCAGGTGCTGTACGTTGTAGACTCCGCAATTTTGCTTGTGGGTTTGCCTGGATTGGGTTCAGGATCGCAACCCCCCCCCCCACCTTCGGACAGTTCGTCGAGTAGAGTAAAGGACTTCAGAAGATGGGTAAGCAGCGCGTTCCGTGCTGTGGGGATACCAGTCACCTATGACCATTGACCACAGGTGTGTTGAAGCACCAGCGGCGGTACGCCACTATGGCTAGGTAATTACCCGATGGCGTTCGCACTTTGGAGTCCGGACCACCCGTCCCAATCCAACCAGATGAGATCTATGCTGGAAAATAATCGCTAGAGTACTCGTGACAGTCGTTTACTACCTACCTAGATTATGCTGAGGATTTTTTCGCGTTTCATGATTGTAGAGTGGCCAATTTGTCTCCAGTTGCACGTTGTGAACAGAAAATTCAGACCAGATGAGTGGAGTTCGCGCTTGAGGCATAAAAGCTACCGACTCGCTATGGGTGCACCTAGCGACTTATCATTAAAAATGGATTGACTCATCACTACAATGGATTGACTCGTCACTAAAATGGATTGACTCGTTACTGAAATACCAACCAAAATTCTACTTCTCAACCGATGGATCACATAACCCACGAAAAAATCGTGATAAAAGTTGAAAAAGCAGCATCTCAGCGAGCTCCAGTGCTTCAATAAAATACAAAAGCATTCTCTTTCACCCTGTCGAACTCTCGTTTTCCAGTCGACTGCTTATCTTCAAAAAAATTGGTTTTGTACGCAGCATTAGTGTGGCGGTGCAGCGGGCATCGCGCAACGACGAGGGTGCCGGGTACCTTTTTAGATCCACAGCGGGCATTCTATACCTCTGCTCATATGTAGCGAAAGTGGCTGTTGCCTCAACCTAAACCCGTCGTTCTCCACCGGTTTTCATCCAATAGAGTCCAATAAGGACCCAAGCCCTCTTTAGATCTGGTCATAGCAGTATTGTGCGCGCTTCTTGGTTGGGAGGCTGCGCTCGGGAGAAACTGGTGGTTGATGGTGACCAGAGCCGTTTTTCTGCCCATAAACCCGTCGTTCCCCACCGATCTCCATCCGAAAGAGTCCAATAAGGACCTAAATCTTCCCTTAGATCTGGTCATAACAGCTTTATGCGCGCTTCTCGGCTGCTATGCTGGTGGAAGGCTGCTCTTGGGGAGAACTACTTTCAAGCGGGGGTTATAAAAACGTTGTTACCGCTGGACGCATATTGATATTATATCAGGGCATAAAAACACGTATTTTAACCGTACTGATACCATATCACTGCAATTTTCTTAAACATGCGGTAGCACGACCACCATTGTTACCCACCCTTGGGATAGTAAGTGCCACGGTACTCGTACATACTGTAATAGTACCTGCCACGAATACAAAAGAAAACCAAAGTTGAGATACTCTACACACGTACATACCGTACTCACGACAAGGCGAACTGGGCAGGATCGGTTGCCCGTTACACACACCCATCCAACAGCTGCTCCAGAGTAGAGTACATTAGGTACCTGGTAGCATTTCGCGCACGTCGTTGCTCATCCGGCGTGCGGGGGGACTCGTTTTGCTACTTGCGACACATCCGACGTGTGATGACTTGGTACGCTGCTTAATTCTCCATTACTCGTCGCACTTCGCGCACTCCGCGCACATCCCCAGTGTGGAGCTGAGAGCCTAGGGTTGCAATAACAAAAGACATCTCGGGAATTGTTTATATCTTCACATCCACCGCGGAAAATGGAGCTCTTTACCCGTCTTTCCACATCTCCCCTCAGCCACTGCTACTCCAATGGACTTCAGCTCCAGTGCGGCTTTTAGCCATTACCCTCAGTTCGGGGAGCTCTGGCCCAAAATTCCAGCCCAGTGGCCATCGCATATCTCGCACCCTTCCTCTCGGAATTCAGGTTGTCTCTCCACCATCAGTTTGCGGCTATCTTGGAAGACCTGAAAACGTCTTGTTGGAACATCACTGATTTCACCAGTTGCAGAGGGCACATCATCGTCATATTCTGAGGTCTCGGGAGGGCCACAACTCGTCCAGTATGTGCAACCTCCAATACAAACCCAATCACATGATTTGGATGCTCCTTCTTAGAATTCGGGTTTGTCTATCCCAGCATCGGTTAATGTCTATCGTTCGCGGCAGGTCTGAGGATGCCTTGCTGGAACGTCACTGACTTTGCCAGGAGGAGGAGAAGGAGAGGGAGGAGGAGGAGGAGAAGGAGAGGGAGGAGGAGGAGGGGCCACATCACATCTTGTAGTCCTGGAAAGATCACAATGTACTCAGGGAATGCAACTTTCGGGAGTTCCATCGCAAGTCGAATCCCAGCAGCCGTCTCACCTTGGCTATGTCATATCAAATCCCCCGGAGCTATAATCGGCGCTGCTGGCACTCTCGGCCGTGAGCCGGAAGAGGGGGAGGAGTACAGAGGAGCAGCCTGAAAGGAGGTGCTGGCACTGCAAAACAGACCGCCGACGGGTGAAAACCCTACTTGTATTTGTATTCCGTGGAACGTGTCTCTAACCTTGATGCAGTGCAACTGGCCCGTGGATTCACCGTCCTGCAAACGATGCACCGGGTTCGGGTACACCTGCAGGATTGACGGACCGGGAGAAACGAAGAGGAGGAAGTTAGCCAGTCTCAAATGCCTGCAGTGCCGTAAGAGCAAGCAGAAGGTATGGAAGCTCCGAAAAGCTTGGGGGATTGCGGCCAACGCTAAACGGCGAATTATAGTGCGAGCCCGACGAGCAACGATGGCCAGAAAAGTGCAAGCGGTGCGATTTTAAGGGCTTGCCGTGTTCTGAGCCAGAGATGGCGATCAGGAGACCAAAGGATCCAGTTAGTTCTGTACGAGAGAAGGCCCATGACAGCCTCGGAGAATCTCAAGGGTCACCGAAACCCGACTCTGCTGTAGTCGAACATCTACCCCACGCCCCGGAAGCACCCGGACCCTCGCCCATTCACATGAAAATCGAGAACCTATGCCCTCTGAAGGAATCCAACCATTCTCCTCGCGCTAAATCTTCATCGGGCCCTGCGGCAGGCCCACCGTCGAACCTGCCTGACATCCCCGAGGAGAGGAAAGTATTGACCATCTTAGACGGAGCGGTTCTTCCTTACGACAATACCTCATCGCCACAAAGAATTACCGATGACACTTGGTCACCTAGTGGCATTTCGGCTTTCGAGGATGCAAGGTCTTACTTAGGGACCACAAAGAAGGGGGCACATGTCCCGTATGGGTGTTTCGAGCATGGTGAGTCATGTTGTATGTTTCTCCATCGATTTCCAGAACTGATTGTATCTTACAGTGATAGCTGTCAAAGATTGGCCCTGCTTGAGCAGTGTTCGAAAATGGGTTCGCAGCGGTACTCCGATACATCATGCCAGCCCTTCTACGAGTACAGCAAACAGGCTGTCATTCTCTCAGGAGAAGTGGTTTCCGCCCTTGCCTCACAGCAACGACTTGCAGAGGCAGAGAGCCTTTCCCGAAAGGTGATCAGCTTCCTCACGCAAGTCGAATCGACACGATGCAACGGTGTATCCACCATCTCTAGATATCACGAACGGGCAGTTACGAAGCTTGCTACGATGCTGGAGGACAACGGCGAGATATTAGCTGCCATAGAAGTCTACGAAGAGTGGTGCGGAAATCTTACAGAAACTGGTATGGCCAGTTTGAGGACGAAGGAGCGGTGGCCACAGTTGAAAAGACGGCGGTGCGTCTGTCGCTCTTGTACACTCGGTTTCGTCAGCAGTTCGACGGCTTCAATGAGGAGGCAGGGTTACTTCCGCGTTTCTCGCCTTTGCACCGTGCGTTGAAATCCAAAAGCCCTTTCATCGCGAAAGCCGTTCTCAACGGTCGGGCAGCGAAGAATGTTACCAATGCGGGGGCCAGGACTCAGCAGATCTCATGGCCACACATCGTCGACCAACTATTTGAGCAAGAAGGCACTATGGAAACGAGGGATTCTATAGGAAGGACCCCTCTATTAATCGCCGCCAGATATGGCTCATTCGAGATGGTCTCCGCTCTCCTGAACAAAGGCGCCGATCCAGCTGCGGAAATTAGCAGTAACCACGATTGTGATTGCTATTCCTACGACGATGACGATTGCGACTGTCGCATGTTTACTCCTCTCATCGCGGCAATCACAAACCTCCACACCTCGGTTGCAATTCTTCTCATAAAGCATCTCCGCAGCATTGGCAGAACCACGTTTCCCAAACGGGCTCTCCTTCACGCGAGTTCAAGAGGTCTTCACGATGTGGTGGCCCTGCTTCTGGAAGACGGCGTGAGTGCCGATGGGAGTAGCGGAATCTCCGTCGAGATCGATGGGAAAATTGTCAGGATTCTTTGTGCCTTGACTGGTGTAGCTTATGGCGGTCATACACGGTTGGTGGAGTTTTTGCTGGAAAGGGGAGTGTGCAGCGTCGAAGATATTGAGAACGCCCTCTGGATTGCGATCTTAGCCCGACAGGATCATGCCGTGGATGCGCTGCTCCGGACATGTGGTGCCAATACTATTGACAACTATTGGAAACCGCTTGGAGGGACATTGCTCGAGCATGCGTGCCGAGAAGGTTCGACCCGTGCCGTCAAACTATTACTCGACCGCGACACGAATCCGAACTTTATAACCAGCGAATCGACGGTTTTGCAAGACACATGCAGGAGTGGTCACGAATCGATTGTCGATCTTCTGCTGCAGGCTGGTGCTGAACCTAATGCTCCTCTAACACGCCTGGCGCCGGCAGCCCATGAGAGAACTGATCTCCAGGCTGCATGTGGGAACGGCCACCAATCGATTGCCGAGCTTCTTTTATGGAATAAGGCTGATGTCGATGCTTCTACACCATGGAACAGTGGAAGGACCGCTCTCCAGGCTGCATGCGAGGGAGGTCACGGGTCGATTGTCGAGCTTTTACTACGGAACAACGCCAACATCAATGCTGATCCAGCGGCGCCTGATGGAAGAACCGCCCTGCAAGCCGCATGTGAGGAAGGCCATGAATCGATCGTCGAGCTTCTACTACGGAATCAAGCCGAAGTCAATGCTCCTCCAGAATGAGGCTATGAAAGAACCGCCCTCCAGATCGCATGTAAGAGAGGTCACAAATCGATTGTCGAGCTTCTTTTACGGAATAACGCCGAAGTCAATGCCCCTCCAGCAGCGACTGACGGAAGAACCGCTCTTCAAGCTGCATGCGAGGGAGGTCACGGGTCGATTGTCGAGCTTCTACTACTGAATAACGCTGACGTCAATGCGCCTCCAGCATGGGGCTATGGAAGAACTGCCCTCCAGGCCGCATGCGGAAACGGTCACATATCGATTGTCGAGCTTCTTCTACAGAATAACTCAGATGTCAATGCTGATCCAGCGATGTGTGGAAGAACTGCTCTCCAGGCCGCGTGCGAGAGAGGCCACGAATCGATTGTCGAGCTTCTGCTGCAGAACAAAGCCAAAGTCAATGCTAACCTAGCGGCGACCGACGGAAGGACCGCCCTTCAAGCCGCATGCGGGGGAGGCCATGGATCGATTGTCGAGCTCCTGTTACGAAATAACGCCGAAGTCAATGCCGATCCAGCGGCGTCGGGTGGAAGAACAGCCCTCCAGGCCGCATGCGAAGGGGGTCACAGGCCGATTGTCGAGCTCCTGCTACGGAACAATGCCGAAGTCAATGCCCCTCCAGCGGCGACTGACGGAAGGACCGCGCTACAAGCGGCATGCGAGGGTGGTCATATGTTGATTGTCTCCCTTCTACTCCGGCACAAAGCCGAAGTCAACGCAGCTCCCGCGGCGTCTAATGGGCGAACAGCGCTTCAAGCTACATGCGAGGGAGGCCACGGACTAATCGCCAAGCTACTACCGCGGAACAACGCCGATGTCAATGCCCCCCCCCCCAGCATGGGGCTATGGAAGAACCGCTCTCCAGGCCGCGTGCGAAGGAGGCCACAAATCGGTCGTCGAGTTCCTCCTGCGGAATGGCGCCGATGTCGGTGCTGAGCCAGCGATGTGTGGAAGAACCGCTCTGCAAGCCGCGTGCGAGGGAGGTCACGCGCCGATTGTCGAGCTCCTACTGCTGCAGGATAACGCCGGCGGTAATGCAGATCCGGCGAGATATGGAGGAATCGCCCGAGAGAGAGCTCGCGAATCGATCGTGGAGCTTTGAAAGCCGCAGGGCAATTGATGGGGTTTGTCACCCACATCCTGAGCGGGGCCTACCAGAATACTTACCTATGTACTGACATGATGATTCGCGGGCCTAGCAATTGCCATATAACGAATAACGGCTAGCCATGCGCTTTCTACGGGGGCATAGGAGCAATACGTGTGGATGGGGTGGTGACCGGTCGGGGCATACGAGTGATACCAGAGAGGATCTAATACCATAATAGATAGTATGTATTTGTATTTTGGCATTCGAAGAACGGCTACTTCCGTGCAAGTACGTATACACTATATAGTGCAAGGGGGGATGGAATCTACGATAGCGATAGTATCCACGCCCACCGCATCGTTGCTATTTACACTGTGAACGCGCTTCTGGCTTGAGTTGGTGATGTACCTATCCAACGACCGTCACCACCAAAACCCCACAGTAAACTATGTAGTTATGCGTCTATCGTGAACGCTATAGTATAGCACAATAGACCTATCCTCCCTTGCCTCTTGTTCCTAAGAGTACCTAATTAAGTAACTTTCCACAATTAACCCCCAAAATAAATATCTTTACCAGTCTAGATACTACCTGGTGAATATCTTTCGCATTCGGAGGAAACAGCCGCTTTTAACAGTCCCACTGCAGCCTGCAGGTGCTCGAATGGACACAGGCAGTCTACTAGGTAGTAGATCGATCCCATGGCCGTGGTCCGAGAATCGAGTGATATCACATGTCGAGACTGTGCACGTGGGCACCGCTGTCAAAACCCTCCGGTAGATACTGGTTATAGAGCTGGGGTTTTCATTCATCATTCTGTATGATACCTACTCGCCTAGGTATGAAGTAGGTATTGCTGGATCATGCGAGTATTCACCTACGGTATGTATCAACATCCAACGTCAACCATCAACATCCAACATCCAACGTCGAACACCCAAAGCCAAAGCCAAGTACCTATACAGAGTACTAACCACAGAGTAGGTAGAGCAGGTAGAGTATCGACACAACCATAAGTTTCCTTCGTAAAGCCCATCGTGAGGTCCGAGGGTGGTTGTACGCTCGCTTGCTCGTGTACATAGCTGTAGCCTGTAGCAAGACCGTTCCCTTGGAGTGCTTACACTCACTGTTTTTGGAATTTATCATCCGTCGGGTTGCATGTAGTGGTGGGCGAAGCATAAAAACACCATTCATCATTCACGCTTCATCATTCATCATTCATCATTCATTCACGATTCATCGTGCAAAACCCCGAACCCCGAACCCCGAACCCCGAACCCCGAACCCCGAACCCCGAACCCCGAACCCCGAACCTCGACCCTCGACCCTCATCCCTCGCCCCTCAACCTTCGCCGAAAGCTCGATCCTCGACCCTTTACCCTCGCTGAAAATTCAACCTGTATTCCGTACCTATTTCGTACCTACCTGTATACGGATATGTCCAGTCCAACTTCCAAGAGCTCGAAGGAGAATACCTACCATACATAGCGGAGGTGAGGCCTCAACTTTCAAGAGTCTAGAGTCAACAGTCAATTCTCAAGCCGTAGTATTTCCGCGCTTACTTGGGTACCTCGGTACCTACTTACGTACGTACAAGGAAAGCAGCCCATGTCAAAGCCCACGAAGTCATATCCGTTCAAAGCCTTAAAGCCTTAAACCCCCCCTGGGCAGCCAGACAGCCAGACAGCTAGCCCCAACAAAGTCCATAGCCCACGGGATCCCGATCAACTGTCGAGTTGTCAACAGCGGCGCGGTTTACCGAGCCAGCCTACAGCCTATAGGCAGCATACACAGCAAAAGAAGGTAGAGAGTACCAATCGAAGTGAGTACATTTGCTTCCCACCATCCACCGTCCTCCACCAAATTTCAAGCCCCATCAATCAACCAACCAACCAAACTTGAAACAACCAAACAATCAACCAAACAATGTAAGCAATGTAAATACACACACCTCCGACAACCACACCAACCTTCCAAAAATGCCAAGACTATGCGTTGGCACACCAAATGCCCCGCTCACTTTGACTTCAGGATTCATGTGGCGTGTATGTCCACTCTTTCCGACCGCTGATTGAGTGCCCCGACCGACGAATTCGACGACGATGAGCATGAAGCGATAGAGATCAATCGAGCCTCGGTCCCTGGCCGGAGAACTGCACCACCACGGGTGCGGCGTCCGAACCTCTGAAGAAGTCTCACCATCGCTTCCCCGCACATCATCATCGATTTTATCACTCTAGGAGAGATTCATCGGGCCCCGGCCTTGACAGCTACGCAAACCCCGAGACGACGATTCCTTTCGAGCACCATGCCGTGTGCGCCAGACTGGTTATGTTGAGGGTAGTACCGAGTAGAGGTATCTTTTGCAGAAGAGGAGGGCTACGAAGCGCCGCTACAGCGCAAAACCGACAACCCGAGCCTCTTCGGAGGCTCACTTTCAAAATATTGCGAGACGAAGGGATTTGGCTTGTCATTTCTGTATGGATTTGGTGGTGGGATTTCTTTGTCGAAATGTTGTATTGTAGATATCTCTATCGCCATAACCTTCGGGTTCCATGCTGTATGAACAATCAATCAATCAATCAATTAAGCAATGTAAGTGTATATAAACCTATACGTATACAATCCCCGTCCCGACCCCCGGCCCCCGCCCTCCGCCCTCCGCGTCCCGACCCCCGTCTCGTCCCCACCTCCTTCAGGCTTCAGGCTTCAGGCTTCATTCAGTGTGTAAAAAGTTGAAAGTTTGAAAGTTTGAAGAAAATGAAAAAAAACGCCGAAAAGAACCTCCGCCCATCCCCTCCTCCCATCTTCATCCCCCTAACCCCCAACCCCCGAAATATCCAAACGCAAAGGCAATCAATATACATAGGTAGGTAGTACACGGCAGCAGCAGCAGCAGCAGCAGCAAGGTAGCAGCGGCAAAAAATGACGTGAAGTACCCGTAGAAGTAGAAGTAGAAAGAAAGGAACACAGACATAAGGAAAAAGAAAAGAAAAGAAAAGAAAAAAGACAAGAAACGAAAGAGAGAAAAAGAAAAAAGAAAGTCAAAACCACCCTCCCCCCACCCTCCCCCTCTTATTTCCCCGTCCCCGTCCCCGTTCCCCAATCTCATCGGATTCAATTCAATCCAATCCAATCCAATTCAATCCAATCCCAATCCATGCTTATGTATGTATGTTGTATGTTCCCTTCCACCCCCAAAACCAATGAAGTCCTTTCCTTGCGACAAATGTGGCGCAAAACCAAACGCTAAAATGATATGATGAATGATATTACCACCATGACGACACAAGAAAATGTAAAAGAGAAAGCAAAGGGAAAGAAAGAGAAAAAAAAGAACAAAAAAAAACAACGGGTTATCAATGCGATAAACTGCAGCCGTATGGTTGGGTTGTATGGTTTGTAAGAATGTAACTGAAACAGCTTGTTCCTAGATGTCAACCGGCGGTGGACTCGAGCAAAAGAACATCCGGTGTCATAGTGTATGAATATAAAACGCATGTATCCATCGCCGTCGTCGCCAAAGCAGCGCAAGATCTAGGGGGTAATAAGGTGATGGTCCGTCCGGGCGGATCTTGGAAAAAAACATGTGTGCCAAAATTCCCACGGCCGTTACTTATCCGGCTGGCGTGGTGGGCTTAGAATCGTCGACATTATTCTTGAGCTTCTTGGTCTTGTTACCTGCAGCTAGTCGTTTGTTCTTGGCCACCGTTGCGTCGGCCGCAGACATCTCCTCTGCACTCTTCTTCCACGTCTTCCATCCATCGAAATCGATCAAGGCTTGCATGCAGCCCCACTCGGTGACCTTCCGTTCTAACCAGATGAAATTCACAGGCTGTATAACACGTCAGCAAACCCACGTTCAGGTAGATGGTCCAAGAAAGAGAAACGAACCTTGGTTAGGAAGTCATTGCACCCGGCTGCATACGCTTCGTGACGATCACTCTGCAAGGAAGAAGCAGTCAAGGCAACAATGATGACTGGAGACCTGAAAAGAATCGAATCGGGCAGGCGGTCCGCCTCTGGTATCTCCTCCGGTACCGGTTCGTCGTCTTCATCATCCGGTTTCGTGTGTGGGAATGCTGCTCTTATCCTATTCACCTTCTCCAACCTTCGGATCTCCTTGGTCGCGTCCAGACCATTCATCACTGGCAACTGGATATCCATCAATACCAAATGGAATCCCCCGGCTCTCCACTTATCCACCGCGATCTTTCCGTTCATCGCCGCCTCCCACCGAACCTTGAGTCGTTTCATAAACGCCTCGAGCAACCGCAGATTGATGACGTTGTCTTCGACGATCAGCACTTTAATCGGAGGTACCGTGCCGTCGGAACGTCGCCCCGGCCCTGACGCCGGTGGTGGGGTTGGGTTCGCCTGCTTCACGTCCTTGATCTTCCTGGATCCTATTGGCAGTGGCGACGCGACCCGGGCGGGTGTGGACATGGCGGTATTCTGGGACCGATCTTCTTCAGACGGGACAGTCTTGAGAGGTGGGGCAGGAGGTGGCTGACCTCCATTTGGCGCAGACGCATCGGACCCACCCCGGGACCTCCCGGCTGGGACCTTGGGAGCGAGGATGATGCCTTGAACTGGAGGCGAGGTGGCCATCCGGCGGCCTATCTGGGGACGATGCGGTTCCCGTGGATATTGGGGGCTAGGTATCGGCGCGACCCGTCCGCCGTTGGTGGGATCTGGGGTTCCACGGTTAAGAACGGGACGTGGCGGAATGTCGAAGTAGCCCGGCTCGACGTGATGATCGCCTCCGTAGGTGTAGCTATGCATGACAGGACCGGGCGATGGCCGCGGTGTCTTTCGTTCTGGAACCTCAATGATCAGAGCATCATCTGCGTGCTGTCCCCCGGGAAAGTACTCCTCGACCACCCTCAAGAGCGATTCGTCCGGAGACAGTATCCGCTCGGACCCGTGTCCTCTCTCGTGACTCCGATCGTGAGCCCTCGGCCTCGCTCCCCGCGGCACGATGCGGACCTGTACGTCGGGAGCATCCCAATGCCGTCCCAGCGTGTTCTGATACTTTCCCAAGATCAAATCACGGACATCGTCCACCAAGTCCTCTTCGGTAACCAGCACGGAAGTGGGGGATGCGTTGCACCGCTTGACCCAAACCTTGCGAGCAGTCATGGCCGGGGATTGTTGCCCGGTCCGAAGAACACCGTCCGAATCCACCTCCTCGGCTAGGGTTGGCTGGCCGAAGTAGAGTTCGGTGATGAATTTGCTGTCGGACTGCGGCAGCAGTGACTGTCGGCGAACGATCTGCGAAGGACGACGCGAGAAGTTGGAGTCGGTGTACTGCGAGGCGACCGAGGACGACCGGCCGGAACGATGTCTGCGCAGCGAGTCGTAACGAATAGGTCGAAAGAACGGGCTCGAGGTCGCGACGTTAGGGAGCGGTGGCAGGGGGGGAGGAGGAGGAGGTGGCGGTGGTGGAGGAGGTGGAAGCGATGTTTTTGGTGCTTGTTGGGAAGTTAGAGGAGGTAAGGCAGGAATAGGCGAGACCGGGGGTAGTGGTGGATTAGCCGAAGTGGACTGTAGGGGAGTGGTCGGATTCGGGATTGGGATCGGAAGTGGATCCGGTGCGGGCGATGTCTCTGGAATGAGAGGGAATGAACGGACGGCAGCGACAGGAGCAGTGGCAACTGAGTTTTGGCGTTGCGGGGGAGTGGACAGGAGTTGTGGTGGTTCTTTGGGGGGGAGAGGAGGAGGGAGCGATGCCGGGAGAGGCGGAAGCTGGCTATTGATATTGTCGCTGCGGTCTTGGAAACTTGCCGTGAGGGCAGCAGTAGTGGTGGTAGTAGCACTGGACCCAGCAACGTCGATCTGCCGGTCAGGAGATGGCGATGGCGATGACGGCGTATTCTTCTTTTCCGATGAAGAATGCGACGATGACGATGCGGATGATTCTTCCTCTTCTCCTTCTCTTCTTAATCGCGCTGCTTTTCTTGTGCTGGAACCATTGAGCGCAACGCGGCCACTCTTCTTGGTGTTCTCGTGCTGGTTCGTCCGCCAATTCTCTTGAGCCTCTTCTCCCCCTTCTTGATGCGCGCCGTTAGAATTGGAGTAGGAGTGCGATCGCGGCATTGCTGGCGACGCTGTCATCGGCCTCGGTCGCTCTTCGCAATCTCCGTTTAGCAGTCGCGACAGTCGGCGCTCGGTCGTGGGTGTTGCCGGTGTCGCGGGCGCTGTGTCCACGTCCACCACCGCCTCGGCGCCGTCCCCGATCGCCTCGTCGACCACCACCACCAAGCTATCCCCCGCCTCGTCGTCGGTTCCACTGCGGGCTCGTCGCCCGCTGCTGCCTCCGCTGCTCTTCCACAGGCTAACCCTGGAGTATTTTGACGACGCTAGGCTCCTCACTGACGGAGTCCTCCTCAGCAACGAGCCTCCATCTTGGTCGTGCTGCTTCGTCGTCGCCGCCGCTGTTCGCTTGTCGACGACGACCGCATGGGGAATCTCACCGACGGCGATGCTGCGACGCTTCAACCTGTTCTTCACATCCAGCGCCTTCTGCTTCAGATTGAACCCCTGGACCATGATTGCGAGCGAGCTCTGCCTGTTTTCTTGACCTTGCTCTTCCCGCGCGTCTGTTTCTGTCTGTCCCCGTCCTTGTCGTCTCCGTCCGTCCGTCCGGGCAGGCAGGTAGGCAGCTCAACTAGAAATTAGACAATACAGTGCCGACTTCAGCAACAAACAGACTGGGCAGGAGGAGGGAGGGGGAGGTGGGGCGGGCGGGCGGCGGCGGCGGGGGGGAGGGGGGGAGGGAAGCTGAAGCTGTGAAGGAACCGAAGAACCGAAGAAACGAAAAATCAAAAAAATCAAAAAATCAAAAAGAATGCGGAATGCAGAATGAAGGATGCAATCGGGGTTGTTCACAACACTTTCACAAGCAAGCAAGAGAAACCGGGCGAAATGAAATTAGGCAGGACAGGACAGGTCCAGTTCTGTAGGGGGGAACGTGGGGTTGTGTGTGTGTGTTTTTAATCCCCGATATGAAATGAAGAAACACGTTTTGGACACGGGCAACGTAAGAAGAAAAGAAAGAAAGAAAAAAAAAAGGAACGGACGCTGTTGGACGAAGGCAAGGCAAGACAAGCAGCGCTAGAATTGCGAGGATGATGGGGCAGGACGAACAACTCGACGGGCGTGGACGTGGTCGCGGTGGGGGACGGTGGTGGTGGTGAAGACCTAGGTGAAGACCGATACCGAGGGGACGGCGGCGGGGGCGGAGGCGGAGGCGGCGGAGGCGGAGGCGGCGGAGGAATAGTTGATTGAGTTGGAGGAAGCGAGGGGCATTTCCAAGGATATGGGCGGGCGTTTTCTTTCTTTTCTTTCGCTCTTTGGTCTTTGGTCTCTGCTCTTTTCTTTGGTCTCTGCTCTTTCGCTTTTTCGCTTTTTCGCTTTTCGCTCTTTCTTTTCTTTCTTTTCTCTTCAGGCAGGCAGGCAGGCAGGCAGCGGCAGCGGCGGCGGCGTCGGCGGGCTCTGGGTTCCCTTCTTCTTCTTCTTCTTGTGCCTCCGTCGCTGATCTGATCTCGCACACTCTGCTTTCGCTTAGGTGCAGCAAGGAGGCACTCTACTCTACTTTCTAGGCAGAGCTCGCTCGCAGCACTGGAGAAAATCGACAGACGGGACTGGGAAATAATGTTGACATGTATCTATCGCGCACACGCAGTTGGCAGGGCGGAGTGGGTATGTATGGAGGTAAGGTGAGGTAGGGTACCTAGCTGAGCAAAGCAAGCACCGGTAGTGGACTGGCTGGCTGCTGGCTGGCTGCTGGCTGGCTGCTGGCTGTCTCGCTTGCTTCCTTCCCTCCCTCCCTCCCTTGCCGTCCCTGTCCTGTGGTGGTGGTGGTTGACAACAGCTTGCAAGCCAACAGACTGTGCTCTGCTGGTCTCTGAATGGCTGCGTGCGATATGAGGTGGATTTTATTTTATTTTATTTTATTTGTGTGTGTGTGTGTGTGGTGTGTGCGTGGATGTGTGTGTGTGTGGGGACGGGGGACGGAGATGGTGGAGAAGCGTTGAACGACGAGGACGTCGAGTAGTCGTCGACATCGACGACGAGGAGGAGGAGGAGGAGGAGCACTGGAGCACTGGAGCAGAGTGCTAACTAAAACTATACGGTAGTAGTTAGTAGCTATTTTAGTGGAAGCGGAGACGACGGACGGGTACGGTATGGGATCGATGGCCGATGGACGATCAACGTGGAGTGATGAAAACAAACCAACCAACCACCCCATGTCTATTCTCTGCGCAAGTCTGTCTAGTCTCTGTCCGTCTCTCCGTCTGTCCGTCCGTCTTGACTGCGTGCGTGCGTCTGGTTCCACACACACACAAGCACAAGCATAAGCACGGCAAGAAGAGGAGCCTGTGTATGTCCCATGCAAACTAGTTGGTTACATGCAGCCATGTATGAACAAGATGGATAACCATTCGCATTATCGGCGTGACAGCCGACGACGCGGGCTTGCTTGCTTTCCTGCCTGCTTGTTGCCTGCTTGTCTGGGCATCCTGATCCATGGAATAGTTAGCACTACCAAGTACTCTATGTACCGTGTCTACTTCTACCATAGTACATCTCGTCAGTATCCTTTCCGCCTTTCGACGATGCCATCACTCGATCCTGCCGAATCGAGAGCACCAAGTATGTAAAGTATTCAGTACAACACGGCCACGCTCTCCTTCCAAGTTCCGACGAGGGCCCCCCGTTCAGTAATCCTCGCTTTTAACAATACCACACTGTAAGTACAGCAGCAAACTAATACCTCAGAGAGGCACAACCTTCCTTGAATCATAGATAATCCTTGTTGGCCAGCTGCACGGTATCAAATCCTCAGTCGACTGTCGACAACACAGCTCCGGCTCAACTCTTCCTGCGACAACGGTCCCCCAGGCATACCGACATCTGTTATGTGCATACATGCATGCCCCCCCATTTCCCGCAGTGCCATACTGCCATTGAGGGAATGGCGAATACGCAGTGACAGTGTGGATCTGTGGAATCGCGGCCACACGGAATCGAGGATTCAGGCTCAGCCATCCAGGTAAGTAATCGGCATCATGATTCAAACACTGTATTCCGACGGTCCGTATGCACACATACATGTTGTCGTTTGACAAGTCTCAGCAGACGCATTCCATCCGATCGTACATACCGGTACATCCAAGTTTATCGATAGTTAAATCGCATCGAACCAATAATAGTCTACCTAGATAAGTAGGCTGCGGATGTAGCATGTCCCCACAAAACGGGGGGCCCATTGAATTATGGCACGCGTACATAGATAACTCTTCAAGGCTCCCGTAGCGCCGTCCGTGTCTGTATATAATCCAACGTCCGTGACCTGATCTGATCCGACGATCAACGACGCGGATCCGGAAACTCTCTCTTTCTAGAGTATCCTCTGCACGGACGTTACGGTGGTAACAAGGGACTATTGAGATCGTCAATCGTCAAGCGTCAAGCGAGAGCTTTTACCTATGTACTTCTCGGTGAGCGATCCGATCTATACTAGGTATAATATTAGATAGTAAACCTCAGGAACTTGGGTATCCGGATGCCATGTATCTACTCGATTCCTAATATTCACCAGGAGTCAGGACAGCCTTCTCTTTAGCCTTGCTGGCCTTGCTATGTAGCTCGCAACCCTGCGGTTTGTCGGGTCGTGCTAATTGGCACGTGCGTGCCATCTTCACTAAGGGGGGCGGTTACCCACGAGTTCCCACAAGAATAGAATCGCATTCTCGCCGCGCCAAAGGCCCGATATATGGCCTCTCCCAATGTCCCATCCTTTTCAACGTTCGCAGCCGCCCATAGGTATACTACTATCTATCGCCGCGGTACTCTACTATGTACAATTCAGTACACAAAGTACCTAAATTTATGCACCTACTCTATGAAACCCCCAGATCGAGCCCATGAGCCCATCACACCTGCCAGATTTCCTTTACCCTACCTATCATACATTATCCTTATGTAGCCATGCTGCCATGCTGCCATTCCCGCAGTTGCAAAGTTGCAACGTCCATCCCCTCACATCTCACATACATACGGTATGCAAGTATGCACCGTATTCTCAAAACCTTGCCATAGTACCTCTCCCTTTCTGCCTCCCACAGTCCCTCCGTCCCTCTGGAGGGGAGTCGGACTGTCGGACTGTCAGTCTGCTACTAACTCCCACACCACCACCAGCACCACCACCAGCACCACCACCCACTACCACCATTTCTTTCCTTCCCTCGACTCCTCGGGAAAAAACAGAAAGAAAGAAGAAGAAAAATAGCAGACATGTGAATGCAGATTCCCGGACACATCTACTCTACTCTATGTATGTATGATACAGTCCATGGCGGGGATCATCGCGGGACCTTAGAGTACCCACATACATGCCCACATACCCACATACCTAGAGCACCCACAGACCTAGAGTACATGGCATGCTGTGCTGTGCTGTAGTTCGCCGTAGTTTGCTGTACATATGTGTGTGGTTTGCTGTACATATGTGTGTGGTTTGCTGTATGTACATAATGTATGTAGCTTGCTCTATGTGTGTAGCTTGCTGCTCTCGGGTTGTTGGCGCACGGAGCTGGTGTTTGGTGTGGCTGCATGTGCATTGCGAGGCAGTAAGTAAGAAGTAGGCGGGCAGACAGGATGGTAGGTAGGGCACTGGTATAGATCGCGGTCACAAGCCAGCACTCGAGCTTGCGGCGCCGGAGGTGGGGAGAAAGCTTGTGATACGGTGGACTTACTAGAGTATGGCACTGAACGGTTGGCGGGGACGGCTTGGAGGGGCGGCTTGGAGGGCGGCTTAGAGGGTGGCTTGGAAGTTGGAGGGCGGGAGGCTCCGTCGATATGCAGGTAGAGTAGTGGAGTGGCAGTTCACATTTCAACTTCAAACAGAAACAGAAACAATCAACATCGGGATTCGGCGCGGGACGATGTTTGAGGGATCCCCGCATCCACATCCCCGCACCCGCACTCCCACCCGCACGCTTCCCCTCGTTTCTCCACGGATGAAAAAGATGTTAGTGATGAAGAAACGAAACGAAAAAAAAGTCCTCACCCCTCCAACTCCGTCTCCCCGGCCAGCACTCCATCATCCCCATGAACAGAACGAAACGTGTACACCTCCCTCCCCCCCCTCTGCCTCCCTCACTGCCTCCCCATCCCAGCGCCCAACGCGACCTTTCATCTTTCAATCCGGACCACAGCAGGCAGTCAAGCCTTGCACTGCACAGGACGCACTGGTGACTGCATATCCCAACTTCTGTGTACCAACATCTTGTGGTGGTGGCAAACCCGATCCCAGTTGCTCCAGTGTCCCAGTGCTCCAGTGCTCCAGTTCGCACCGGGTGGCGGCCATTCCGTCGAAATTCGTACATTGACAGCAGCGGTGGGGTAAAGAAAAAAACCCTTGGGCTCCGCGCATCTGTGCGCGTCCGTCCGTCCATGTGGAATGGGCGGTGGGGGACGGAGAGGGGTGGAGGTGGGGGGGGGGGGGACATGTCAGTGCGGCCTGTTTCCAAATCCCACCCCCCATACCATGCACTCACTCACTCACTTGCGAACTTGCGAGATGTGACGAGTGAGAAGACGGTCGTTCGTCGAGTCAAGCATCATCCTCTCTACACACCACTCTACATATACCCTAGGTAAAGCACTCAGGAAGTATTTGTATGTACGTTACTGACTCAACCAGGCCAGAAAAAAATCATCGATATTGATAATTCCCATTGCAGATCATAACACATCGTGCACGCCTCTCCCTCGGATCTCCACCTCCACCTCCACCTCCCCGTCTACAAGCAAAAAAAAAAGAGCCAGCGAACAAAGTGTATCTGTATCTCTATTGCACATTCCCTCCCTCCCTCCCTCCCACAGACTACCTACATGTAATGTACAAGCAAGCAATCGTTGTCGCCGTCGCTGTCGTCCATCCCCCGTACGTCGCGAGCGAGCGATATATATTAGAATTAAGAGAAACATTTGAAATGGATGGAACGGTAACTTGGACGGAAGACAGAAAACTCCGTGCAAGTTTGATCGATCCAATGAGAAAAACGGGCGGGAGAAGCGGGATGTAGGAAGTAGGAAGTAGGAAAAGGTCGAGGAGAATGAATAAAAAAAATAGTGTGCGCCGTTGAGAGGTATCAGAATAGGTGTGTGCAAGTACTTCGGTCAAAATAATCAACAAAATCTCCTCTACCCCCTGAGCCCATTGGAGGAAAGACAGAAAATAAAGCAAAGGAGTATAGGTGGTGCGGATCGAGAGAGAGAGAGAGAGAGCGAGGAAAAAATAACCGTATCAGATCCATCTAGGAAAACGCGCAGACCCGGTCAACCCATCCCGCTCCCCCTTCTTCTTCGCTCCAATAGAGGGAGAAGAAGCCGCCCAATGATACTCGACCAACAGTCGTGTCTAGTCGTTGTCCAGATATCTCCTCCATCCCTCCCGCAAGCACTCTTCACCACCCCCGTTCATCGACTCGACGAGCACAAACTTCTCCCATCGGGGTTCCCCCAAGCCATCCTTCCCTCCACCAACGCTGACGACCACGACTGCGTCTTCTGCCACCCATCCAACCGCAGCTGTGCCGCCTCCCTCAAATTCCGAATGCGCAGCGCTCCATTCGCTCGAGAAATATTTCGGCAACAGTGGCAGTTTGCCAAGCAGCGACCACCGTTTGTTCTCACCACTGACGGGACCGTTCGACATTGCTGACGATGGCCTCGAGTTGCTGGCCTGCGAGGGATGTCGGCCGTACGTGGGCAGCTCGTATATGTGCAGCGTGCGCTTATCGGAGGTGACTGCGAGGCGATGTGAAGTTGGCGAGATAGCAAGGGAGTACACCACAGCCTTATCGATTCCCCTACGAAGCTCGCAGACGAGACTGCAATTCGCGGCCGAGTAAACCCGTACTATGGTTCCCTTCTCGGACGCGGTGGCAATCAAATCACCCTGGGGCGAGATGGTGATGGCGCGCAGCGGCGTGGTGTGCGCTGGTATGATACTAATATTCCCACTTGCCAGATCACACAATTGCACATGTCCCGGTGTTCTGCCTGGAAACACCAGTGTCTGCGTGGACAGGGCGACGAGTCCCAGCGGGTTGTCGTACGTCTCGAAAACGTGGTCTCTGGTTGGCGGTGACGAGAATGTGTAGACGTGCACGTGGCCCGTGAGTACCACGACGATTTTGGTGCGCGTCAGCCGCACCGCTCGAACCGCCGAATGGAACTCCATCGATATCACGGGCTTTCGCTTCGCGTCGTCCCAAATTATTACTTTGTTCTGCGCGTATCTGGGGTTACGGCCGCCGCCGACGAGCGCAAGGAAGTTGGCCCGACCGAGCATTTCGGCGATAGCTATGCCACCCTTCAACTCTGCGTGCACTGTCAGACAGAGCAAAAACAAGGGAGGGAGAAAGGAAGATCGTCGACGAAGAAGCGGGGAGTCGAACCTCGGGTGACCTGAAGCTCGCACGGATCGGCGCTGTAGACTGAAAACGCGGGGGTTAGCTTATCGAGCTTGTTGACACTAAGCTTAAGGCGTGGGCGGGGGACCAACTGTGGAAACCGTTGTCCACGCCGACCGAGAAACACGAACTGTCCTGGTTGAAGCCAGCATACAGGGCGACCTGACGGTCGGCCGGATTTAGTTGTGGTCGCGTATTCATGATGAGCGATATGGGCCCGAAGGCACTCGGTGGGGCGGCCGCAGCTGGTTGGTGTGAGATATAGGAGCGAGATAAAGCGTGGAGGGGCGCGCGGCGGGAAGGTCCAGTTTATAGCGGGGTTTGTCGATTTCCGGCCGTTCGAAGTGAGCTCTGTAGAGTAGTCGGGAGGGCAGGTCTGAGGGGGTGAATATGGAGGTGAGAAGGTGATAAGAAGGTAACCTTGGGGAAGGAACTTGGGAGGAAGCTTGGGGCACTAGTGCGCGTGCGATACTGTCATAACTCCATGGGGTTTCTTGGCGGGGGGTGACTGGCTTATGTAATCTTAGGTGCATGTGACACAATTCTATCTGCCGACACTTTCACGGGTGATATGTCAGGCATCGAAAGTGAAAGTGACCAGCGGCTGTGGTAATGTTGTTGATATTGCTTTGTGCAAAGCAGTCAAACATTCCGGGGGATACAGTGTGAGCCTTCAGCTGTCTGAATCGCTACAAAACTTGTATGCAGTATTTCGGTATTTACAAAATTGCTCGGTAAACTACAAATGTTCGTAACGAGTCGATATCGGGGCGGACTAGGAAACGTGGGGGTTCCAGTCGCCTGCCAGTCGCCGAAGCTAGCTACCACAGCGCTGGTTCATAGCAACAGAGCTGTTGTTCTCAGCATCGACACTGCTGTACGTACTTCACCCAAATAGTCAGACCCTTTGGGGCAAAAAGACGATATAAAAACTACGGTACCAGGGATTCCCGCATGGTCACCCACTGCAGTACTAACCTGGCGATACCATGCTTAACTAGGGCTGAGCGGACGGGAAGCCGTGTGTTCATGGTTCTATGACCATAGCTGACAATTGCTTTTCAAAGAATAATGAATGCAATGAAAGAGCGGTTTGGTGTATCACTGGGCTAGGGAAACGACCGACCTAATACAAGGTGGCCGGCCTTTTTGCTTTGCGTCTGAGTCGCAGCTAGGCATGGTACATGGACAGTTTTCTCACAGCGAAGGGTTATTCGAAAATGACATCATCCAGAGATGTTCAGGGCCCAGGCTGGCCCAGGCCCCTGGTAACTCTACATACTTTCGTGACTTTTCCTCGTCGAGTCGTCGACCGGTGCGCTTATTACGCCGCCCCCTTCGCCCCTTACGTTAAAGACTTTTGCGGTTGGCTGGTGGAAACAACGGCGGGTGGTCTACACCTGGAACCAGGCGCCTACTTGTTACCTGCAACCTGTTCTTTAGTTCTTTTCCGTTCATCATTCCGTACCGGCACCGGCATACGGCTGTGTCCAATACGCCGGTACTTTTGTATGAAGAATGGAATCAGAAGCCCCAGAAGCATCTAGCACCAGATCCCGTTTGCGATAAGGGTGGAATTGAACGGTGACAGGTGTCTGAGATAGCTACTTTGTATCATACTTCAGTGAATTGATGATTAGACGGGCAGAAACTCAAATAGTGCATACCAAGGAGTGCAAGCAGGACACGATCAGAACAAGTAGAGACATGATACAAAAAGATAGATAGTACTATAAAATAGGTAGGCCGACGAGAACCCGAGTGACCGAGAAACAACATCTCGGGTATTTCCCCAAGAGAAATAGCATCCCACAGTCACTTAGCAAGTTCAATTTGATTCTCCAGAACTCACCACCCGCTGATGCAGGGCACCCCGGTGCTTCCGATTCGCTGACCGTACCCGAGTACCGGCAATCCGCCAGCATGATTACATCATGAGGCCGAGAGTAGTCGTGATAAGCCGTGACCAGCCCTAACCTCCACATCCTGTGTTACGCTCGGGATATCTACCAGGTATCTGCGAATGGCGATCCCGAGCTGACTGCATGCGCATATGCTAAGCCGAGGCAGCTTCACCGGCCCGGGGCCACGACGTTCCCCACAGCAAGTAAATCTGGGGCATCAATAAGTTCAAATACCTTGTCCTCCCTCACCGCCAATTCCCATCCGCACCAGCACAGCAGACACCACAATGAAAGCACTCAACTTAAGCACCCTCCTCCCAAGCCCGCAGGCGCTCACCGTCGCCACTCTGCCCTCGCCGACCCCCAGCAGCACACAATACCTGATCTCGATCCGCGCCTCCGCATGTAACTTCTTCGACCTGCTCCAGATCCGCGGCAAATACCAGCACCAGCCGACGCTCCCCTGGGTAGCGGGGTCCGAGTTCAGCGGCGTAGTGCTCTCCTGCCCGCCAGGCGGGAAATACCCCGTAGGCTCCCGGGTCTTTGGAGCGTCGCAGGGAGCGTTCGCCACGCGCGTGTGCGCGGACGAGGCGGCCCTTCGGCCAGTGCCCGACGGCTGGGGATTCAAGGACGCCGCGGGACTGTTCGTCACCGCGCCGACGAGCTACGCGGCGCTGGTGACGCGGGCGCAGGTGCGAGCGGGGGAGTGGGTGCTCGTGCATGCGGGCGCTGGCGGGGTCGGACTGGCAGCGATACAGATCGCGAAGGCTTTGGGGGCGAGGGTCGTCGCGTCAGCGAGTACCGTTGAGAAGCGCGATGTGTGCACCCGTTTTGGCGCGGATGCGACGGTGGATTACTCTGATGACGGATGGGTCAAGGTTGTGATGGCTATCACTGGCGGAAAAGGGGTGGATGTGGTTTATGATCCCGTGGGATTGGTGGAGAAGAGCTTGAGCGCTTGCAATTGGAACGCCAGGGTGCTGGTGGTGGGTTTTGCGGGCGGCAAGATTGAGAACATGAGGACTAATAGGGTGCTGTTGAAGAATGTTAGCATTGTGGGGATTCATTGGGGGATGTATGCGAAGAAGGAACCCGAGACAGTGCAGACGACGTGGGACGGCATCTTTAAGCTGGTGAAGGAGGGGAAGTTTAAGGGGACTGTGTTTGATGGAGAGCCGTTCAAAGGGCTGAAAGAGGTCGGCAGGGCCTTGGAGTGGCTGGAGGGCCGGAAGACGTGGGGGAAGGTCGTGGTCGAGATTGATGATGAGGATGTGGGCGGAGAGAAAGCGAGACTGTAATTTTGTATTTCTGGATACCTATATCGAAAGCAGTCTGTACATCATATCCACTGATCATTGTACTATATAGCGAGTGATGTAGTATGACTTTACTGTGCAAAATGATCCCATTCCACATCGTAATCTTTCATTCATGCCAACAGATGCACGCAATCTCTAATAATTAGAACTAATTAACCAAGATACAACAAAATACAAATCACCAGTTCGCCGCCGTCGGTGGTAGTCCACAACTCGGGCCAATCGGAATGCGAACAACGAAAGAACGCCAACGCGAACAAAAACTCCAAAGAATGCCCAGTTCGTATCTAACCCTCTCACCTAATTTCAAACACTTTCCATCTCTCTTTTATTTGGCACTATCACGATAACACTGTCCGTGCTCACTGCTGGGCTCCCCGTCTCTGTCGCTTCCCCCGGCGCTGGCACAGCAAACTCCTCAGTACTCTGCGAAAACTTATCACCCCCAGACTTCGAGCGGACAGTACTTAGTCCAATATTTGTCGAGCAAGCGTGGGAATGGTATGTAGAGATATTGTTGTTCGGGTTGATGTTCGGGTTGACATCCTCTTCGGTAGAGTTGTAAGTGCCCAGCAGGCCAGGGAAGAGACGACGCATGACGGGACGCAGCGTCGGGATTGTGCTGCAGATTACCGCGATGTGTAGTTCCACACTGGATGCAAGTACCAGTAAGGCGGGCTGATCTGGGCGGGTCAGTTTTTTTTTTGCGTGACTGGGAGGGGGAGGAAATGTGGGACGAACAGGTGGGATCTGTGTCGTGTTCCTCGGGGTCGTCGGTGTAGACGCTGTAGACTATGCGGGCGACCGCCGCAAGTGGGACACTGGCCTCATCAGTCTGTGAAGCTCTAGGTAGAGAGGGGGGTGGGGGGAAATCCTACAGTCCACCCGCCACAAACACCGCCATAAGCCCCGCCTTCTGCCGTTTCGCTGGTAGTCTCATCCGCCAAATAAACTTGAGTGGGAGCAACCACACGATTGCATCGGTCAGGATGCTGATCACAGCCGTGATATCCATCGTCTTCGAAAAGTTCCCACACGAGCCTTTCGCATTCTTGGTCGGATCCACTTTTTCCCAGAAGTACGACATCGGTTGGCAGATAAATAACATCGCGAGCCATCCGCCCAGGGTGAATAGGCCCGAGAAGGCGAAGATTGACCAGATCATGAGTTTCATGCGTTGTGACGGTGCAAACCGAGTGAGCTGGAGGAGAAGGGAGGCTTTGATAAAGCCCAGAGATATGATGTGCAGTTGGAGGCCTATGTGTGCCATCTATGGGTATAAATATTAGACCGGCTCCGCAAAGGATTGAGCTGAGTAGTACCATCAGGTTAGGTGATGCATTCTCGATTCCGACGTTCCATACATGGCTTCCGAATCTAGATGGACGTCCCTTAGCTCATCGTTTTTCTTCTCTTTAATTCACTCGAAGGATGTGACATACCCATTAGACACCATTACACAGCTACATGTGGTATGTGCAATCACGGCCAACTATCCAAAGCCCATCCGTTTAGCATGTCCTTCCTCAACGTCCCGCTTCGGGCAAAAACAAAAATTAGGTCTTACTGTAGCAATAATAAGGCAATAGTCATCCCACCAGGTGATGCGCAGAATCACCGCTCTACCGTACACCCTTCCGGCCACAAATACCACGGCTAATGTTGTCAATAATACCGATGTGGTGATCAACATCGGGCCGCGGCTGTCATCGGGGAGGTTGTCGCCAGGGTAGGCGACTGGTCGAGGGACGCTTGAGGGCTGTGAATTGTCTGTTCGGGGACCTAGAGAATGGAACATAGCACCTTCTCGATGGCATCATCTGCCGACCTCTGGATAAATCTCCATCCAAAACCAAGGCGGGGAGGGACGGGGGGGCGGATGAGAGCAATATATACGGTAGGTTGTGGTCCCGCATACATAAGCTCCTCGTATCCCTCGCGCTGGGTGGGGATCAAAATTTGGGTCAAGTGTATTGTGGAAGAGACTCTGATTGGCCCGCCATACCGCCCCCATGTATAAAATTGCGTCTGTCCTCTGTTAAGGTCGAAGAGGTTGGAGCAGGTCGGTCTCTAGCTCGCGTAGCAGTGTGGCGAGTGCTAGGTGACTTCACTATCTACCGGACGCCAAGGAGTATGGGGCTGTTGGTTCCGCAGGGCCTGAGCGCTCCTTTGAGATGGGTTGAAGTAGGCATCATACCACAATACCCACTACCGTATAACTGGGATCCTTAGAGTAACGGCATCCGATATTTTCACCGCTGAGATGCCTCGCAGAGTACCAGCGAAGTTTGAATGCAGAATGTGTCGAGTCATGCAGGGAGGATTATTGGGAGCCGATTGAAGCACCTCTGGCTATAGATATCTTCTCGGTGAGAATTTCTGAGCAAACTTCATTGGAAACCAAATCTTTGGGTGAAAGTTTCAGAATCCGCTAATCGTATCCGAGTACGTGCCACGAGAGTGCGTATTCACAGGGTCGTCGTCAAACGATTGCCTAAATACCTCGTGCTTTGATTGCTCGGGAGTCGGTATATGCCATCGTGCATGGTGTTCGCACGGGATAACGCAATCCTCAAGCCATCCCTTGAGTCTGGCATGGAGCTTCGAACTTTGAGACGACGTGGCTTGGTTGTGCAGGCGTATAGATTTGTGGAGAGTTCCGGAGAGTCCGTCTGTAGGCGCCCTACGAGACAGCCACGAGTGATACCTGTGAGGTGAGTCTGACCGTGCATTCTGAATTCATCCATCAAATTTACGTAACGGCCGAGGTGGATAGGGATAGGTACATAAGTTACGGTATGTAGATAGGTTCCAGAGTAGGTATACGAAGTGGCCGTACATACATGATACCGGCACCTCCGAAGTCAGGCTTGGCATTCTGCTAGCGGAGGTGGATACTGGGGCTCCGGGCGAACGGTGACTGACAGACTCGCGATTGAGGGATTAGCTATGCATACGAAGTAAGAAGAAGAAACAGTATCCACATACTATCGGTAATGGTCTGCGTGATTGTTCTCGAGTAAAGTGGCGTTCGCTGGAGCCGACCCAGCTTCACCCCGATGTCAAACCCGACCTTGGAAGTACTGGTGTGTATGTATTACGCTGGCAGCCTTGGATGGATATCGCTTGCTCACTCACCGTAGCGAAATACTCGCTTAAAAGGAACCCAGACGGGCCACAACCATCAGCCGTAACACCTTAGCTAGGGGGATCTTCGGCCCAAAAACCTGGAGCAACCAGGAGCTGTATCTGGATGGGTCGTTGGGTTGGCAGGGGCTGGTGCCAGCCGAGATCGCCGGCTATTGTGGCTAATGCATATAGATGGAAATCGTGGCATGTCCAGTTCTTTCCAGGCGAGCGAGTGCTGTAGGTATGCATAGGTCAGACATTGCCAGTGGGAGTCACGGCATCACCATTAGTTAATTGTTTCATGTGCCCCTTAACTATTCATGTCTCTCTCCGATGTTGCTGTTACGTACCGAGGCCATGGAGAACTCCGCTGGCGATTCTTTGCAAGTCTTTCGGTTGAAGCCCCCCAGATTCGTGGGAGAAGCCGTGGCCAAGGCCTGTATGTATTATAGGAAAGACTGGACTAAGCAGTTATCGCTCGTGTCTTCAACCGGCGTCCGACGCCCAACTACACCCAGAAAATACAGAAATCCCTCACATATGTAGAGGCCTCGATCCACTCTTCATACTACAGGTATGCATAATGCATAGTGCGTTTATTCCCGGAGCTATCTAGGCGGTGTGGTTCGCCTTAAATCACCTAGAAAGCTGATTGAAGCTCGGCCTTCCCGAGCGGCTGTTGCGGTACATAAGTAGAGTAGATAGCCATCAATCTTTTCTCACTCTCCTCCTCAATCACCTTTCAGTCTCCGTCCTACTACCCCCATGCCAGAGTAATCGAGATTATCCGGCCCTCCTGAGGAATCTCGGGGAAACAGCGGTAATACTCAACCCGCAAGCCACTCGCTAGAGTTACAGCAAACTCGCTTCGTTCAGGTTGAATTCTGGTGGCTTTTCGGGACCCGAAGTCGCGAATTACTAGTACCGGTATGTAGTGATGGGGACGACCGTGGTAGATAACGTGGTTACATGATGTTGCAACCATGGAAACGGGTCATCCGGTGAGCTGTCTGGACGGGATAGGTGGGGGCTAGTTACTTCCCGCCTACTGGTGATCACTAGCAGTAACCAAGCTTAACCGACCAACCAATCGCCCAGCCCGAAGATGCTCGTCTGCACAGACCCATCCGTTCGTTCGGCAGCGGTCTTCCCTTTTCCGTTGCCGTGGAAGAATGTTCCATGTGGGGAATACCTACTAGGCAGTTGCTTTTGTCGATTGATATTTGCACTCCATAATGAGAGATCCCCGACGGGTACGGGCAACTGGTGAGACTGGTTCAGTTGACTAGAAAGCAACAAGAAAGAAAAGCATCCTGTGGTCTCCAGACTGAACGACCTCAAAGTATGGTGTCTCTGCAGTGTTGATAATAATGTCTGCGGTGGTGAATAAAGTCTGATGTGTTGAACAAGAGACCGACCGACTAGACGAACATAAAAGCAGCAACAGAGAACATTTCAACGTTGCGGCGACCGCATCGGGTCCGCCCACCATCACACCTTTGTCCCACAATATCCATCTGCTCCTTCAGTCGTAAGGGACATACTCGGATACGGTCATCGAAATTGGAACTTTTTAGGGGCCTGTTCGAGCGCCAGCTGTGTCTTCAAACCTGGGGTTTCTGACGAGTTGTAGGTTACCAAAAATGCAGCTGTAAACTGTCATCTTCCCTGATGATTCGTTCGGCAACCCAGATATTCAACAGCACGCCACACTTTTTTCTGACTACAGGACTACGCTGGTATGTACTGATGGTTGTCCATAGAGATATTTATAAAGTTGTGGCTCAGTCGACAATATGCAGTTTCTCAAATTGTCAACTTGGAGTGGTGTGCCGAACGATCACTCATCGCCCGGAAACTGATGGTTTCAAACTGCATCTCAATTTTGTGTGGTAGATTCAAAATGCAGCTGGCAACCGAACAGGCCCATATCTAGTTGGAACCAGATCAGGTCTCAGGTTAAATTCAGTTGGGAACTTTTCATGGTGAGAACACGCCTGCAGGCGTTCAAATCGATTTTCTCTCGCAAACCCTTTCCCACAGCCTCAGATAATTCTGGCTGTTCCGACTTCGATGACCGTGTTCGAGTACCTGTTGTACTTCGTGCACTTCAGATCCACCCCTTTCCCCGAAAGGTCGGTGCTTCTGGGCTGCGGACAGGCCGTATGGACCTAAAAGCCCTGAGCCATATTACAGAATCTCAAGTCATCACTCGGCCCACCCTCAATAGCACACACAGCTCACGGCGCCCGATCTATTTTACTCCATAAAGCCATGATATCCGAATTAAACGCAGTCACCAAAACGCCAAACACCATCCAATGCCTCAGCCAGCTAACAGCTCCCCTTCCATTCTCCCTTCGTCCTCGTTACTCCTCATACTCCCCTAACTCGCCTAGTCCCATCTGCTCCCTCAGCCCTCTAATAATCCCCATGAGCCCATCACACGCCGGACTCTCGGGGTATGCGTCGAAGAAGCTCTCGCCATAATCGCATGCCACACCGATACGAGGATCCAATGGTACCGCGCCGAGGAAAGGTACACCCATCTCCTTTGCCAATGCCCGTGCTCCGCCGGTTGTCGCGTGGAAGATTTGACTTTCTCCCTATGGTGGGTTAGCAGGCTGGAGGTTATGAGGGGGATAGGGGAAGGGAAGGTACCTCGCAGTTCGGGCACACGAACCCGCTCATGTTCTCCACGATCCCCAGCACCTTAATCCCCGCCTTCCTACAGAAGCTGATTTCCTTCCTCACATCGAGCAAGCTAACCTCCTGAGGCGTGGTGACCACCACCGCCCCGTCAACGCCACTCTCCTTCAGGTACTGATTAACACTCAAGTGCTCATCACTCGTCCCGGGCGGCGTATCGACCAGCAAGAAATCCAGCTCGCCCCACTCCACGTCCCTCAGGAACTGCTTGATCAGCCCATTCTTCTTCGGGCCGCGCCAGATAATCGCATCGTCTTCGGACGGCAACATGAACTGTATGCTCATGACGCCCAAGTTATCGGCGACATACACCGGCGACCACCCAGAGGCGGAGGCGTGAATACTCTCTCCTACCGCGGCCCCCATCATGCGCGGGATAGAGGGCCCGCAGATGTCGATGTCACACACGCCCACCTGCACGGAGGGCGCCTGGGCCAGCGCGTGTGCGAGCATCGCGGTGAAGGTGGACTTGCCCACGCCGCCCTTGCCGGAGAGGATCAGGAGCTTGTGCGCGACGGTCGACATGCGTGCGGTTATGGCGGGGAGGTCGGGGTCGGGCCCTTTGGGCGCGGTGGCACAGATGGCTTGGTTGGGACAGCCGGCGCACGCGTCCATTTTGCCGGCCTGTTGGCTCTCGGGCCCGGGGCAGTTTTCTGGGGGGTGGGTTAGCTGGGAGGGGAGCAGCGCGGGAGGGACGGGAGCGTACCAGGCTCCGGCGCGGCGAGTTGGGGAGCTGCCTTGGGCGGCAGCGTGAGGTCGGGGACAGACGGCGGTTGGAAGACGACTACCATTGTTGCTGCGGTGGATTTGATCTGGGTACTGCGTTCGCACGGTGTGCGTGGTGGTTTTATGACGGCCGTCGTTCGGTGGTCGTCGGCGTCGGGGGTGGTGGGATAGTGGGGTGGCGGGGGTGGATTTGATCTGGGTACTGCGTCCGCACGGTGTGCGTGGTGGTTTTATGACGGCCGTCGTTCGGTGGTCGTCGGCGTCGGGGATGGTGGGATAGTGGGGTGGCGGGGTTGGATTGATAAGCTCACGCGTGCTTAGAGTAGAGTATTGTACCCTATCCTCCGCACCCCTCGCCAAGGCAGACATTCGAGATGTCCATTGCCCATTGCCACAGCTCCGGAAGGGCACCTAGATAGGATGATATGTAGCTGATATCTAAGAGTCTTCTACTACGGAGGTCCATCCACAAGAAGCAGAAGAAAAGAAGGAATTAAAGAGAGAAAAAGCCACACCTCCAGCACGAAAAAAAGACAAAGCCCCCTCCAAAACCAACCTCCGCAACACTCCAATTCGCCACAAGAAATGCACCAATACCAGTAGCTATTACGTCCCCGACGGTTTTGTTCCGACCTTCTTCTTCATGAGCGAAGTGAAAAACGCCGACAGTACTTCGTTATGGGTCTTTCCGTCGGCCTGGCCACTCGGGGGTGTGGGCGATGGCGACAATGTGTCTGTGCCTCCCGCTCTGCTTGCCTCTCGTAGCTGCAAAAATCCCATCAGCTCCCATCCCTGGGCGCATGAACAAAACAGGTGAATTAATATACCTTCAAGCTCTCCATCATGTTTTCCGCGTCGACCTGGATACCTCCAACATTGAACTGGACCGGGCCGACCTGCTCAGCGAGGACCTTATCCGAGCCATCATCGATATCGCGCTTTTTCTTCGCATCTTTTCCATCACGCAAAACCTTGTCCTCGGCCGCCTTGAGCTCTAGTATTTCAAACTGCTGCGCCAGGAACTCCTGCGTATCGACCGGTGGAACCTCCATTACTTTGCCCTTGAGCAGCCCAAGTGAGTCGGTTCCACCTCGGGAAGTATCCTTGATGACTTCCTCGTAGACCTCTACTGCGCCACCCTCTGTTTCGCCGGCGGCGGCGGCGTCATCGCCACCACCACCGTTGATGTCAAGACTCCATCCAGAGTGGATGCCTTCGACGTCGAAGCCTTCGCGGAGAACACGGATCTTGCCCCAGCTGTCCCAGTGTGGAGGTACAAAGACTTTGTCGCGTTCAATTACGTTGTGTTTTAATGTTTGCTGGCGCAGCGGAGATTGGATCGAAAGCATAGAGTATACCAGAGGTTGTAGAGATGAAGGGACAGAGGGCGTGGTGTATATCAACGATGCGCCATCTGTAGTGCGTTAGTTGGATGCCATCTGTCGCAGGCGGAAGAGGGAGGTACGTTTCAAGAGGATCGTCCGTAGGAATTGCAGGACGAAATCAAACTCTTCTTCCTTCCATCCACGTTCTCGCTCCAGCATTTCAATCTTATCAGCCTGGTAGTAGCGGAGCTGTCGTCAGCGCACATATTTCCCAACGACCATACGCCATGGACAGAAGAAACACACATTCTGGCAAACCACACAAAGCGGCAAACCAATCGGTTCATCAAACTCTCCCGGGCCCAGCGGGAGTGCTACATCGCCCAATCCCGCCCCAGCGCCTCCACCTCCGCTCCCCTCCGCATACGTACTCCGCCGGCTCTCCCACGCCTGTGTAACATCGTCGAGAGTCCGCCGGCAGTCATCATCCAGACTTGTGAATATACCCCGCAGTAACCGTACCCACGTCTTGATCTGTCGCACCCACTCCCATGGGCGAGACCAGTCCAGTAGAATTACAATTAGCGTCTCCGGTAGTGATTGCGGGGTGAAAAGGGGTCGGAGGAGCGGGATGAAGGCGGGGCTGGGCTCGGAGATCAGATAGATTCCTAATCTTGCGAGGACATCTATAGGCTCACACATTAGATCATCGAGACGAATAGTAGTTCTATGAGGTATTCACCTTCATGGTCCGCATCCAGCACGTCCTGGTAGGTGTAACCAAGCGCAAACGCATTCGCAACAGGAGCGGCCTTATTCCCCCTCTTATAACCGCCGACACCAAGGCTCTCCACAAACTCCTTCTGGCCATCCGAAGTCCCGCCTATTCAATAGAAAGAGCATCAGTCCTGGTTTGTTGCGGGTAGCCATCCCCACCTCCTCCGTCGTACCCCTCCGGCGGGTGTGTGCAGTACCTAGAACCAGAATCGACTTTTGCGGCAGCCGTCGTGAGAGCGTGACTGACGACAACATAGACAGCCACATGTTCTCGGCCTTTTCGGTCGCGTTCGATGACGCGTTGGACATTGCGGAGCCCGGGCGCGGGAAGTCGAAGCCCACCATGGTGTGCTCGAGGGGTGGGTCGCTCGTGGTAGGTGTAGGGGTTCTTCTCTATCAGGAGCGGCGGAGGTGTTGTATCGGTGGTGGCGAGATTGATCGATGACGGGATGTGATGGAGAGTGGAGGGGTACAATGTTCGTCGTCGTTGTCGGTCTTTCTTTGTTGCTCAGTAAAAGAGAGGAGCTCTGGTCCTAGGTTCGTTCGATCACCCCGGCCTAATACTACTAGCAAGCTCCTGCACAGTCTAGAGCGGGATGCAACGCCAATTTCAAGAAGGATCGCAGGTGTTAATGAACATTGCAGATCGACAAGCCAACGATAGAGATACCAGACGAAAACCTTTTAATGCTTAGAGAGTTCTAGCACGGGCAATCTTGTTGCTATAATGACTGTCGGTATTCGAACGGAGACTCTTCCCTACCTATCTCTAAGGCTAGAAGGACCTCCTGAATGCGCTCTCCTGGGATACTCAACGATAAGTTTGAAGAAATTGTGGCAACGAAAGGTGAGTTGTGAGAGTTTTTTCACTGCATTGCGCGGAAGAGCCTCTATGAAGAAGTTGGAGATATTCAGGGGGTTCTGTGGACCGCTGATGCTATGGAGGAGCCAATGCTCCCGCTCTGCGTAATGTTCTAGAATACATCCCCATCGCCGATTACCATATTGTGCCATTAAGCTGTATATCTTCAGTCAGAGAGCCCTGCAGGTTCCTTCTGGCCGCCATTACTCGAGGCATGATCAATTCGTTTCCTCATACTTGCATGTGAACTGCTTCAGTCTTTTCGAGACCGATGTTTCCTCTCCCTTTCCCTGTCCCTAGACCGTGACCGATGATCGCGATGCCTCCTTTCCTTCGAACCACTGCGGTGCTTCCTCTCCCTCTCCTTGGAAACATCGCGAGACTTCCTCTCCCTCTCTTTTGAGCCATCACGGTGTCTCCTTTCCTTCGAACTATCTCGATGCTTCCGTTCCCGCGAGCGATCACGGGGCTTCCTTTCCTTCGAGCGGTCGCGATGCCTCCGTTCCCTTGACCCATCCCGCTTCCTATCCTTCGACCGACTGCGGTGTCTCCTACGAGGCTTTGCCATCGCGGTATCGGGTTCCTCCTCCTTCTCCTCTGTCCTTCTCCTCTTTTCTTCCCGCTCCCCTTCATCCTTCCCACCGACGGCTCCCATCCCCTGTCCTTCCTCTTCTCCTTCCTTAGGCGGCTTATACCGACAGTGATCGACGCGAATTGTCCGTCCCAGAATATTTGCTCCACCCAGATTATCAACGGCAAGCACTGTACTCCTCTGGTCCTCATACTTCAAGAACCCAAACCCCTTGGATTTCCCGGTATCTTTGTCGCGCACTAGGTTCACGTGTGTTGGTTCGCCGAATTGGCTGAAGATTGTGATTATGTCACCTTCGCTGAGCTCGTAGGGGAGGCCACCGATGTATACATAGGCCGTGTCGTTCCAGTCGTTGTGCCATGACGCTGAGGTTGGCTGTTGGCTGAGTTTAGCTAGAGGATGGAATGAGGTGGGCTGAAGAACTTACAACGGCATTGTCGAGCTCGAGCTGGTTTAAGCGCTCGATTTCGCGGATGTTGTTCATGGCTGTGAGTGATGGGTGGTGGACTGGTTGGTTGGTGGATTATGCCGCGATTCGTGATGCGAGAAGTCGCGTCAGACGTGTGACATGAGCTCGGGCGTCTGGCCGGTGCATTACTTCGATCACTTACCCGGAAGTACCGCATTTCACAAGCTTGAGGTGCAGCAGCCAACAGCTGGGCGCTATGAGCTCAAGGACGCGCTACTGCTGCTGCGCAAGCTAATGGCTGACAGACATCAATCATGGGGAAAGAAGAATCTGACGGCGAAGATGAGGATATAAGACGTCGACTCTGCTTCAACAGTACCTCTAGATTATTGGCCGGCATCATACACTCTCCATCTCGTTCTGGCCAGTAGTGTTCGTTTGCTGCGGTGGGTAGCTGCCTCGCAATTCCATTATCGCCAACAGCAGCATCCCACTCCTCCAATTAAAGCCAGCTACGCCAAGCTTTGAGGAAATAGGGGGGCGGACAGAGGCATCAACGGAGAGAGAGACTGAGAAGCAGGCGGGAGGGGACAGAGGGCAGATCGCCGAGCCGGAGAAGAGGAGGATCAAGAGAGAATAGAGCTTCTTCGCTGTAGATATCATCATACAAGTTCGGATTCATTCTTCTGGGTCTTCAAGTTCTCGCACACAGCTCGAGATATACATCAATAACGGCGTGCTTCTCACGAGCACTCGTATTGTGATTTGCTGCGGCCTTCTTCTCTCTCTCTCTCTATCCCTTTCTCTTCCTATCTCTCTCTCTCTTTCCCCCCATCTCTCCATCCTCAGCCCTCACTCGCCCCGTCTTGCTCCCCTTCCTCTCTCTCTGTGTCGTTGTCCCTTTCCGACATAGACCGCAACCCAAATCCAACCCATACTTTCCGACTAGACCCTGTCCTACCGCCTACCCACACAACGCGTTTCTCGCTTCACTCTCTCTCAATCTTCCCCCTTTCCCCCCCGTCATCCACCATCAACTGTACTGCGCCCTTCAATTCAATTCCTACGAAAAAAATAATCGCGACATCGAACACAGTTCTCGTCGCCTCGCGAATCCTCAGCATCACCATCACCTCCCAGATCTAATCCAAACCCCCCGCAATCATGTCCGGAATGCATCCAGTATGTACTCGCTCCATCTACTTTGCTTTGCTCCATAACCCGCTTAGACCTTATCCCGCCCACTATCGGCGTTGAGGGTGATGGTGGAAGGAGTGCAAAGTTACATGGAGCTATGGAAGAGGAAGATGCATCGCATTGCATCGGCGTCAATGGAATGCGTCGACGCGGAATTTAATGCTAACTTCTGATCTGATGAACAAGGTTCGCCGCAAGAAGCAGATGAAGAAGGGCATCCAGTTTTGCCTGATGGTCTGCGGTGCTTCTGGAACTGGTGTGTTTGCTCTCTCTCCCCCGCTCATCGCTTTCTCCCCTCTCTCCCTCATCGACACTTCATTGTGCAGCTCACTAATGGCTGTGACCTCCCTCTTCTCCCCCAATAGGACGCACTACCTTCGTGAACACACTCTGCGGAAAGAAGGTCCTACAGAGCAAGGATGCCGATGACGCCGAGAACGCACACGTTGAGGAGGGCGTACGGATCAAGCCCGTCACCGTCGGTTCGTTGACGAAGACACCAACCCCGAGAGGTTCCATACCGTGTTTCTGACGTTACCGTGCTGTTGTACAGAGCTCGACGAGGAGGGAACTCGTATTTCCCTGACGATTGTCGACACCCCTGGTTTCGGCGACCAGATCGACAACGAGGCGAGGTAAGAGAGAGATACTCTGCGATGTGGGGTGTCCTGTTCTCGGAACTATGGCTAATTGGATTGCTAGTTTCGGTGAGATCTCTGGCTACCTCGAGCGCCAGTACGACGACATTCTTGCCGAGGAGTCCCGTATCAAGCGTAACCCGCGATTCCGCGACAACCGTGTGCACGCCCTCCTTTACTTCATCACTCCTACCGGCCATGGGTATGTTGCGATCCGTCACACATGTAGTAGTTCAGTACGCTAACAGGAAGTGATCGCAGTCTCCGTGAGCTTGATATCGAGTTGATGAAACGCCTCTCACCCCGTGTGAACGTTATCCCCGTCATCGGAAAGGCTGACTCGCTCACCCCTGCCGAGCTTGCCGAGTCGAAGAAGTTGGTCATGGAGGACATCGAGCACTACCGTATCCCCGTCTACAACTTCCCCTACGACATCGAGGAGGACGACGAGGATACCGTGGAGGAGAACGCCGAGCTGCGTGGACTGATGCCGTTCGCCATCGTCGGAAGCGAGGAGACCGTGGAGATCGGTGGACGGAAAGTTCGCGCCAGACAGTACCCTTGGGGTATTGTTGAGGGTATGTAGCAAGTTTGGCACCGGAGACCTGTTGGGATACATGCTAAGCGAGTGGTACAGTCGAGAACCCAAGGCACTCGGACTTCCTGGCGATCCGATCGGCTTTGTTGCACTCCCACCTCGCCGATCTCAAGGAGATCACCCACGACTTCCTCTACGAGAACTACCGAACAGAGAAGCTTTCTAAGTCTGTGGAGGGTGGTGCTTCTGCGTAAGGCCCCCCTTGTGTTTCCAACTGCTGGTAGCTCATTACTGACTGGATGATAGTTCGATGAACCCCGAGGATCTCGCGTCTCAGTCCGTCAAGCTGAAGGAAGAGCAGCTCCGACGTGAGGAGGAGAAGCTCCGAGAGATCGAGCTCAAGGTGCAGCGCGAGATCAACGAGAAGCGACAAGAGCTTCTCGCCCGTGAATCCCAGCTCAAAGAGATGTATAATCCCCAACTTCCTGGTGTATCGATGCATGATACTAACTGCATACGTGAAGTGAGGCGAGAATGACCCGCGAGGCGAGTGCCAACCATGGGGATCAGAACGGCGACCACGCATAAACGCCAACTGGTCTGTGGGAAATCACCTAAAACGCGCATTGGACGGGAGGAAAGGTCTGCCGATGTTTTGTAATTTTTGTTGTTTTGATATCCACACAGGCGCGGGACGGCGGCAAGAGCGAGCAGGACAGGAATGGGATGGTGATGGGGAGAGATTCTTATACCACTGTTTTTTGAACCAATGTTGGAGAGGGAAAACGAGAAGGGTTGTGGCAGTTGTCGAATGGCTGCTGGTATAGCTAGCAGGGCATAATTTTGTCTCCTTCTCGTATTGGTTTTCCTCTTTTCTTTTTCTTCGTCTTTTCTTTCGACTTTTATACCTTATGCCTCCTTCTGTTTTTTCTTCAGCTACGGGGAGCTTTTTTTTCCCTTTCTTTGTACGAAACCCGACACCTTATCTAATCTCTCTGCTTTTTCGTTGTTTACTCACTAACACATAAATTTTTCCTACGTGTATTCCCTGTGTCTGCCTATCTGTCGTTCGTTTTGCTTTTTCCTAATGTGCGTTATGTTTTCGGGAGTGCGGCGGCAGGATAGTGAATGTGAAGTTGTGGTTCAGCAAAACTGAATACAGAAAGAAGGCCAAAAAAGAAACAGCTCTTAAAGAGAAAAAGATAATCTTCCGTTACGGGGAATTGAACCCCGGTCTGGCCGGTTTAATGCTCTACTTGAGAGCGGCCGATGCTAGCCACTACACCATAACGGATGGTTGTATGTCACTTAACCGGTTTTGTGGATATAAAATTTATGATTGACTGTATGCTAGTAAATTTCTACTGCACTACAAAAAAATTATGTAGAGCCGCAGCATGTCTTCCTCTACCGCCCCACCATCCACAGATCCAGACACACACACCACCACACACAATGTTCCAGCTCGTAACACGACGCCTGGCCGCCGGCGCCGGCGCACGAGCATTCAGCGGCTCGGCCTGCTCCTTCAAGGCGACTGGTTAATCCCACCTTCCCAACCGACGCTTCACTGCCCGCCCCACTAACATGCATTCCCTACTGCAGGCCCGCTCCCAGTCTTCACGTCGACGTCCAACCCAGAACTCGACAAACTGCTGTCGACGATTCAAGAGGAGCTGTTTATCCCGTCGCACCTTCTGCGGCGCCACAAGACGCTGCAGCACCGGCAACGAAACCACCACATCCTAGCCGAGGAGCCGTTAACAGTCGACGTTTCCGGGGTGCCCGTCACGCTGACGGCGAAGTCGCGCGAGGTCCCCGTACCCATCAAGCTGTTCACGCGCGCGCTGGGGCTGATGCAGCAGCCGGGAGACCTCGATGCCATTCCCGGCTTGGTGCAGGGCTACGCTCAGGCGAATAGACGAATCAGGGACGAGCAGGCTGAGAAGCTCGCTCGCATGTGTAACTTCCACGGAAGGACCGATATCCTCATGACGTTGGCGAGGACCGCCGGCAAGAATGGTTTCCGGTTCTCGAGGCCCGCGGCGAGAGAGTTCATGCGCGGCCTCAGGATGGCGGCTATGCTGCCGGGCAAGGAGGCTAGTGTTAAGGCGATCAAGAATGGCCAGGCGCTCCTGAATTGCCTCGGTGAGCCGCTGATGAAGGTGCGCCCTGATGAGAGGCTGAAGAGGGACCCGGTGGTGGTGGGGACGCTGCTGTCGATGGTCGCTAGTACGTCTGTGAAGTTCAATGAAGGGAAAGACTATGAAAACAGGACGAGGCAGTGGGTGCATAGGCTCCAGGCTTGCTGGGAGGATGTGGAGTGGTACCTGGATTTGACTCCGAAGGGAGCGGGGGATAGAAATCCGGTGTACAGGGCCAAGGCTGCGGTGTTGGATTACTTGCCCGTGCTGGAGGGACTGTTTGCGGCTAGGGATATGCTCCAGGGAACGGATCAGAGTGCGTGGTTGGAGGCGGAGAGCGCGAAGCTGAACAACACCGTCGCTGGATGGAAGAAATTCTTGGATGAGAACTCGCCGGGTGAGCAGTTTTGGGGTGTACATGCGTACAAGAGGGTGGCAGAGAGGCTGGCGAAGGAGAAGGAGTTGGCGGCAGAGGTGGAGGGTGAAGTGAGTGATGAGGTATATGAGGAGGCAGAGGAGGAGGTGGAAGACGAGGCGGAAGGGAAGGTGAAGGAGGTTTAGATGTGGAGGGTTCTTGTACAATATCTTCTTTCTTCTATCTTCTTTTCTTCTGGCTGGTGGGATCTACGATGAGTAAAATGCACATAGTCCACACTCACCACGGATCCATATTGTCTCGCCCTTGATCCCTAAGTATATATATACAAATTTTGTGAAATGAAAACAGCCCAAACGCCCATATTAACCCCTTCCAGTGCATACATCCATCTAGTAGTAGTCTTCCCCGCCACCATCGTCGTCTCCATAGCCATCGCTCATGTCGTCGCCATTCTCGAAGTACTGCTCCGCATTATAGTCGTCGTTGTCGTCATCGGAGAAATGATCCTTCTCCTCCTCCTCCTCATCCTCGCCCTCCTCCTTCTCTTCATCCTCCTTCTTTCCTCCCTCCACTTCATCCTCCTCCTCGCCCCCCTCCCAATGCGCACTATCCAGCGCCTCAAACGCGAGCCTCTTCTTCGCGAGCGCCTTCCCGCCCTCACCCACCGCCGCGTTCTCTCCATCAACGCCCAGCGTAACCCACAGCTCCTCAGGAAAGAATCCAATAACATACGGCCTGGCATCAAGCTTCGGGGCGCGCCGCACACGTTTCGCATACTTCATGGAGTAGCGCACGACATCGTTGAACGGATCCTCCATGCCGCGCTTGCGCGCCATCACCGTGTACAGCGGGCCGCTGTGGATCTTTTCGCGGTGGTGGCGGTAGCGCGAGACGATTGCGCGCTCGGCCTTCGATGGCGGGTTCTGTACCGGCGGCACGATCGGCGGGAAGAGCTCCGTCACGCTGTAGTCGGGCTTCAGGTCGTCGCCGCCGAACGGGCCGCCTCCGCCAGGCGCACCACCGCCGCCGCCGCCGCGTCCCCCACGTCCCCCAAATCCTCCGCCGCCTCGGCCGCCGCGGGACATGCTGTTAATTTGTCTGTGTTCGGAAAGTGGCGGGTGATGTCGCAGTTGGGTCGCGGAGTGGGTAGGTTCGTTGGTTGGTGGTGTGTATTTGTGGGTGGTGATGGATGGGTGGGAGTGGTCGTGTGTTGTGTCAAAGGTGTGGTGGGGTGTGAGTCGTGAACTCAGCACGCCGTAAAAATAAAGTGTGTCCCATCTCGTTTAAACTCAAGGCGAGAGTGGCACCTGCACTCTTGGCACCTCACTACAGATCTAATCTACGCTTCCATGCAGTCATCATCAAGATTCAATCGTCGCTCACTATCAAGATCTCAATTGTTGCTCCAAGACGAGACGAACTCCAGCTATGCTAAACAAGAACTACCAACCATCAAAAACAAGCAATCTAAACCAGCTGCTCAATTTCCTTGATGAGCCGATTAACCCTTGCTTCTTTGACCCGTCCAGCTGCACTCTTCATGGCACCTCGAACGTCGAATATTCCGTTCGCAGCTTCTTTGACCTCACCCCCGAGGGCGAGGACCGTACCCATGGCTACGAGGTAGCGGTAGACGGTTTCTGAATCGATTTCTGTACTAGCGCCCTTGGTGACTACTTCGAGGAGAGTCACTGCGGCGTCGATGGATTTGTGTGCATGGATGAGGACGGAGTAACTAGGACACCACATTAACGAACGGGTGTGATATGAGAGGGACATTCACTCACTTCAGCATCAACGTAGCTTGAGCAATTTTGAGGTTGCGGTTCCCAGCAATATTCACAGTTGTCGCCATTTTAAGGATCTGCAGACATAAGCTGGTGGTCATTAATCGTGGGGAGGTGTTCACAAACCTGCTCGAACGCCTCCATCGCATACTGGCGGCCCTCCTCGGTCTGGAACAGGTTGACGAATGCTCTCACAGCCAGCATGGCATTGTTGGGGGATTCCTGCGAGATAGTTCCGAAGTCGTGGAACACGCTGACGAGATCCATCTTCGCCACGAGAGGACTGGCTCCAGCTGACAGTCTCAGAAGATCTAACACTGGAATGAGATGCTGACGGGGCCAATTGCTAATCAGCTTCTCGAGAAGCTGAAGACCTGCAGCCGACAGTGACGGGGCTTTGTTCTTGTCTGCGAGGACGCTACAGAGAGCCTGAAGTGTTTCCAAATCCCCGGCGCCCATAGCGATTTCAGTCTTCCCTTCCTGTACCAGCTGGTCGTTGAGCTGTCTAGTCTTCTTCTCCACAAGGGGTAGGTTCGCCGTCAAGATGGAGAGGTATTCCTTCTGAGGCAGCACCTTGGCATGCGTAGGCGGAGGTCGTGAACTCGAATCAGGCTGTCCGGGGATATATCGGTTCCCGCTTCCCCAAGGATCGTATGTCGAGGTATCCGGTTCGGGCTGCTGGCCAATTGTAGCTCCCTTCGAGTTCTCCACGATGAAGTTGCCAACCGTATCCAGATAGGACAGAGGTAGCTCGTTCTTCTCCAGAAACTTCCGGGCAGCGTCGAACGGATTCTCAGAGGCGTTATATGGCAGCTTCAAAGCCGGTGCCCCCTCCTGGATGTCGACGTCAAACACGAAATCGTACTCCTTCCCTTCGTAGACCCGTTTCCGGTTCGAGCCCATAGCGTCAACAACCTGGCCGACGTTCGCCCATGACTGCGCGCTTGCCGACCACATGTGGGCTTCGACGACCTCTCCATTCCGAACCATTATGACCTGGCCATCTTTGCTGCCCGACTTCTGCAGCGCTTCAATTCCGGGTAGTTTCCCCTTATCGACATCCCCAACTTGGTTGGATGGAATGCTCGACTTGGCCACACTGTCATCGAACTCCTTCAGGAGCTCCTCTGTGGCCCATTTCTTCCCGTCACGAGAAAATACTCTCACGATATTGTCACTGGCACCGGTGGCAATATCGCCAGTTTCCGCGCACGCATCCACGGACCACACACTGATCGCCGGGTGTGTGATGGTCTGAACACAGTCACCGTCTTCGGGTAGTTAGCCAACATAGCCTGTCTTTCCGGTGATAGACCAAGACAAACCCTTCCATATCCGCACCGTCCTGTCTTCACCAGACGAGATGATTTCGCCCGATGGCAACGCCGCAATCGAGTAAATGTAGTTTGTGTGCCCGTACAACTGCTGTAGTTCGTCCCCATCTGCGGACCATATACGGATAGTACTGAAACCCAACGTCAGCATGCGCTTCCGGCAACGGAAGAAGGGGCAAACACTCACGCATCATTGGCGCAGCTCGCAAACAGCCCATTCGGTAATCGGCAAAGCCCTCTGACACAATCAGTGTGATCTTTCAGCACCTTGACGCACTTTGTGCCCTTCCACAGTCTGATAGTCTTATCCGCCCCACCGGTAATGAACTCCGTCTCTGAGACCGCCATCACCGCCCACACGGCTCCCTCGTGGCCCTCGAGAACGAACTGCGTCTCCCAGTTTCTCCAGACACGGGCAGTGCTACAATCCTTCCATCAGCCGGCTTCTTTAAATTGGCAGCGGAAACACCGGTAGTTACCCATCCCAAGAACCGGAAATTATAACTTCGCCAAATGTGTCGAGCGAGCAAACGTTGTGTGCATGGCCGAGCAGTACGTAGCTCGGATCAGGATTCTGTGTTCCGGGTTCTCGAACGTCGATTACAGTGTCTTGACCGCCGCTGACGATAAGGCCTTGTGGTGGATTGCAGTTAGTTAAGGTAATTGGGCGATGAAGGAAGGTTGAGATAGGGTGGGGTTGGACCTTTTGGATGGTCGGGGGTGGGCGCGATGTAGGCTACCGAGTTGACGAAGGCCGCGCCAGTAGAATTGATATGATCATCGAACTGGGTAGGGGATGGTCCTCGCTGCCACAGACGGACGGTGGAATCTCGAGATACGGAAACGACAGAGTCTGGCGATGTGAAGGCTACGTCTCGGACCTGGTGCACATCGCTATGTGAGCTAGCTTCCCCGAGCTTTCGGAGGAGGGGAGCATATACATCATCGTCATGTCCTTTGAGCGACGCAGTGAGCTTGTAGATGGTGGTAGCCATCCCCGATAAGATGGTCGTTGATTGTGGCGGGCTGGAAGACAGTTCGGGATGCTGTTGATGTGGGAAGTTGGGGATGGTTGTGATTGTGGTGGTGTTGGATGTGGGTTTAGTGCGGGACGGAAGCTCAGAGAGATGATGTCGTTTCCGGCTTGCTTGCATCGCTCACCCCCGCCATGGGTGGACACCGCCACACAAGAGATTCAGCGGCATGTCTACTGCTAGTATAGGATCTCTCATCGTTTGGAATCAATTAACGATATTTACCCCAGTCCATTTGAAAAGGTGTTTTCGACGAGTGTAGGAATATAGAGCGCGAATATGGCTGGATAAAGCCTCGAGTTGCAAGTCATGCGGCCACTCTTTCTGTCCCTAGTTAACATACTATCTTCGTCTCACTTGCTGGTTGGAATTCCAGTCGATTGGAGCTTGCACCCTGAAATTCTCTCTCCTTTATGCGGTGGGACTCTGATCTCAGCGGTTGGGCAGCGCCTGCATAGCACGCAGATGGCCATAGAGTTCCCTAGCCCGAAACGAATTGCTTTCGATATTCCTCAGCAAAGCTAATCTAGCTTGAAGAGAGTTAAAACAGGAGAGAGAGTATCGTAGAGCAAAAGCATACAAGAGAACGGGCAGGTGTTGTGTGTTGCCATTCTTTTCCCCGCCTCCGCCTCCTCCTCTTCCTCGTTCTAGAATTCTCCCGCTTCCTTCGACATCACTGCAACCCTCCGCCCTATCCTGACCTAGCCCGCCCCGCCGCAGCCGCGACCTCCTCCACCACCACCACCTCTTCCCCTCCGAGAGCGCGGCCAACGACACCCGTCCGCAACGAAAGAAACAGAAAGAGAAGAAACAAAGACCAAAAGTCGGAAAGTCGGCAGACAAAAATACCGATCACTTACTTGCCCACTTCTCCTATCCAATCTCTCAACACCTTACCGCTTCTTAACGACTTCACGACTCGAGAGTTCACAACTTAAACCGGCCTTTGCATTTCCCATCTCAAGCTTTCCTATAAAGTTCCCCTCCGCCTCTCCTCCTCTAGATACACATCCGCTCTCATTCTCTTCTCCTCCGCCGAGACCGCATCCTCAATCCTGATCGGCCATTCGTCGTGTCTCGGAAACGACCCTCAAATCATCCTCTGAGGAGCATCTTCCCGCTCCAACCTTTCGACACCACCGCCACCCCCAGCCTCGTCCCAAGGCCGCGTCGTGTTGAGACGACCTTATCCTCCTCCTTCCACCACCATCTTCCACCTCGCCCCCAGTCTGATTAACGACCCGTCTACGATACTGTAACGATTTTCTTGTTGAGAACGCGACATCTTCTATAATCTCGAGCTACGAACTACACGAAGCACACGACTTACCTCGCAAGTGACGCCTTCCCTGTTGCTATTGCATACTACTACCAACTATCAACCAACTACACCATAAATCTTTCTACACTACTACTATCACCATGAGTGCAGGCCCTGGTGCATCTAATGGCGGTGCTGGTGGAATTCGTTCGTCTTCTACCCTCCATCTTGCGAAACGTCTGTGCCTGGTTGTGCTGAAGGCGATGTGTTCACAGAGGCCCCGCGTGTCGTTCCTCTGACGTGCCATGGACACTCCCGGCCAGTCGTCCACTTACACTTTTCGCCCATGCTCGGCGACGACGAGTACTATCTGATCTCGGCATGCAAAGGTGACCTTTGTGACGGTCTCCCCTCTCGAGGTTCCATTCTGATGTTAGAGCTCGACAGATAACAATCCTATGCTGCGCGATGGAATCACTGGCGATTGGTGAGAAATTGGTCCTGTTCGGGAAGGTGTAGGACGGGAGGGCATGTCGTGCTGACTGTGCCCCGAAAAGGATCGGCACCTTTCTCGGTCACAAAGGAGCAGTCTGGCAAGCTAGGTTGTCCGGTGATGCCTCGATGGCCGTGACCGCCTCTGCCGACTTCTCTGCGTAAGCTGCTGCATCCTACTAGCTCGTGGTGGTCGAACTAGTGTCTAACGGTGTGTGCAATCGACAGCAAGATTTGGGATACGTTCAGCGGAGAGTGCCTTCAAACGCTCCAGCACAATCACATCGTGCGTTCGGTTACGTTTAATCCCGGCCAGACCCATGTGGCGACCGGCGGCGCGGAAAAGAAGCTTCGCCTCTTCGATCTCAACCGCACGGACTCACCTATCGAGGTCGGCCCCCAGATGCACACCGGAACCATCAAGTCGATCGTTTGGGCGGACCCCACAACGATAGTCTCGGCCTCGGACGACAAGGCGTTGCGGTGGTGGGACGTGAGGTCGGGGAACCTGATCGAAGAATTTGGCGTGAACGAGCTGATCGGCTCGTGCGAATTGAGCCCGGAAGGTAACCTGATCAGCGCCACGGCTGGAAAGTCGGTTTACTTCTTCGAGGCGGGAAGCCGGCGGCTGATCAAGAGCATCACCACCCCGTACGAGGTCTCGTCGGTTGCGCTTCACCAGGCGACCAGAAGATTCATCACCGGAGGTAGCTCGGATACTTGGGTGCGCGTCTACGACTTTGATACGCAGAAGGAACTAGAGGTATACAAGGGTCATCACGGAAGCATATGGAGTGTTGCTTTTTCGCCAGACGGAAAGCTGTATGCCACAGGTTCCGAGGATGGCACAATCAAGCTGGTACGTTGGGTGATACCCGCTCTGTAGATGGATTATGAGGCTGATAGACACCTGTAGTGGAAATACACGGACCAGCCTTACGGACTCTGGAAGTAAAGGGCGTCAATGGCGTTGAGCGCAGGGAAGCTGTTGTATAGATTTGCATTTGGAGTGGGCCGTACAGACAGACGATTGCATACTAGGGGCGAGCCTTTGAATTTCCGCAGAGGAACGTGGAGATATTTGCTTTTAATTGGATGTAGAAAAGGGCCGTACTGCTGTACGTTTGATTGAACGCGGGTTTATACGTTTAAGCTTTAGGCACTCTCGTTTGCTGAGGACAGATAGGGCGGGTTTCATTGGTCATGAACCATGATTCGCTGAAGCCAAGTCTTGTCATGTGACGCGGTAATCTCTAGCCGAATTTTGTTCCCCCACCACCACTCACCTCACCTTCCACGGTCCGCGTCGCCAATCCCGCAGCAAGATAGGAAGCTATGTCGACGACCACCCCGATACTGCGGCCGCTCACGGCGTGCCTCAAGGCGCTCAGCCTCCGCCCCATCTCCGCCCGCACCATCACCACCACCGCCACCGGCGCCATCGTCCTCCCACGCAAAGTCGGCATGGTGCACCAACCCGCCGCCTTCCACAGCCCGCGTACCCCCCTTCCCCTCTCCCTCCCCCCAGTCCCCACCGTTTCCCCCACATACTCACATGTTCTAGACGCCGCTTCCCCCCGGCGCCACATCAAAGTGTACCCGCCGCCGCAGAAGAACGCGAGCAAGTCACCGATCGCGGACCTGACGGTGCAGCAGCTGGCGGTGCTGGACCCGCTGGGGGCGCGGCAAAAGCTGTTCTCGCGGCACAACCGCGACGCGATCCGCGTGGGCGACATCCTGCAGGTGCGCCGTGGCAACGGCGAGCAGCCGTTCGCCGGCGTGCTCATCAATATCAGGCGCCGCGGCGTCGATACCGCCTTCTTGCTGCGTGGCCAGGTCACCAGGATCGGAGTCGAGGTCTGGTTTAAGCTCTATAGTCCTACGATTGAGGGGATTGATCTGGTCCAGAGGGCGAAGAAGAGGGCCAAGAGGGCGAAGCTCTATTATATGCGGTATGTGCGAGTGGGACGGGGAGGGCGTGGGTGCGCGCTAATGAATGCAGTGACCCCAAGCATGATCTCGGATCCGTCCAGAACATCGTTAACCAGTACGTTCGGCAGCGTGCCATGCTTCGTGGAGATGGCAGGAAGGATGGGCGAGGAGCTGGTGGTGGTGCGAAGGGGAAGCACAGGGCTGGCAAGAGATAGTGCTAGCGCGTGGCGGCGGTGGAGGGAAATCTGTATCATAAAGAACATACTACATACGGTATCACTACTGCTCGACTTCCACTTCCTTCTTAACCGCTGCTGCTGCTACAACAACACCGCTCGAGGACATGTCTTTGACCAGTACCTCGCCCATCTCCCGCAGCTTGAATTTTTGTATCTTCCCACTGGCGGTCTTGGGGAATTGGTCACGGATGAGGAAGACATATTTCGGCACTTCCTCCTCTGTAAGTACTGCCCGCTACCATCATCATCATTCAGAGGTAGGGGGAGACATACCGAGATGGTTCGACAACCGTCCCCTAACCCACTCCCTTAATTCCTCGATGTTGACGTCTAATCGGTCCTCGTGCGGGCGTACGAACGTGGCCACCACTTCGCCGTACCGCTCGTCCTTGATCCCGACGCAGGACGCCTCCTGCACGGCGGAGTGTGCTAAGAGGCAGTTTTCTATTTCTAGTGGGTGCTAGTGATGTGTCAGGACTCAATAGGGGCGGTGGGTGAGAATGGAATATGGGAACATACAATGTTCTCGCCGCCGCGGATGATGAGGTCTTTTATACGGCCGGTGATCTACTCCCCCTGATCTCAGCATGGAGATGGGAGAGAGTATTGGGTGGAATGGGATGGGGAGGGGATACCCGGATATAACCCTCACCGTCCATCTCCGCTTCATCTCCGGTCTGTCCACGGCATCAGCCGCTGTTCTCCCCTCTTCCCTCTCGGGTTTCAAATACTAACATGCATCCACACCCTTCCGTCCTCATCCTGCAGCATGACCTCCGCCGTCCTCTCCGGATCCCCCCAGTATCCCTTCTGTACGTTATACCCCGCGATCGCAAGCTCGCCCTTCTGGCCTATGGGAAGGATGATATTGGGGGATTCAGGGTCTACAATCTTTGCGGATACGTGTGGCAGCAGGCGTCCAACGCTGTCGAGGCGCTTTTGCATGGGATCGGTGGTGGTGGTCATGAACGAAACCTAGAAAGGGAGTCAGAAGAGACGGGGGAGGGGAGACGAGACGGGAGGGTGTTAGTTACAGGACTGGTTTCGGTCATCCTGCTCGATTGTCAACAACTACCTCCTGCCCTCGATCCCCTCTCCCTCAATTCTCGGAAAAAACGTACCCATAGCAGATAGCTTTCCCACCCCATCCCATCAGCTATCATCCGCACCTTCCTGAAATCATGAGCACTCACTCAACTCCGTCAAATTCAGCACCTTGTGCAATCGCTTCATCAGCTCCAGCGGGACACTACTGCCCGCGGCAATGCCGGTCCTGAGCTTTTCGAATCCCTCGTACTTCACCTTCCCCGTCTCCAGTAATTCCAGCTCGGAAATGAACATCGTGGGCACTCCGTGCAGAGCTGTGCACCCCTCTTCCTGCACCGAGCGGAGCGTGGCTAGAGGATCGAAACATTCGGCCGGGAAGACGATGGCCGAAGCGTGAGTGGTGCAGGCCAGGTAGCCCAAGACTGCGCCGAAACAGCTGTTCCGAAGTTAGTAAGGGTCTCTAGAGAGAAGTAGGACCGGGGGGGAGGGGGCGGACTGGAATAGTGGAGGTGGACAGCAAACGATGTCGCTGGGTGTCAGGAGCATTCGATCGCCGATTGCTTTGCCGTTGTTCAGGATGGACTTGTGGGTTAGACATGCGGCTTTGGGGGTGCTGGTTGTTCTATCCCCCCCGTACCTATCTCAGCACTCGCCAACCACCGCGCAGAACAGAGACATACCCACTGGTGAACTGAATATTCACCACATCATCAGGACTCAGGCCCTCCCCCAGGCCCAGCCCCATCTCCTTGGCGTCCCCATCCCTCGCCACATCCTCAAACCTGACCAAGCCCTTAACACCCTCGAATTCCCCCCGCCCCTGGGAATTATCCACGACAACCACCCTCACCCGCCCCCCCTCGCGCTCCAACTCCCTCAGCAACGGGCCATTACTCCTCGGACTCCTAAACGGCAAATGTGTCTCAGCCCCGACGACGAGATGTCGCGCGTCGAGATGTCTTATGGCAGCCAGCACCTGCGGCACATTAAAGCTCGGGTTCAGCGGCACGAGCACCGCGCCCAGGTGGAACAGCGCGTACGTGATCACGGCGAACTCGATGCCGTTGCCGAGAGAGACGCAGACGCGCGCGCCCCGGACAACGCCTTGTCGTCGCAGCCCGGCTGCGAGCGTCAGTGATTGCCCAAGAAGCTCGTGGTAGCTAAGGCGTGTAGATTGGTGCCGCGATATGACCCTGCGGCGAGAGGGGGGGAGTCAGTTGATGTGTACACGGGCAATAGCTAGGACGGGCGCGACGTACGCTGTGCGATCGCCGTGCTCCCGGACGGTGTCGATTAGGTGCTGTCCGACGGTTTGGTGCAGCAGCGGGGGCTGGTATCGTGTTCTCGGCTTTAGTACCTATGTGTGCCCTGGGCCGGGCGGATGTGGGAGATAGGTAATGACAGAGTTCACGTACAGTGGTAGGACCATCGTAGCAGCTCTGTGTCAACAGCGACCTCTTCGCGGTCCATTGGCACCTCCGGAACAGCAGCAGCGGCGGCGGCGCACGGCGAGAGAAAGATCTTAGAGAAGCAGAAGCAGAAGCTAATGAGCGCATGAGTGGAGACGTCATCATCGAAGTTATGTAACTACCTTTACAGCACGGTATATTTGGAGGGCAGACGGGGGGAGGGTATTATATGAGGTATGGGGTTTCTCCGGCGGGGAGGGGGGGCTCGGCGAGCTGCAGCTTTCCCCACAAAATACGCACGGACTCCCTCGGTTGTGCCCGAAGCCGGCGGTTCCTTAATGCGAATGTGGGGGAGGCGCAGATTCCCGGAACTGCATGGCTGGGTTGGATCTCACTGTGGCTGACGGATATGTGGGTTTGTGCATTGTACTTGTGCACGTGAAAATGATGACCGTATGTAAGTAAATAAGTAATGTACAGAAGGAAGGCAGAACAGAAAGGTATCACCGCCGCCGCTGGCGTGAAGAATGCGAAGATATCAGAAAACATAGTAAAGAAAAACAGCACAACCAAGAAGTCATAAAGCAAGAAACTAAAAATCATCATCAAAATCAAAAGAACTCCAGGATACCCCTCATCCAAATCAAAAATCCCGAAACAGATGATCATACTCCACAAACATGCTCTCAGGATACTCCTCGTCCGGACTCGGTCCCGCAGGATCGTACGTCTCGAAGTACTGCGTATCGCCATGGTACCTCAGTTTTGGCACGAGGGGCCCCTATACTCGCACATCAGTAGCGAACAAGGCGGACAGGGATTCGAAGGTAGTGCTCACATCCATTCTCTGCGCCTCCAACTCTCTCCAATTAATTCCATTGAAGAACGGGTGTCTCATGACCTCGTAGCCACCACCTTTAAGATTTCCGAGCCGCGCGGACAGGTCCTTGGTACATAGCCGCTGTATTATATCCCGTGTATTGGGCTGCAGCCATGTGGGGTACACGATCTTGGAGTCCACGATCTTCTTGTAGATTTGGATTGGCGAGTCCGCGTAGAACGGAGGGTATCCGAGCACCATCTCGTATATTAATACGCCCAAAGCCCACCAGTCTACCGCTTTGCTGTGACCTTTGCTTTGGATCACCTATGAGGGTCAGTGATTGGACGGAAGGGTTTATTGACTATTTTAAATATGTGGGCTTACCTCGGGGCTGAGATACTCGGGTGTGCCTTCAATCGCGCAATGTCGGTCAGTAATATACCTGTTTCCACCGTCATACACAGAGCATCTTACCGCATAACGTATAAGTCTCACCTGTGTCCGCCTCCATATTAGCCCTTCATCCCCCTGTACATCACAGTATAAGAAGTACTCACGGTCTCCCACGACCTTCGCAAACCCAAAATCCACCAACTTGACATGCCCCCGCGCATCGATGAGGATGTTCTCCGGCTTCAGATCTCGATATACCACTCCATGATTGTGGAGGAATACGAGAATCAGTGTTATCTCGGCCGCGTAAAATTGTGCTACGGTGTTGTCGAAACGATGCGCTCGGCGGAGGTAACCAAACATTTCGCCACCTGGGAGAAAGTCTATAAGCTGATGTCCGCGCATAGGAGCGCAGTTGGCTCTTACCTGGTGAATACTCGAGCTGCGGGATGTCAGCGTTGGAGCTCAAGATGTCCAAACGGAAGAAGTACTCACGAGGATATATAAAGACGCACGATCTTGCCAGGAAGTCAAGTACGATGTAATAAACGGATAATGCCGACACAGCTCAAGAATATTCTTCTCGTTCTGGATCTGTTGTTCCCAGCATTATCAGCACAGCTCCAGCCCAACAGCTCACACTCGAGCTCCACGCGCAGACGAAATTTAGCACCATACATGTTCAACTTGCTTCAGCCGAATGACTGGTCGATCCGTTAGTCGCTAAAACAAAAAAACAAACCGTCCATTCCACGGACCGGTGCAAAATCACTCCGATTCTCACTCACCATCTGATTTTCGCAACTGCTTCAGCGCATACAGGGTTGGCTCTGGTGCGTCTTCTTCTCCTTTGGGCATCACTAGCCTACAACGCAGGAGGCGGTTAACGGACGGACAGCCCTTCACACGGCAAAGTAACCTACCAAACTTTCGAGAAGGTTCCGGTACTGCGCCAGTCAGCCACGGTCTCTTTCTCTCTCTCGGGGAATGTATGGAGCATACCCAAGTATCTTGACCAAATGGAAATCATCCACACTCGTCTCTCTCACCGGCTCCGAGGCCGACGGCGACGCGGGTTCGGGGTGTAGCCACTCGCGCGACCCCTCCATGGTGATGTCTTCCACCTCCTCCTCCCGCGGTGGTGCTTCGGGAGGCGGGGTAAGTAGCTGCCCTCCTCCTCCTCCTTCTCCGCCGTTGCTGCTGCCGTCGCGAGAGCTCGTCGTTGCGCTGCTGTGCACCAGTCGCCGGATATCCATCCCACCCGCACTTGCTATGTCGATACGTCGGCGCTTGTTCGACGATTGCGATGTGTTCGCACGACGGAGGTCGTGGTCAAGATCGTGGTCAAGATCGTGGTCGTGGCTCGCCAGTGTGTGCGGTTCCGCGCAGACGCTGCGAGAGGTGGGGTGGGGTAGCTAGGTAGGTGGGTAGGTACTTGGTTAGTTACGCCGGTGTTTCGGATTCGGGATGTCGCGCACACCTTGGTTATCCGTCAAGTTGTCCCCGGGCCAGCGATCTCTTAATTGCCGCTGTTATGGAAATCCGCACTGCGCTGGTCTGGTCTGCTGCGTTGGGTTGGCGATTTGATATAATGCGATGCGATTCCGGCTTGCTTTGTCTTTGTTCGGAGCAACAGTCGGCAACCCCGGCAGAGGTTGGTCGGGGAACTGGCTTTAAGTAAAGTAAGATGGGGATTACCAAAGCCTTCCCTCCACAGTTCAGTTCAGTTCGTCGGGATGAATTGCCGTGTCGTACCTAAATAGGTGTTGGTGTTGTTGCTGGTGGTGGTGGTGGCGGTGGTGGTGGGTGGGTAGGTAGGTGTGCGCTTTAGCTCACAAGGCACCTCTCGAGTAGCTATTTTCTTTTGTTAAGGGTCTCGTCTCGTCTCGTGGGGCGAAGGATAATCACACGGCGCGGTCAGCGGAAAGGCGGGATCGAGGTCTTAGATACGAGGCGCCTGCCAGCCAGAAGAAAAACAAGGAATGGCAGATGACAACGCTGCGCTTTGCTTCACTTCACTTCACCGTTTAGGACGCCGCCGACATTTCTATGTGGCTGATTTCTTTGGGCTGCTGCCGCCGCCGCGCATAGAGGAGAAGTCGAAGACCCGCTTGCTACATCATGCACAACTTGCTTTTCCCACGGCGTCTCTGCTCTTCTCTTCCTCTTTTTCTTTTTTCTCTCTTTCTCTTCGAGTATCTTTAGCTCGGCTCTTCCCCCCCGTGCTCATCGCGGGGTTGCATGGGATGGCTGGCTGGCTGGCAGGAGACATCCGACGGCTATTCTATGTACTCTACGTACTCTACATACTCGACTCTACCCACTGCAACTCGCGCTGAAAGTGTTTATATCGAGATCCATGCCTGGAGATATGCCGAATGACGTCGTCGATCAGTACAAGGGCGGGGCAAGGCCGTCACGATTCACGAAAAGGCATTTGCACGCGGCCGGTATTGTGGAGCCCCAGCCCAACAAGGCATATTCGCCGTGAGTCGCCGTGAGTCCGAAAGGTGAGGAGCCCTGGAGACTTTGCGGGGCCAACCGACTTGGGGAATTCGGATTCTGAGAAACGACGGCCAGCTCAACTAGGTATGATACACACGGTACACGCGGGTAAGCCCTGTTTTGTATCATACATAACTTTTCTAAACGGCATCATAGCCTTGCGTCGGCGGGGGAAGGCTGAGGCGGTGCTCTGGCATGGTTAATTACTTGGAGTAGCTGGATCCGGTCTTCGGCGATTCTCCACAGCGAGACTCTTGAGGGCGCCTAAGGCCAATGTAACGGCGGGTGCCCTTGAAAGCTGATCGGCCCTGTCTTCACAGTCCGCCCGACCGACCATGCCTGGTAGGCCTCGGGAGTCGGGAGACAGCTGGTATGTACGTAAGGCTGGTGCCTTCAAGTCTTCGCATCGAGATTCGAGACCTCGACGGAACTCCCGAAAACCCAGCCGATATGTATTCCCCCCGCCGGTGACTTGCGCACTTAAGCGGCCAGCTTTAAACAGAAAAGTCCCCAGAACGATACGAGAACGGCACCAAGGTAAGTACACGCTTGTACGAGGTCGAATAGGTACCTACCACTGTTTGCACAGAGCCTCCACGAGGTCATGAACGGCGGTCCTTAGTTACTACCTAGTACATAGAGCCAGACAATTCCTCACTGGCAACTGAGCGCAAGTTGCAACCCCCAAGTCGGATGAGAATAAGTACTCTACATATTCGCCTGGACTGCCGCAGTCGGCGTATATCTGCTGATCCGATCTTGACCCTTGCAGATCAGTTCAAGGTTGCATATGACGAGTTTCGTCAAGATCTTCAGTGACATATTCTACATACATACATACGGGCGGCGGCAGCGGCTGTCGTCGCGTCCAGTCGGGTGGAGCCATGGCTCATGCGGTACATAGAGGTACCGTGGTGCAAACACTTCACTTCGTACCCCGACTCCCCGAGTTCCTATCGAACACAACCACAACGTAATCACGGCGGGGCAGGGTTTATGTCAACACATAACAGCGGCAACCACTGGTGCACTGCTAGCTACCTTGCCGATAGAACGGAAAGCGACATGTACATTGTAGGCGAAGATCCGCGGCACGCAGGTGGGGCTGGTAAGAACCTGCATGGATCCATGGTGCGGGGTTGCGGGGTTGCGGACGGTTTAGCGATAGTTACAGGACTCCTTACATACGAAGATTATCACTCTCCTTGGAATCTGCAGCATTCATATGATGTCACTCGACTTTATGAGCTCGACTGCGGAATTGCGAAATTGCGAAATTGCGAATAGGTAGCCGAGCAGGAAGGCCGCCATACAGTAGAGTGAGTCATGGGCTGTGAGGCGGGCGAGAACTGGAGCCGAGGAGGAAGAGAAGAAGAAGAAGAAGAAGAAGAGGGCGGCAGGATAAGAGGCGACAGATGATTGGGGCGGTCGAGTGGGCGCCAGGCGGAGGGCAGTGGGAAACCCACACTGTGACACCGGGTCGGAAGGTAGTGAGGAAGACGCAGATGTAGGTACACAGTCATGATCTAGGTGGGTATCAACGCCGAATGTTATAATGTATGATGATTAAACAAACAAAACGAATAGCAGCTCAGACTCTCACCTTACCGTCCCATTCAGCTATATACCTACTTCCTAGATGAAAGGACTTAACCAATACCTAATACCCAACGTCACTGCCTTCATTCAAGCGTTAGCAGTTCCGGACCTGTAAGGCTGTACCAAATTCTAAGCTTGAGAGGAGGGATGGAACAAACATGTTCTGAGTATTCGAGGATGTGCACACTTCCGTATCGCCTGTACTATATACCTACCATGTATTCCACACTGTCTATTCTGCGTACATAGGAAAAGCCTGCCGCTGCAGCCAAACGTGCCCGTCCGGCAAACCGAGAAACCCTACCAGGTATAAGTACCAGGGGAACAGCGAAATCCGGAGCCGGGCCCAACCGGCTCTTGGACGGCCGGTAAATGCTCGTCTGTATGTATGTAAGAAGCGGTATCGAACGGGCTACAGAAATCACACAATCACACGGCGAGATCGAATTCTGGAGTCCGGAGTCTTGACTCTGGAACGAGTGAGAAGATATGGGGCTACCTACGTAAGTGTAGCTAGCAAGTGATCAGATCACCTCGACGGACCACATATACCGTATCATACATATCCGCCTGAAATGCAGGAAGTGAACATCTGTTTTGGAAAGAGAAGTATCATAGACGGGAATATGAGGTATGAAGCACGCTATGAAAACGTTCTGTCAAAGTTTCGACGCGTCACGCCGGAGATGTTGGCGCGGAGGCGCGGATAAAGTTCGCCCAAGTGCTGCACAGGGCGGGTAACCTTTGCGGCACCTGGGGCGAGTAACTTCGGCGGTATCTGGGGCGAGTATGTAACTTTCGGCGGTACCTAAGGCGAATAACTTTCGGCGGTATCTAGGGCGAGTATGTAACTTTCGGCAGTACTAGAGGCGAGTAACCTTCGGCGGTACCTTAGGAGTAACCTTCGGAACTAGACGGACCCAGAAGTCTGAAGTCTGAAGTTTGTGTGTATATAAAGAGAGACCTCGCTGCTGCTGATGTTGCTGTATCGAATTGATTATCTCTGCTCCTTCTGCCTACATATTCCAACATGTTCTAACCACCACAGTTACTAGTTTGGATCTCAGTATGCCAGCGGTCTGGTGATCCTTACTCCATCAAAGGTGTATGTACTGGTACGGGAGACCGGCACAGCAGCCTCCAGTTCGATTGGGTATAGCTAGCCAATTTAAGGTGCATGCGGGAGCCCCGCATTACCAGTATTCTGCCGGACTCCTGGAACTTCGGAATCCGGGACTAGATGATCCCATCCCTCGGTCCGATCCACGGCACCAGGTAGATGCCAGTTAGCCACAAAATCTCACTCGCGGGGTATTGGAAATCCGCGTGCATGAGTGGGTAGTAAGGAGACAGATACACCGAGATACCCAAGCATCCAGGCATCCCAGCGCTCTTGCTCGCGAGGCTAACTAACGTTGCTTTTTTCCAATGTGGAAATTGTCGAGGGTTAGCCTGGGGATTCGCCCGTGGGCACTAGGAAAGCTTGAGGGCGGCGACGGCGGGGGCAGCGGCGGGGAGCGGACAATGCTCAAACGTGAACCGTCTCGTGTGTCATATAGGGAGCCGAGAGCTCCTATGTACTTGCAGTCGGAGGAGGAGGATATAGTTATTGCATCGGTGTTGCGTGTACGTATCCGGACGCGCGCTGGCCGAAATCGTCGTATGTTCTGCTGCGGTCCCCGAACGGACCCAGGCTTTCACTGCGTCTGTCGATAGTACGGTATGTACCGTGCGTGTTCAGTGCAGCAATTGCTACATGTACCCGCCGTTAGTAGTTGGCCGCCTCCCCGCAACGCCACAATGAGGCTCGATCCCCGAGCTCAAGACGCCATCGTCACATAAAGTACCGGTATGTACGGCATTTTGCCAGGCGCAACGCTTGCACGGTTGCACCCCGGTGAATCGAACGTTCCGGCTCGACAAGTTTCCCCTTCTTGCATGCCTCTCAAACACACCGCCGGGATGCCCTGCATGATCCAAGGATCCGGTGACTCCGGGGAGCTGAAAAGCTCCCAAAGGGGGGTGCTGGACGCGTATCCCTCGCGAGTTCTCGACATCGATATCATGGGGGAAGGAGCTGAGCCAAGCCTAGCCTTGCAATGGCCATTTAAACACGCTGTTTACTCAACCGAATCCAACCACCAACCACGTTGCGTTGACTTGGCAACTGCTTTCCCCGCACGTGACCATGCGAACTCCGGCCACTTCCACACACGCGAAGAGATAAAAAAAAAGGGACACCCGACTCGGATGGGGAAGGGCTGAGAGTTGAAAGGTGTTTGCATGCATGCAAGGAACCACTGCGAATCGCAACGGAAAGTCTCGAAGGAGCTACATGCTCTAGATACGACGAACGAGTTCCTTCTCCGTCCCTTTCGCTGCTGCACCGCATCTGTTTGTCTGTCTCCAGTGCCAAGCATCGTTCTGAGATAGAAAAAAAGCACGGGTGCTCCGGAATTCATTCTAAGGGATTCATTCATCGTCAACTGGGAGGAATACGAATCATTCATCGTCAACTCTCCCTCACAATCACTCCCCAGTACCTAGGAGGAATACAGTACCGATACCGATATCGATATCGATATATCTCCCTAAGGTTCCACCCACTCGAAAGTAAAAGTTACGCAGCGTGTTCGCTGGCTACATACTTTCCTATCCGTCGCGCGCCTGTATCCGCTCCCCGCCCACGCCACTCAAACTCTACCAACCACCAACCACCAACCTTTAGCTAGCATAGGTACCCGCAACCTAGATATCTACTGCGCCGACAGCCACATCCCGCCGAAACTATCCAAGTCGCGCCGCCCGCTCAACCCAACTTACCCTCCGTTCGATATCTCCAATTCACCGCCCGCCTATCCCATTTCCATCAGCCCCTCTTACATGTCAAACGGATAGAAGGTACTGTCCATCCCCATTCTATTACCGCGCTTGCTGGCTTGCGGCTTGCTGGCTTGCTATCCCCCCCGAGCAGTCGCTTCCCGCCCCCGTATCCGAGTCCCTGATCCCCCCATCCCCCCATCCCCATCCCCCATCCCCCATCCCCATCCCCCATCCCCCATTCTAAGCCACCCCCCTCAAAAAACCACTTACCCATACCTTGCCCAATCCTACATACCTACCCTTACGTGCCTGCGTGCCATACCGTCTCACAGTACCCGCTCCCCGAGGGTGCTCGTTCATCACTCCAGACAACACTATTGGCTCCCAGCAACCTCCCTACTACTCCGCTCCTCTCCCTTTCACGGCTGTGGCCGTGACTACTGCATCTGTCACTGCCAAACAGTCCCTGCCCGTTGCTCGCCTCTCCTCCCGCTGCCGCCGCCGCCGTTATCATCTCCTACTTCCCCCACCGCACCCCCCATCAACTAACCGCTCACACAACTCACTCGCAGATCTTCCTCCCCATGGCGGACCGTCATGATCAGACGTACCATAATTCCCGTACCACCCCTGCGTCTCAGCGAGATGCTGCGTTCTCCAATATCTTTGGCAACGCTCCCTCAGGCCGCTCGCACACGATGACTTCGCAGTCCAACTATGCTCCTCAAACCGATCGATCTCAAACAATGTCTTCGACCTCCGGCCACGGGGGTACATATATTCCTCCGGGACTACAAGCGGGTTTTAACCCCCAACAGCAACAACGGCAACAACAACAGCAGCAGCCACAGCAGCAGCAGCAACAGCAGCACTATCCTCCGAGACAGGGTGGATATCCGACCACCGGCCCATCGAATGGGTACCCGCCACAGAACCCGCAGCCGTCTAGAGTCCAGACCCAACCGCAGTATCTGCCATCACCGACGCATCCCGAGAGACGTCCGTATGCTCAGCCGGTCAGGATGCAGCCAGCGGGCCTTCCCACGAACGCGGATGCGCAGAGACCGCTCCCGAATCGCCACTATCCCGCACCACCGGCCCTCAACAACGACCCTTATCGCTCGAGGTCCATGGCAGCATCGACCACGGCACCTCCGAGCCAGTATGCCGCCGCCCCTCCACAGTTCCGCCAGGGTGTACAACCTCCGCAGGGCCATCACATGCCGCGAACCACTGCCCAGGGCCGAGTTGTTCCGGAACGCCACGATGAACGAGCGATGTCACTGACTACCTATGCGCACGAACGTGATCATGCACAGACCATGAGTGGAAGGGTCATCCCCCATCGGCGGAAAGAGTCTGGAGGAAGCGAATATCTCCCTTCCCAACAGACGCAACGACTCAACAGCTTGCCCGGAGGGAGTACGGGGAGCTTCAGTTTTGTCTCGAAGCAACGGACGCCGAGTTACGCTAGTACATCATCCTCGATGACTGCTGTTGCTCCTTCTGCGGCATCCATCAACTCCGATCACCGCAATTCACTGCCGAAATCCCCAAGCACAGCCAGCATGGCGGCCGGGGGTGCTGCTGCCCCGCCTCCGGGCAGAAAGGCTCCATTGGTCTACCCAGCGCTGTTGTCGCGGGTAGCTGATGTTTTTAGGGATAAAGTACTCATTGGAGACCGCTTGAAGAACGAGCTCACCTACAAGTCTGCGTTTACCGGTGCGGAGGGAGTCGATATGATCTCATACATCATCAAGACCAGTGATCGGAACTTGGCACTGCTTCTCGGGCGAGCTCTGGACGCACAGAAGTTCTTCCACGACGTGACCTACGAGCACAGATTGAGGGACTCGACGGGAGAGGTATACCAGTTCAGGGACGGACTGGTTGACGACACCCACGAGGTCGTCAATGGTGTGTTCACTCTGTTGACCGAGTGTTATTCACCTACCTGCACACCGAATCAACTGTGCTATTCAATTGCCTGTCCTCGCCGTCTGGAACAACAGGCTCGATTGAACCTGAAACCACAACCCGGACTGAAGCGACAGGACTCCAGATCCAGTTTACACGGTGACGACGACAAGGAACAGAAGCTGTGGATTCACTCGGTGCCCAAGGAGATCGCGGACAGTATCCCAGACAAGGAGAAGAAGCGGCAGGAGGTGATAATGGAGGCCATCTATACGGAGCGTGATTTTGTGAAGGATCTGGAGTATCTCCGGGATTTTTGGATGAAGCCGTTGCGATCTACCAACCCGCAGAACCCGTCGCCTATCCCGGAGCACAGACGAGAGAAGTTCATTCGGACGGTCTTTGGAAACGTTTTGGAGGTCCACAGTGTGAATTCGAGGCTGGCGGAGGCCCTCACTCGGCGACAGCAGCAATCTCCGGTTGTACACAACATCGGAGATATCTTCCGCGAATTTGTGCCGCAGTTTGATCCCTTCATCAAGTACGGATCGAATCAGCTATACGGAAAGCATGAGTTCGAGAAGGAAAAGTCGGCCAACCCGGCATTCGCAAAGTTCGTGGAGGAGACGGAGAGGATGAAGGAATCCCGGAAGCTGGAGTTAAACGGATATCTGACCAAACCGACAACCCGTCTGGCTCGTTACCCACTACTTTTGGAGGCTGTCTTCAAGGCTACTGCGGACGAGAACCCCGACAAAAAGGATCTTCCTATAGCTGTTGAGCTGGTTCGGAAGTTTTTGACGAAGGTCAACATCGAGTCCGGAAAGTCGGAGAACCACTTCAACTTGATGCAGTTGAACCAGCAACTCATATTCAGGCCCGGGGAATCGGTCGACCTGAAGCTCACGGAAGAAGGGCGTCAATTGATCTTCAAGGGAAGTTTGAAGAGGGGTGATGGTGGAGGTGATATTCAATGTTTCCTTTTCGACCACGCCCTGCTGCTGGTACGGATAAAGATCATGAATAAGCGAGAGCAGTACAAAGTTTATAGAAAGGTATGACAAGTTCCTAAGCGTGGCATCTCGGTTACTAACGACTACTATGGTGTCCTCAGCCCATACCCTTGGAACTCTTAGTGATCACCCAGATGGAGGAGTTCGCGCCCAAAGCGGGAATTGCCAAAAGGCCGTCTTCTAGTTTGGCCCAAGGCTCGAAACTCAATCCGCTCAAAGGCAATAATCCCACCGACTTCAACAACAAGGAAAAGGGTTATCCGATCACCTTCCAGCATCTAGGTAAGAGAGGATACACAGTGCCGCTGTTTGCGAACTCGATCGTCAGTCGAAAGAAGTGGATAGAGCACATCGAAACGCAACAGAACGTCCTTCGGGAGCGAAGCACCATATTCAACCACACCGTGCTCTGCGAAGACTTCTTCTCTCAAGGCAACAAGGTCAATTGTTTGGTTCCTATCGGTACGCATTGAGATCTCTTCCAGTGATGATGTGCAGCGCTCACCGAAATAGATGGTGGCCGAAAGCTGGTGTACGGTACCGATACCGGAATATACGTCTCGGACAGGAAACCGAAGGATACCCAGCTGGCACAGCCCAAGAAGGTCATCGAGATCACCAAGGTGGATCAAGTCGATGTCCTCGAGGAGTACCAAATGCTCTTATTGCTCACCGAAAAGAATCTAATGCAAGTTCCTCTTGCTGGATTGGATCCTGAGGAAACAACACTGGCGAATAAAAGACCAAAGAAGATTATGGGTCACACTTCGTTCTTCAAGGCCGGTGTCTGTCTGGGTCGGGTTTTGGTCTGCAGCGTCAAGACCTCCACGCTATCCTCCACCGTCAAGGTTTTGGAACCCCAGGACACACTTTCCAGGAGTAAGAAGCAGCCGGCGTACAGGAAGCTGCTTCCGCAGGGTGGACAGGAGGCTCTTAAGCCGTTCAAGGTTTGTGCCTCCGGAGAAGGATGATTTGAGGAGTCCTTTTCGCTAACGGTTACCCAGGAATTCTACATTCCCACTGAATCCACCTCCATTCATTTCCTGAAGTCGAAGCTTTGCGTAGGCTGCGCCAAGGGATTCGAGGTGGTGAGCTTGGAGACGTTGGAAACGCAGTCACTCCTCGATCCCGCCGACACATCTCTGGACTTTATCCAGCGCCGTGACAATGTGAAGCCGATGAAGCCGATCGCCATTTATAGATTGAATGGCGAGTTCCTTCTGAACTACTCGGACTTCTCGTTCTTTGTCAACCGCAACGGGTGGAGAGCGCGACCGGACTGGCAAATTGCATGGGAGGGACAGCCGATGGCGTTCGCTCTCTCGCCACCGTACATACTTGCCTTCGAGCCCAGCTTCATCGAGATCAGACATGTCGACACCGGTAATCTGATCACCATCATCACTGGGAAGAACATCCGCATGCTGCACGAGTCTACACGAGAGGTAAGTTCCGCTATGCCCGCCGTTCGATGCCGTCGATGCTGACTGGAAATAGATCCTCTATGCCTACGAAGACGAGTCCACTGGTGATGATGTCGTCGCCTCCCTTGATTTCTGGCACAAGATTGGATAAGTCGGATAGGACAAGAACGGATAGGATGTATTTATTTCCTCTCTTTTTCTTTCCCTCTTATCATCGTCATGTCGGGGCCATCTGTTACTTATGCAGTGCAATGGAGAGGGTCTGTAGACTGTTCTGTTTGTTTCCGTGTACGTTAGTTAGCTAGCTATCTGCCTCTGTATGTGTGTACGGATGGTCGGGGGGTGAGAGAGAGTGGTTTTTAGCGGATCGTGTTGTTGCTGTTGTCTGGCGTTTTGTTTTTCTTTTTCTTTTCTCTTTCTTGCTTTCTTTTCTGACGTTTTGATGCCCCTTCTTGCTTGCTAAATTCCCCAATTCCCTTTTACTTTACTTTACCCTTTACCCTTCACGCTTTACCCTTTGGCTTTTTTTACTTCAAGTTACTAAGTACCCCATCTTTAGTTTTTGCTTTTTTTTTGTTGGGGGATGAGGATGAGGAAGGGGATGAGGGAGAGTGGGAGGGAGAGGGAGAGGGAGAGGGAGAGGGAGAGGAAGAGGAAGAGGAAGAAGAAGAAGGGACGAAGGAGAGGGGGATGGAGGGGAGGGAATGGAGAATTGAGAATGGAGAGGCGAGATAGGAGAGAGAGGAGAGAGGATATAATACCAACACCTGCTTCTGCGGATTTTGACTGGCTGCTATTGATGTTGATTGTGGATGAGAATGAGGACTAGAGATGGGGGGAAGCAGGAGAGGGCGGGAGCAGGAGAGGGCGGCGGGAGTGGTGATGTGTGGTGATGTGTGGTGTGTGTGATTAACTGTACCGCTTGACACATCTGAGGTACATCTGATAGGTACCTGGTATATCATACATGTAGCGATAATTTGCCCGGTTGTTGATACTCTACTGGACACTTATGTTAAGTGCGTGCGATAGAAGGACGCATTTATAACTCTTTCCTACCTAAGATGTAGGTACTTGTCCAGCGTTAGGTCATAGTTATCGTAACATCGTTATCCCATCGCGGAACCGGCTTGGAACCGGCTTGGACTCCAGGCTTACAGAGGCTGTCCTTATGTAGGTTGTTGGAGGTTTGTGACCGCTGGTGCAATCATATCCCAAGCAGGAGCAGGTATGTAGGTCTCTAGGAACAGATCTATCGCCTCTACAGCTTCTACAGCCATCAATAATGACACACACCCCCCCATGAGAGTCGAGACAAGAAACCCCCTCAATGTTCCATTCTGGAAGTCTAGGTAGTAGTTAGTTAAGTCTAAATCTCTCTTGAGTCTGAATGGCCGTTGAGTCTGAATAGCCCGTGAGTCCGAACAGCCCTTGGCCGTTGAGTGTGAATAGCGCTTGAGTCTGAATAGCCCGTGAGTCTGAATGTCCTGTCAGTCTGAATAACCCGTGAGTCTGAATAGCCCGTGAGTCTGAATAGCCGTTGAGTCTGAATGGTCCTTGAGTCTGAATAGCCCGTGAGTGTGAATGGCCCTTGGCCTCGGTCGGAACGCTCACACGGTGTCTGTTTTCCAAATTATAGGCTGGTGTGCACAGGAAGCAGGGAGCAGGAAGCATGTCAATGACAATACCTATCACCACTGCGAGTTGTATATCTAGGCTGTTGGCCCTGGGATCGGACTTCTGGGCTATTGTGGGTCGATGATTCGTTGGGGATGGGCTGGTGATGTGATGGGAGGCGACGAGCGGAACTTGGAACTTTATAGTCATAGTTACTAGTACATGGGATATCACTCCGCCATTTTCCCTCTACCTAAGATGTAGTCACTTGGAATTTATTCAGCACGCACCGTCGTCACGCCATCCACATGGACACACAGCGGGAATGACAGCGGGGCTCGACTCTCGACTCTCGAGTAAGCTGCCTATGAGGAGTATAGATATTCCAGGTTGGCTCAGGTCGAAGGTGATCCCATCACTCTGGCAGCTACACATACCCTCGCAGTACTGAACAAACTGATGTGAACGAGATACTACCAGTTACCACCTGCTGTCGAGGCGCTGGCTGCTCACTGCCTAATGAGCGGTACGTGATGTTCTCCTTCTTGCGGGGGATATGTACATCCACGATGTCTCCATCGTCTGCCCTTGTATTCTACATATGGCGAGTGCGCACCGCTTGCGCTTTCAGCGGATCAGTGACGGCCTCTCGAGAAATCACAGCACCATGAAAGTCCGAGTACAGCAGTTCATTCATTGCGGGGAGGTGGGATATCCACAAGTAGCATAGCGTCATGGATATATCACGATTTTACTCAGATAAAAGCAAAAATCCATAATGAATTTGAACCCAACCCTGACGTAACCACTGAGGCTACCAGAGGTCATTGGCAACAGGCGAACCAGACAACAGAATAACATCTCCTCTCCGACTCTGCCGCACAAAGAACAAAAGAACCTCAGCCAACCGCACCCCCCCAAAATGCACCAACAAAACTTGGCGGAACGAATTGGAATGCGAAACCAAAAGAAAAATGACTATGCTACGAGAGTTTTTAAACTATTCCTTCTCGGCGACCTCGATACCCTCCTCAATATACGCGGGTGGGCACTCGATGGCCTCCTCCTCTTTCAGCAGTCCCTTCTCGACCTCGCCATCGGCCTCCGACTCAACCAGATGCTCGCGCTCAGAGCGGTAGCGACAGAAGAAGCCACGGCTGCGGCGTTCACCCTTGGCGCCCTTGACCTTGCGGTACATGCTCACCAAGACGTGTCCGACGAGCAGACCGACGAGAGAGACGGTCAGACCCACAACGATGCCAACTAGGATCGGAAGAAGGACCTGGGTCAGGATGCGGTTGATGATGCTGCGGTGATGGGGACGGCGGTGGTGGCCGTGATGACCGTGAGGGCGACGGTGTCCACCGTGGTGGGGCTTATCGTGGGGACGGCCGTGGGGAGGTGGGTGAGGCATGTCGAGACCCTCAATAGGATTACCGCCGCAGCCGAAGTTGCTGACCTTGCCGCCCTTGGTCTTGGTGAAGGGAGTCTTCATGTTGCGCAGCTTCGACATCATTTTGTTCGCCAGACACTTGAAGTTCCGTCCGCAGCCCTCTCCCTTAGGGATGGCACGGATTGATCCAAAGCTAAGCGCTCCGTCGGGCGACATGTTGACCTTCATCTCGATGCCCTGCATGATAACCGGAGCACCGGCGACAGCCAGAACGTTGAGCTCAAGCGTGTAGATCTTGCTCCCGTCCTCCGTGATCTCGTCCGTGGTGATCAGGCGCGAGTTGTCGAGTTTCACAACCGGGAACTCTTCGCGATCAACCACGTACACGATGGTATCCACCTCCTGCGGTATCTGCACTGCTGTGAGAGGCAGCGCCGGGTCGATGCTCTCTATGGGGAAGATCGGGATGCCGTTGAGTTTCATAGCGTGGTGCTCATGGTCGGGAAGGGTGAAGTCAAAGACCTGTAGCGCACAGACAATCAGCACAACCCTTCCTGGCGTAATCAACTGTAGGATAGTATCAACTTACAAGATCTGACTTGACATCCTCCTCCTTGTACTTGCATCCATCACAGGAAACGCGAACGATCCGCGGAAGCTCCGAGCCAACCCCCGCGGGGTTCAGTAGGTTGAGGTCTTTGAGGTCCGCATCGCTTATCTCCGGAGGTACAAGGAAGGCACTGCTCAAAGCCGCCGCCTGGGCGAAGAGCAATAACGGGGAGAAACGCATGACCTTGTTTTTGCTTGTTTTCCGATATATGAATGTAATAGTAGAAGTAGTAGTAGTGAAGTAGTAGGTTGAAGTCGAAAGAAAAAGAAGTAGCTGGATAAGAAGAAGTGGTTGCGAGGAAAGAGAAGGAGAAGTGGCGGGAGGGAGCTTAATACGGACCGAAGGTGGGCTGTGCTTCACACTAATCGAGCGAGCTGACGCAACCCCCGCCAAGCCACCACAGGCCCTCACATCACATCACAAACATAGAAATGGATAGATTATTCCGTGCTGATCCACTACGAGTACGGTAGAGTACACACTACGGATCAGGTCTTGCCGGATCCGACAGCGTCACTTGAGCGAGAGCCCCCAATCTACGGATCGACCGCGCGTTGCGGAACACGTGACAACCGTGTAAACCCGCTCGGATGTCGGAGTAGATTGTTTCAGCATCGTTTCGATTTTGCTTCAAAGTTCTGCATAACAGAAGAAGAAAAACCGTGATAACCTACATGAGCATACTGCTGCCCGCAGTCGGCCACTAACGACCGCTTAATTAGGTTCATACCTACAGCTTAAGCGTCTGGGCATTCTTCAGCCTTATACCCCGCATACACAAGCTGAAAAGAAGCAGCTTTGGCTCTAGGTGTGTACCGAACATTGCTTGTTTTTGTGGCAGTTTTTCTGGACGGCCAAACACGACGGAACGTTAATAGTCCCGCTGATTCATGATGACCAATTATCAATTATGGGGCACGTGATATCACTCGCCGCTAAACCCGCTCGGCATACTTTCCGGTGGACTGTCCAGTGTCTACAGATGCCCGTAGGTATGTGTCTAAAGATACGATCTCTCCCATGAGCGACAGTTCCTCTTTCTACCCACCCCATCTCAGGCCTCTACCCGTACCTAGTTTGCAAAGGGCTGTATGCGACAATAAACTGAATTTCTCTCTCTCCTGGGCACGGAGAGGAGTGAGGTTGCACAGGGTGTGCAAGTGAGTTCGTCATTAACGTGGAGGGGGAAGAGGTGCGGAGAGGGTGGGATGACTTGAGTAAGGGAGATGGTGATGAAAGTTGAGGATGAGGTGTGGTGTTTTCAACCAGTCTGTACTAATCAGGTTTGTTCGCACGAAGAAAGTCCCAGAGGAAGCAAAGGGTAGTATTGGCAATAGTGTTCGTAATGTTACAATCCCGCCTATCCCAATCCACCAAGAATCTATGAAGTATGGTACTACCACATCCCGTCGTATCCCCCTATTCGAGTTCCCCCCCTCAAGGCCTCCCAAGTTCCCTCCTCTTTCTACACACTAAGGTGTCTTCTGCGATGTAGTTGTTACTACACATACGCTCGAGTAGGATGGATTGTCGAGTTTGCCCAAGAGGATGAACACAAAGGAAACTACAAAAAGCACTACCTATTACAAAGAAAATGAAGAAAAAGGACATTCAAAACTCCGAAACACCCCCGCATACCCCTGGCACGCCGCAAGCAGTATCATGTCACGAAAAGACCACCAGCCAGCAAGTAGGGTCGTTGGCAAGAAAAAGGAAAAGGGCAACCTAGAGTTAGAATGTTGAGCGAGGGAAGGCTGGGAGCGGGGCTGTAGGATTCAGCTTGATAACCCTGGTCTCATCGCCAAAGAACTTCCTACGGAAGGTGGCGATTCCCTGGGCAACCGTGGTGAAGTCCTTGATGCCCTGCTGCTTAAGCTGCAGAATGGTGTCGCGAAGTCCTGCACTGAACCGCTCCTTCTCCTCTTCAGTAGTACCTTCGTTTGCCGCCAACTCAACCAGTATTTGTTCGTCTTCCCCACAATCAGCCAGCCCCCAACGGCTTGTCCTATTCACGTGCCGAGTGTGAGGGATGTGGAGGACTCACCTTTCATGCCAATTTCACGGAAGTGCTGCCATTCGCACTCCCTGTCGTTGCAAACACCGCCGCAGACTTCGTACTGGCACATTGCCCTGTCTGGGTCGATATTGTTGGAATACTGCAAACTGCGAAGACCATCGGGCTTGAGGTCATGGAAGTTGCGGTGATGACGGAAAGATTTGAAGATCTGAAGAGGCGACTGGTATGGGAAAAAGGCATTCGGAATGGCTTTGATCTGTCGATATGTTAGCTGCCACACGATGCGATGTCACCGCCAACAGGAATTCGGATGATAGTCTCAAACCTTGAGTGCCACTTCGGGAACAGTAACGACAAATGGCTCATTGGCGCGGGCGGGCTCTGAGGCAAGCTCTGTAGTAGGAGCATTAGTCTCCATGGGGGATGAAGGAGCAATAGGTTGGGCGGTCTGGATGGGTAGCGCATCGGAGACAGAGACTGCGGTCTGAATAGTAGCATTGCTCTGGGTCTCCTCGGGCTTGTCAACCATAACCTCATCCTTGTCCTCATCTCCCTCTTCGGAGGAGCTGTCATCACTCGAATCATCGCTTCCAGAGGTCTCTCCGAAAGAAGTACCATCTGCACAGCTTGACTCCATTTCTACGTCCTCTGCGGGTGCTGGCTTGTCTTGAGTGGCCAGTTCGTGGGACTCATCAACATCCATGCTGTCAACAGTCTTGAGCACAGCTGTCGGTGCAACCTTGACCGGGGAGAGGGACTTTGCCACTGCAACAATCTCTTCAGGTCGACCAATGAACTGGGAATGTCCTTCAAGAGCAGATGCGGTCGCTGAAGCAGGGGTGGGGTTTCCGCTACTGTTAGAAACATCTTCAACGAGTAGTTGCCTCTCGACAAGTTCTTCAGAACCGGACGGGCCTATTATCAAATAAGCAATCTTCTTGCGCGATCTAATATCTGGTGTCCTGATAGGGGACTGACCTTCATTCTTTTCCTTCGCCTCAATTTCCGTCCGCATTTGTTCGGAACCGTTCTGCATATCATTGCTCGGTGCGACTGGTTGCAGAGGAATGTTGACATCTTCAAGATCTCTAACTAAAGAATCATGTCGCTGTTCCATATCTTCCTCTTCTCGTCGCATCTCAGCAATTTGGCGCCTGAGCTGCTCTTCAAGCATCTCCCTCTCGAGCCGCTTGTTTTGCCTCCTGTTCTCAAGCGCAACTAGTTCGCGCCGCTTCTTTTCACGTTCCTCTTCCTTCTTCTTTGTCTCCGCCGCCTTCGCCTCGGCAGCTTTAACAGCAGCAGCATTCACGGCAGCGGACTCCACCTCTTCCTTTTTCTTTTTCTCAGCCGCCGCAATCTCTTCCCTGTGTTTCCTCATACGCTCCTCAATGGCTCGGGCACGAATTTGCTGGGCCTCAAGATCCATCTCGGTTTTCTTCGAAACATCGGGGCGCTGATTCTCAATGGGAGTGTCATTGGTTAGTCCGGCGGGAGGCGCGGTTGGCATTACAGAATCGTGTTTCCCAGCAAGTTGTGTTGTCAGCGGCGGAGGAGCAGAAGAATCAGACCCAACCGTTGGGGTTCCAATTGGTGTCGGATGCCCTGAATTGCTGGCCGCCTTTGAAAGCTCCTTTCTCCGCTGAGCTGCCATGCTCTTTTGCTCGGCTGCCATGATTCTCGCCTTCATCCGTTGAATATCAGCTTCCCGCTTTCGAAGTTCATCGGCCTGAGAAGTTGCAGCAGTGACAGGAAGCGATACGATGCGTCTCACGCCGTGATTCAATCCATTAGAAGCAATGCCCGGGGTTCCGAGCGGAGACCCTTGGTCCTCCCTCGATTCATGTGGTGTGAAGTATGTGGCGTCAGCAGCATCATCTTCGTCATCGGACACCTCAATTATCATTGAACTTGTACGTTGAGCTCCAAACTTGCGTCTAACAGGGTTAGGCTCCGAGTACAGGTCTGAGGCCATGGGCCGCTTGCGTCGGGCTGCTGGTGGTGGTTGAGGCGGAGACACTCCATTGGAACCGGCACCAACAGTTGGCACAGCGGCTATAGACGGAGGATTTGACACCGCAACCTGAGGGGCATCACTCATTACCACGTCAGTAGACTCGGGGGTAGCAGCTTTTGATGTAGCTTTTGATGTAGCCTCCGATGCAGCCCTTGATGCTACCTCCGATGCAGCCTTTGATGCAACCTCCGATGCAGTCCCACTCGCAGGGGCCAGCAGCAAACCCGGTATCACCATTGGTGGAGACGGAGAAGCTGCAGGTGGATTCGGCTGAGGCTTCGCCGCAGCAACAGCTGCGTTCACCGGGGTGCTCGATATAGGTGTGGGGGGTACGCTGGGAGAAGCCGCCTTTATTGTCGTGGGCACGCCAGGGGAAGCTGGTTTTGCTGCAGACATCATGGTCGCAATCTTCTTCTTGGCGATGTCCTGCTTGGCCTTGACCTCCACTTCACGTCTCCGTCGTTCCTCTTCCTCCGTTGCGGCCTGTCGCCGCCGAACCAACTCGGATGCACGTGCTTCCGCCTCCTTTTGTTCTTTCTCCCGCCGTTCCCTCTTCTCATGGTCCAGCCGTGCTTTTTCTAGCTTCTCCCGGAGCACCTGGGCATCCTTGTCCAGAACGCCCTTTTCAGTTGGCAAAGGTCGGTTTAGCTTTGTAGCAGCGACCTTTGGAGGAGCACTAGAACCTTGTTCATTGGAGGGTGGAGCTGAGGGTGGTGGAATGCTGTTCATCACAACAGGTAGACCCGCAGAGGCAAACAACCTTCCGAGTACGACCGGATCATAGCCTTCTCGGATCAGGTCATCATATTTGACACCACATAGGCTCATGTCCAGAATGGCAGCCTGTGCGGCCTGACGGAGGGACGAGATCTGTGGAGAGGTGGAGGCAACCGAGTCCTGTCCCCTCATGTGACTGTGCTGTGTAATAGATGGGTGACGTCCTCGTTGATTCAGCCCTAAAGCGCTTATCATCAGTAAATGAAGGGGAAAGAGAAAAAAAGGGGGAGGAGAGGGCGCATTCTCAGAGAGAGACGTAGCCGTATCTTCCTTGAGAGCGCGTGCACCACTGACCTTTGCCCTTGTCACCAGTCGTTCGTTGATCATGTGCGGCGCTGTATCTGTCATTTTTAGATAGAATTCTCCCTCCACCGTTCCTGTTCTGCTGTGGCGGTGGGGGTTGGGAACGCGACGATTTTGTTGGTCGTGGCCGTGTATTCCTGTTGTTCCAAAGTTGCTTTGTGTCAGTAGGTAGACTCATTAGGGGTGTTTGGCGACTGTCTGGATGGGACGAGAGTTGTGGGGAGCTGGGTCGTCGCGAGTGGTGCGAGGAGTACCATTTATCAGGAGGCACCATCGGCAGATGGTCGACGGTAGGATGCAGCCCTATAAACATACAGTGAGAATCGCGTACGTGTGCGTGCTCGACAGGACCACTGGCGGCATGATGGCACGCGTGGTGCCATCGTCGGGACGGGTCCACCTACCTTCGTCGCCGGACATGTTCATGCCGATGCTGGAAGAAGGACTGGCCAGACTCTGAGCCTCCGAGAGCTCGCCCTCTTCGAGGCTGTCTGATGATTCGTCGTGAGTGTTCATGGTGACGGGTGGGGCGCGTTCAGTAGGCGGCGCAGTGACGGTGTCAGTCTTTGAGAGAATTGGTTGTCGTTGCATCGATGGCAAGATGCCGGTAACTCGCCTAGCATCAGCAGCAGCAGTAGCAACGGTGTTACTCGAGGCAGGCGCTGAGGGAACGTCAGTCGAGTTAGAGACAACAGCAGCTTTCTGTGGAGCAAAGTTGAAGTTTCCAAATGCTGGTGTCGGAGGATAGCAACTCATGGCGTAGATATGGCTGCGCAGCAAAGGAGAAGGAGAGTGGAAGGGGAAGTGGAAGGGTAAGGATGATGAAGACGAAAGCGGGTGACGATGTGGCGGCGTGGGTGAAGTATTCCCTCTCTCACGTCACTTCTGTTTCTCTCTCTTTCCAGCTGTGTCTCTCTGTTATCTCTCTCTTCTCTCTTTCTCTTTCTCTTTCTATTTTTCTCTCTCTCTTATTTTTTCCTCTCAGAATAGTTATCGACACGCGCCACGGAGAACTCGAGAGGAATGCCGGCGATGAATCTGATGGAGGGATGAGGGGTGGAGCAAGTTGAAGTTGAAGAGAATGGAGGAGGAGGAGGAGGAGGAGTGTCGATGATGGAGTATTCCGCCTTACTTCTACTTCTTCTGCTCTTGAACCCTTATTTTCTTTTCGCGCTTTCTTATCACTTTCCACCTATATATCCAACTCTTTCTATGAATCGGTCTCTTCACTCTCTCCTTCGCCTCTTAGCCACTTCTTAAGCAGGCAAGGGCAAGTGTTAGTGGTAAAAAGAAATCCGGCAGGGATTGGGGTTCAGGAAAATCGCTCCTTGAGGTTAGTGACGTTGTCCGATAACAGCACAATCAGCACGAATGTAGCATCAGCAGGTGGTGATGATCAGGCCTCTTCAGCTGCTGGGTCGTGATGTAGTCAAGTGTGGTAAGTGCAAAACTACAACCGCTGTTTTGAGTGTGACAAGTTTGATGTGTGTAAGTTCCCGTCTGTCGATGAAGATCGTCTTGCTGCTTCCTGTGGTTTTAGCTTGAAAGAGCTGTGATGAAAACAGCAAAATTTCCAGCCGGTTAGATGCTTGCTGCTTGCTGCTGGGTCGGCGGGGTTGAGATGAATTGGATGGAGGATGGTTGGCGGGATGGTCGGTGGGTTGGAAGGTCGAGAGGTGGCTTGTTATTAAAAGACCGCTAAATGAGACTGAAGCGGAAGTTGAGCCGCATGGTGTGGAATTTACCGAATATGATCACTTGAGCACGTGCTCTCGGGTCCCGTGAGTGACTGAAGCTGACGAGAGAGAGAGGATGGAGATGAAGAGTAAATTGAACAGAATTGGATGAAATTTGGCCTGAAGAATTTGCTCCATCTCTCCGTGTGTCTACATAATCTACTTCTAAGACACGGCTCTTGTCTTCAATCGCAACCAACCCCTGTCTCCCCGCTTCGAAACCGTCCTCCTGCTATCAACGTCATCCAACCAATGACCACATGTCAATTACCTCTCTACCGCGCGTCAATGTCGGCAATCTACTGGCTTAGCGTTGCTCGCGATCCAGAACCTTGAAGTGGCATGGAGATCGAGGTCTAGGTGTTCCAACTACTTCCTAGCTACCACGGCCTCCATCCTCTCTCCATCCAACTCAATTCCATCCACCATCATCACAACTTCGACAATGGCTTCCCTCCGCCCACTCCGAACCCATCCCCTCCCAAAAACCTTCTTCACCGCCTCCGCCCGCAGTCTCGCCACCGTTTCCCCCACCTCCAGCTCCACCAGCAAAAATGACACCGGCACAGCCATCGTCCTCCTCAACATGGGCGGCCCCAGCACGATCCCCGAAGTGTCCACCTTCCTGTCACGTCTCTTCGCCGACGCGGACCTGATCCCGCTCGGCCCGCTCCAGAAATACCTCGGCCCGCTGATCGCCCGTCGACGCACCCCCAAAATCGAAGCTCAATACACCGTGATTGGCGGGGGCTCTCCGATCCGTCGCTGGAGCGAAATCCAAGCGCAGGGAGCATGCAAGATCCTCGATCTTAGCCACCCAGCCACGGCGCCGCACAAGCCCTACGTAGCGTTCCGGTATGCGGACCCGATTACGGAGGACACGTTCCTGGCGATGAAGCGGGACGGAGTGAGGCGGGCGGTGGCATTCACGCAGTATCCGCAATACAGCTGCTCCACCACCGGGAGCAGTCTCAACGAGCTGTGGCGCCTGGCGAAGAAATACGATCCCGAGGGTCAGATCGAGTGGTCGGTGATCGACCGCTGGCCTACGCACCCGGGACTGGTGAGCGTGGTGGCACGGCACGTCGAGGAGAAGCTGGCGACTTACCCCGCCGACCGCCGGGATAACGTGGTGTTGCTGTTTTCTGCGCATTCGCTGCCGATGAGTGTTGTTAACCGCGGAGACCCATACCCGGCGGAAGTCGCGGCGACGGTGCATGCGGTGATGGAGAAGCTGGGGTTCAAGAACGCACATCGGCTGGTGTGGCAGAGTCAGGTCGGGCCGAGTCCGTGGTTGGGCGCACAGACTAGTAATACGGTGGAGAGTTATGTCAAGAAGGGACAGACGGATCTGTTGTTGATCCCGATTGCGTTCACGAGTGATCACATCGAGACTCTGCATGAGCTGGACTTGGAGATCATTGAGGAGACGGGCCAGGAGGGCATCAAGCGTGCCGAGAGCTTGAATGGCGATCCAGAGTTTATTCAGGCACTCGCGGATATTGCGAAGTCGCACCTGGAAGGGACCCAGAGGAGCTCGAAGCAGATGGCGTTGAGGTGTCCGATGTGTGTCTCTGCCCGATGTGAGGCACAGAAGGTATGTCCCCGCTTGCTGCCTATAATCCAATTGGTGATTGCTAACATAAACGGGTAGAATTTCTTTGCTACGGGGAAGCATCCGGAATAGACACAGGTGTGGAGCTTTGCGTTGTAGATGTGTACTCTAGATGAGCGAAGTGGAATGGTCAATCTCTACTTGTAACGGGAAAAGGCAGCTTTTATTGTCCGACACCCATTATGCCGCGACAGGTATATATGGTACATAGGACCTTCACATGGTCCAACTAATTCCGCCCCTTCTTTCCACCCTTCTTCCTCTTCTTATTCTTCCCGCCGCCATTAGTTTTCACCTCCACCACCTCATCCTCATTCTCACCACGTTTCCGCTTCTCCTTCCCTTTCCCAACAGCCACCTCGACCGTGGGCGCCAGGACTTCCTCTTTCCCAAACTTCCCCCTAACACTTCCCGCCCATCCCACCAAATCCGAAAAGAACCCATTGTCAATGCCTAACTTCGGATCCGCCACCCAGCGCGCCATCGTAGCCCCGTAGACCGCCGTGACTCTCGTCAACGTGTCCACCGTATCACCGTCAGCAGCGGCGAGTGTCCTAACGACCAATATGCTAGCCGAGGAGCATGTCGCCCGTCTTCCTTTCGCGCCGCCCTTGCCAGCCTCGACGTGCACAGCCTCCAACAGTTCCCAGGCGCGGTCGACATCCTCACCGCTCAACACCGGGAGTCCTTCGCGCTTAGAGTTATGCGCGAAAGTACGGACCACGCCGAACGCCTTCTCCTGGAGCTTCTGATCTCTCGTAGACCTTGACAGGACCAAGCATGGCAGCAACATCTCGAGCGCCAGTGGGCTCCGGGGCGCCGTCTTTGCAAAGATCTCGAGAAGCTCTAGGATCTTCGCCTTGAAGTGGACGATCAATTCTTTTGCTTCCTTCTTCTGCGACTTCTTGCTTGAGGCTTCCTTTCGCTTCGCGAAGATGTTAGAGATCTGCGCGTCGAGCGCGAGCATCGCTTCGTCGTCAAGGTCCGCGTCGGAATCGGAATCTTCGCCGGCGGGTGCGGAAAGGACGGTTTGGAGGGCGGCTTCGAGTTTGCGGGCTTCTTCTTCGTTGCGGTCGGCGACGGACTCGGACTCCGACTCGGACTCGCTCGCGGAGAGGAACTCAACGTCGGAGTCTTCGCCGTCGTCGTCGCCTTCGGGATTCGATAGCATTTCTACATCTGAGTCGAGATCTTCCATATCATCGTCATCCTCCTCCTCCTCGTCGTCGTTTTCGTTATCGAACAGCGTAGCTTGGCCGTCAAGGCCCTCTTTAGTCTCCAGCACCTCAAAGCAACGCTCTAGTCCCTCCCTGGTGATGGATCCACAAAAGGAGGTAAAAACGGTCTGTGCAAGACGCTTGAGGAGCATAGAGGGCTTGGACAAGAAAGAGAGCAGGATGTCCACTAGCACCGCAGACGGATCCATGTCCATGTTCATCTCCTCGTCCTCAATCACAGCAGTCTTTCCCTTCTTCGATTTCTTCGCCTTCGCTTCCAGCTTCAAAATCTTCTTCTGAATGGACTGCAGATCCTCGAGTACACTGAGCGCATCCGATTCTCCGTTGTACACTTGCAGGATGATGAGCGAGTAGAGGAGCTCGAACGAGAGGAGCTGGATATCGGCAGGATCCGATGCCCGCTTTTTCCGCAGCTTCTCGACCGTTGTGGTAGCTTTTTCCAGAGCCTCGGCGATCTTTTCGTCGAATTCGACCACAAATTTGTAGCTGTTCTTCTTCTCCTCCAGCTCGGCGAGGGTCTTCACCGCCAAGTACGGCCAGCTTTCGCTGTTGTCGACACCTGCTGTCAACGTGATCAAGTGCGTGAGCGAACTCATCAGTCGTGCTCTGAACATTCCTTGGCTGATTGTCGTCACGGGGACAACCGGCTTCTTTTTCTTGTCCACCACATCAAAGTAGCCATAGGTAGCAAACAGCTCGATGACCTTCTTGAGCCAGCTCTCGGATTTGACAGTCTTCCCGCTTCTTATAGCTGAAAGGATTTGATCCGCTGCCCATTGCCTCCGGACCTCCGCAACCTTCGTTCCGTCCTCCACGTCCGACAACGATCCGAGGGGATTCGAAATGACATCTCCGAGCACCTTGACGACCTCGACCAACCCGGCTTCATCGGCGGAACACAACACCTTATCCACGGTCTTGGTCCGGGTGAGCTGATCAAAGTTCGGCGATCCATTGTTTGCCACCAGCTGCTTGAAGATAACTGGCGCTGTCCACGCTGCAGATTCTGACTTTGCAATCAGGGCACGCGAGACCTTCGCCGCGGCCTTGTTGAGGTACCGTTCTACATCAGCAAGCTGGTTGGTCATGCAGCGCATGAAGTTCTTGGAGAACATGGCGGTGAGGTCCGGGGGTGTAGTGATGCGGTCCAGGGCCTTGAGGAAGAAGAGGAAGCCCCAGAATTTGCGCTCTTCGCTTGATGAGCTCGAAAACAGGCTTTCTGGGCGGGTTATGAGTTAGCTATGGTCCTCATAAATAATGATTATGGGAAAACCCAGATGTATGCCAGTCACAAAGTCCCGAGTCTCTCAGTTCGGAGAGGTCAGGGTGGAGATGGCACAGAACGAACGAATATTGCTCTCCCACGTATTCCGGTATACGTCCAAACCATAGATGACCGCAGGATAACCCTCCGAAGAGGATTCACAACGGCCAGCTTATCCATAGGCAAAGGAATGTGGGTCAAAAACACACGGGAAAAGGCAAGAACTCACCATCAACAACCGCCCTCCAAAACTCGGCCCACTCCGCCGCAGCCGGTTTCCCTTCCCTGACCGCCTTCCATTGCGCCTCCTCCGAAAAATAGACATTGAGTATCGACTCCCAGACGAACCCAAGTTTCGGATTCCAGCTGCCCTTGGTCTTGATTCCTTCCTCCTTCGCCCCACTCTCCTTCAGCACTCTGGCAAGCGTCGCTAGATTCCCGGTGACCAGTGGCGATCCCTTGCTCCACACATCCTTTGGCGGGGTGACCTCGGGCAAGTGCGCTCTCAGCGCCAACCAAATCCCGACGCCCTCGCCAGTCTTCGCCATTCCGCTCGATATCAACTTCGCGTAGGTGATCTCGGCAGCCTTCGCGCTCGTCTCCTGCGGCCACCTCGGAACACTGGCGGCAATAGTCCAAGCGGAGGACTCCATAAGCCAGGGCTTCTTATTCGCGACCTCAAACAGCAGGTCCAGGACGGCCGGATACTTCTCGGTCACCGCATCCTCCGTCGAGAAGAGGATATTGCTCTGCACGAGACTCTGCAGCCCAAACAGCCGGCCCAGCCACGCATCGCGCTCCTCCTGTCCGCTCGAGTGGCCCTGCGGCGTCGTATTCTTCACCACCGCTGTTACCGCATCGTCCAGAGAGATCCCCCACTTCTCGGCATTCCCGCCGGCGGCAAGGTTCGTCAGGAACTGTGTGGCTTGCGCCGTGATCAGCCTTAAAAAACTCCCTGCCCAAACTCCCCCGCCCACCCTCCCAGCGCATGAACTCACCTCCGTCAACACCACGGCAAATCCCGGCCGTGCGCTATCCCTTCCACTGCCAATTCCCCTCGTCAACCGCTTCAACGCATAGTCGACGTCGGCCTTCGACTTTTCTGTGTGTTCGCCAGCCAGGAGTTCCGAGAGTTCGCCAGCGAGCTGCTGCGCAGCCTGCAGTCGCACCGCCTCGTTATTATCGCCCAGAGGTTTGTAGAGACTGAGCGACATCGTTCGTGTGTTGCTTGCTGGTTGCGTGGAGAATGGGGAAAAGGAGAGTGGACGAAGGACTCAATTCGAACTTTTTTTGCGACAGCTGCATGGGTAGCAGCTGAAGCTAGTCAGACTAGCGTGGGGCGCACTCTATTTTCTGAATTAGAGACACGTAGTTACCCGGCGTACGCGTACCATATTACCGCGCCCCCTCTCCCTCCCTCTTTCCTTCTTCACACAACATCCACCACGGTTCGCCCCCCGTTCCCCCTCCATTTTCGATCAACTCCCACTAAAACGAACAGACCTTGATGACGACAAAAGAGAGCCCACACCGCTTCCCCTCTTCCACGAGGGCTCGAGGCATGGATGACACCGAACAGAAATCGTAGAGGTCGATTCCTCTTCCGCTTCCGCTTCCTATCTCCGCCGCCGCCGCCGTCGTCCCTCGCCCCCCCCCCCCCCCTCATCCCTTTCCGCAGAAATGACGACAAAACTCCGCACTCCTAGACCAGCACCTCCTCCTCCCAGCGAGCGAGCAAGAAGCAGTCGATGATGGGAAAGCAAATATATAGTTTTCAATCGGATCTAGTCCTCGGGTCGGGTCCGGGTCGGGTCCGGGTCGGGATCGGGGGGACGGTTGGTGGTGGTTGGTGGTGGAAGTGGGAGAGGAGAAGTATGGATGTGAAATATACCCCCAGATGATGACCATTCCAAAAGCCAAATACGACTTCTCCATCGACCCGGCGGCTCTCTCCGTGCTTGCTATACTCCCCGACCAAACCTCCTGTCTCGGTGGGAGGGCGGGGATGCGACCGTGGAAGAGCTGCAGGTGGTCGATGATGAATAGAAACAAATGGAGAGCTATATGTCTGATGGGATTCGTGTATGTCCATAGTATGTAGCAGAATATATAATAACTTAGCAAAAGATAGCTGTGGGAAAGACAAGAAGATGTATCACGAGATGGGAAAGTTGATTTCTGGTCATAATGGCGTAAAATACACACAGCTCTCCCAGTCTGTCCTCTCCTTTCTCTTCCGGCTCCTCCGATGTATCCCCCCGTCCTCCTCCTCCAAAATCCACAAGACAGTAGGAGTACAGACTCGACTCAAACAATGACAAAGGAAAAATACCGAAAAGGAAAAAGAAATATGGCAAGTCCAGTCAGTCAGTCTCTGGAGAAGAAAAGTTGTACAGGGTGCAAAAAAAACAAAAACTATAGAAAGTTGACAAAACAAAACGCCGTGCTTCGGAATCAACCCAATCAAGTGATTGGTGAATGAGATTAAAACACCATAAAGCTCCGCTTTCCCAATCCAAGCCAATCCAATCCAATCCAATCCCACAATCTTCCCCCCCCAAGCGTATCGTATCGACTCTCTGCACCCTTTCTTTCCTTTCCTACCTTTCCATTGAGGCTCCTCGCTGTAGTAGCAAGTATTGTCAGCATTCCCAAGACTCCTTCGCTCACACACTCTTGCAGACAGACAACCCAACCCAGTTTCATACAAAAGGAAAATGCAAATGTGTATAGCCTACACAGATGCGCACACAGAACGAAAAGAAAAAAGTGTTGCGGAAAGGATAGAGAAAATGACCCGTTCAGTAAAACCCCCCCACTACCAAAACCCAAAAAGGAAAAAAGGAAAAATTAAACAAAAAAAATCACTCGATGACACGATGCAAGCTTAACCGTGCGAGTGCGAGTGGTTGTGGGCCTGTCCTCGTCGGAAGACGCCAGCCTTTCCGCCTTTCCGGGGGAGTGTTCCGACATCATGTTTGCCTAATGCACATGTTAGAATATTGAATCACAATCGGTGATGGGAGTAACAAACCATCGCAGCACGCCCTAACATTCTCCATCCGTTCCAACTCAACTTCCTGACGCTCCATCTGCTGAAGATCTTCCGTCGAATTATCATCCTCGCTGATACCGTACACGCTATTGTCGTTCCTCGAGCTATGGCTGCCAAAAGCAGACGCTGGTCGGAAGATATTACTCAATCGCGATAAACTCCCCTGCATGCGCTCCCGTTCGGTAGGTCGTCGGTTCGACAGCGAAGATGCGTTCCGTGTGGGTGATGGTTCCCGAGTCACGCGCGACCGGAATGACGAATATGAAGCAGCGCCACGCACGGTAGGTCGCAGCGAGCTCTCGGTGCTGTATCCACCTTGAGGGTTGTAGTCCCGCATATCATCGTCGTTGAGAGCCGCAGTGTCGTCGATAGCTCCATCTTGTCCGTCACGAAGCAACAGGTACGACAGCGCACTGAACCACGTCTCGTGCCGTTGGCTGGTAGGTGCTGTGAACTTGAGCGTGCGACCGGGGGTGATGATGACCAGACTCTTCCTATGCAGTCCGGGGGGCATTGGGTTATCGTCCGTCACGACCCTGACAGCCTCAATGGCAACACTCTTCGCGCGCAGCTCTGCTCGACCCGCTGACTGTGGATCCCGGTCGCTCCAGTACAACGTCCTAGTATACGGATGGATCCAGAAGAATCTCTTGTGGCGGGTGTGCGATATTGTGCCTCGTCCGGTGTTGCGCGTGTACTTCCATAGGTATTCGCCAATCATCGTCTGAGTGATAGCCTGAATGACTCTGGGATCGGTGGATGGTGACTCGCTGCCGGCACCCCGGGCGGGATATCCATCGTTCTGAATGTTGAAGCGATCGTCCATTTCGGTTACGAACGATGAAAGCGATGAGCGACGCGACTCTGGTGAGGAAATCTCGCTTCTTGTAGCAGAATATTTCGCCGATTGCTTTGGTGTGGTGCCTGCATGCGACGTTGACGCCGGTGTTATTGGTCGACGTGATTGGTCCGATTGACCAGGTGTGCGTGGTCGGAAAGACACGTTGGCCCTCTGTGTTGGTACTGGTGGAGGGGCCATCGAGTGGTCGGCTGACGACCCCATCTTCTGTTGGGCTGCAGCGATGTGTTCCTGATGGTGTTCTGGCAGCGGGGGGAACCCCATTCGCTGTTCGCGCATACTCGATGAGCTGTCTGGGCGAATCACCGACGACGACGCTGAAACAATCCGAACACCACCAACTTCACCGTTCAGCCTGTTAGGCAGAGGCAGTGCGATGCTCTCCGTGGATGCCAGCGATCGCAGACTTGGAGTGGGCGCCACTTCCCTGACCGAGGCTCGCTCTGACGTGCTACCGAAAAGAATTTTCCTAGGTGTCTGCACCTGCGGCGGTTCTTTCACGATATTGATGAAAGCATCCGGCGAAAGTTCGGTTTGGATGCCTTGATCAGCTGTCGATACAGACATGTTGAGCGCGGGCCGGCGGGGGGTGTTCTTCTGTCGGACCGTGCCCTCTTCCATACCATACTCATCGTCTGATTCCATAGAAAAGCTCTTTGCGCTAGGTGATGCGGCGCGCTCGGCACGTTCGGGTGTAACTGGCAGTTTGCGCGGGCCGAACAACGAGCTGAAAAACCCTAGGCCTCCACGCCCGATGTTAGAAGTTGGCGTAGTTGACCTAGGCGGCGGCGACGGCGACGAGTCCCCGTCGGTAGTCTCGGATACCTTCTTTGGCGTAACCTCGTCCGAAGAAAACGATGTATCGACAGTTGTGATAATAGGCATCGCTGTTATTGGTGGTGCAGTTTCGCGAACAGGACTGATAGGTTCGGTTGACACCGCCATGATCTTGGAGAAATCGAGCACAAGGGCCGGTTTTTCCACAACAGGCTCCTCGATAGGCGCAGTATCCAGAGATTCCCCCTTCACCAAGGTAAAGGTTTGGATCTCCTTCGGCTCCTCTTTTCGAGGCACCATGATGATAACTGGCTCCGGCAGCGGTTCCTCTACAGGCACCGTCTCTAGTGAGCCTCCCTGTACCAGAGCAAATTTCTGCATGGGCTCCTCCACAGGCGCAATCTCGATAGAATCGCCTTGTACCATAACAAAGGTTTGAGTGGCCTCCTCCACGGGCGCAACATCCACGGAATCTCCTTTCACCAGGACAAAGGTCGGTGGAACCTCGTCCACAGGAACGGTCTCCACGAAGTCTCCCTTGACCAGGGCAAATTCCTGGGCAACCTCCTCCACGGGCGCAATATCCACAGACTCTCCCTTTACCAGGACAAACTCTGGAGCAACCTCCTCGACCGGTGTAGTATCGATAGACGGCCCCTTGACCAAGGCCAAGATCTGATCAACCTTCTTCTCCTCTTCCCGAGGTACCATGATGATGACTGGTTCGGGCAGGGGTTCCTCCACAGGCAGCGTCTCCACGAGTATGAAAACCGGCGATAATTCCAGCATAGGGAGAACCTTAGCTTCCTCCTCGGGTTCCGGATCGAACTGCGTTCCCCTATCGGACACATCCTTGCTCGGGAGAGGGATCGGCGCGACGATGGGTACGAATACGGTTTCCCGTTCCTCCTCTTCGGACTTCTCTAGCTCGGGATCGAACTGGGTTCCGGACTCTGATGTCATCAGGACGGGCTCCGCGTCGGATTGTGTACCGAACTCAATGGTCGCCGGTACGAGAATCTCGTCAGACTGCACGCCAATCTCCAAGGTTTCCGGTAGGATAATCTCGTCCGACTGTGTACCGAATTCCGAAGTTTCCGGCACGGGGACTTCGTCTGATTGCATGCCAAATTCCGAAGTCGACGGTGGCTCAGACTGATTACCGGACTCTGCAGTCGACGGCGGCTCGGATTGGGTACCGAACTCTGTAGTTGATGCCGTGTCGGATTGTGTACCGATCTCCAAAGTCTCCGGCAGAACAATCTCATCGGACTGTGTGCCGTATTCAGTAGTTGACGGCGCATCGGACTGCACTCCAGTCTCGGCGATAGATGGCTTGACTTCCTCCTCACTCTGAACTCCTACATCGTACATGACAGGGAGTGGCGGCAACTCTCTGAAAGTTTCCAGAGTTGGCTTGCGGTCGAAGGATCCCACACCCAGCATACCAGAGTCATTGACAACGGTGACGGCGGTTGAGGGACGATCGCTTGCAGCGTCACTTGCGGAATCGTCAAGTAGAATCGGAATCTCTGGGTAAGGTTCTTCCGTCATGACGCCGGAATCCACCATTTCAACCATCTCACGAGGCATCAGGGAGGGCGACAGCAACCTGCCGGGCGTATTCCTCTCTCCATACTCGTCTCCGTCCGCAGACATCATGCCAGGGCTGTTGTTACCAAGCTCGGCAAATAGACTCTTGTGAAGTCCGTGCGGGACGGCGGAAGTGCGGAAATTGAAGCCGCGAGGAGAATCGTTGAAAGACGCAGGGCTTCCGAGTCCAGAAGCAGGGCTGGAACCGATGTTGCCAAAGACGTTGGAATTGAACATGCTGCTGTCAGAAGAAGTGATCCTTTGGGTTGTTTTGCCTCGGGCCCTGTTGAGACGCAGCTTCATCCTAGGATTATTGACGTGCGATGGTGTCTTCAGGACTTCTTCGTCGTACTCGGCGTCGGGGGAATACATATCCTCCTGCTCCTGCTGGTAGCGGTAGAAAGAATCGTCATATTGGTCGTCCTCATCTTCGGTAGATGCAGTAGACACAATGCTGCTTCGTTGATGGCGCAGCTTGGTCAGACGCAATGGTCGCAAGCTTCGCGACGAGAGGTGGGAAGCCTTTGGTTTCAAAGATCGGGAAGGTGTTCCCTCGGTCTCGGTCAGCTCATCGCCGGATGTGGGATCGTCGTAGACAGGGCTCTCGCCCCTATTGAGGTAGGCTTCGTTTTCTGTGGCAGTGTCGAAAACGTCGCTGCTATCCTTTTCATTGGCCGTCTCAAACGAAGAGTCGCCCTCAACATCAGTGGGAGGAACACTCGAGATGTACGCGCCAGGGGTTTTCCCGAAGCGAGCATCCTCGTCGTCCAGATCTGCCTCTTCCCAGTCGTCATCGTGCCTTGCGATTGGCGACTCGGTGACGATTTCATCGCGGCTCTTCCTAGCGATTCCCAGCAGGTTGATACTGCTCCGTGGCAGCTTCTTGAACGTGCCATCCGGCCGACGCCTCTTTTCCTTTTGTGGTGGACTGGAAAAGCCACTGCGTGCGGACTCTAGTTCGTCCCTGGTCTCCTGTAGCATCCGCTTGAGTTCATTCTTTTCGGTCTTCTCGCGGTGCATATTCGATCGCAGGTTCTGGATCATTCTATGGGCATGGTGGAGACTGGATTTTAGGGTTTCGGCTTCCAGTTGTCCGTGTCGTGGAGTGTGCTTTGTCGGCGACGGGGGAGGAGAACCATCTTCATTATCGTCATCCGGAGCGTCGATGCCGAATGGGTCGTCCCTGTCGTCGGCCTCCTGTCGTTCCTGCAAACTCCGTAGGCGCATGGTGGTCTTGTAACTCTCCTCCAGTTCCGCCTTGAGCTCCTCGACCTTGCTCCGCAGTCCGGTTTTCTCGGTTTCGTGTGTAGCCAAAGCCCTGCGCAGCGACCCGATTTCCGTCTCGGTGTGCTTGGTCCTTGTCTCGAGATCGTCGCTGATCCGCGCAAACTGGTGCTTCATATCGTCCAGCTCTTTGATGACCATTGTCTTTTCATGTTCGAGCTGTGCGATGTTGACTTGCATGCGGGTCTCGACCTCCTTCTGTTCGGCTTGTTGCGATCGGAGATCCTGGATCATGAGCTCAAGGTTCCAGTTTTCCTCCTTGAACCGTTGCTCGCTCTCGTCTAGCGACCTCAGCCTGGCTTCGATCGACTCTGCATGTTCCTCCAGCCTCGATTTCTCCAGTTGCACAATCTTGAGCGCCTCCTCCCGTTCGGACAGAAGAGCCTGCAGTTTGCGCACCTCGGCGATAAGACCTTGGCCCAGTTCGGCCGCGAACTCGAGATCATGTGTTCGCGAAGGAGCCTGATTCCGTTGTCGTCGCGATGGTTTGGATGGCGACGCAGCCCCCTGAGACTGTAGGGTCGAGGGGTTCGAATTATGCTATTTCTCATCAGCCATCCACTCCTTTCCAAACCCACATGCCGCATCACCGACGCCCATTCCGTATCCATCGATCGAAGTACCCACATTAGATCTATTCAGCGGCGACGCACTACCCGTGCTCATGATCTTGTTCGTCAACAAGGCTCTCGACGTCTCACGTCCGACCTCATTGTACTCTTTCTCAAGCTCGGCCAGTTTCCTCTTAAGTTCTGGGTCGATCTTGCCGCCGCTCGCCTCCAGCTCCCTTAATCGCGCTTCGATCTCCTCCTCCTGCTTTACCAGATCCTCGCCTAGTCGTTCGGCGCCATCCTTCCGTTTCCGCGTCTCGGCAAGATGTGCCTGTAACGTGCGCTTGAGCTGTTCTGGGGAAGTGGTGGGGCGGGTGAGAATCGGCGGGGAGAGGTCTAGTGGTGTGGATTCGCGCACCATCCTTGGGGTCGTAAAAGGATCGTCCATGTCTGCAGGCGGCGGCATGGAGGTGCCGGGAGGATTTGTGTCGTTAAAAATGAATGTTAAAAGAACCTATTGGCGATGTGGAGCGAGCGATTAGACCCCAGCCGAAAACAAAACTGAAGTCGTAAAGAACACCGCGGGCGACTGAGAAATTCAAGAAGAAAAAAGAAAGGGTGATTAAATGACGGTATGTTGGTGTGGTGTTTCGTGAGAGATCCGATAGCGCGCGGCCCCGAGATAAACTCTGTACTGCTGCTCTCGTCCCTCGTTACTCCCGAGAGAGAAAGAGAAGGGATTCCAATGGAGTAGTCGGACAAGGCAACTGGTGTGTATTACAATAACGAGACAAGTAGTAGATGAAAAACGAAGCGTGAGAGAGGATGCTGTTGAAGCGACGAATCGTCCCGCTGAGCCCAGGCGGAAACGTCGAGATGTTTGAGTATTGGCGGGGAACGGCGGCGGGAGTCGGAGAGTCGGAGGTCGGAGGGAGTGGGAAAGGAGGAGGAGGAGAGGAGGAGGAGGCCTAGGTATCTGACGCGAGGGTTTGGTGGGTATGGTGGTGTAGCGGGAAGGTAGTGGGAGGTAGCGGTGGTGGTGGAGGGAAGGTAGTGGGTTGCTAATTCCCTAATTGCAAGTGCGTCTTTGCTGGCCCAAGCCCAACGGAGTCGAATCTCCAAGTAAGACGCACTACGGGCAAGAGAGATCAATCCCAGATCGTGACGACAGCAACGACGGACGGCGCTGACAACGCCACGCGTAACTAGATGGGGGTAGGGCTTCGGTTGCTAGGAGAAAGAACGTCAGATTGGGCTTAAGGTCCACCTAGTTCCTGAGTCGCGCATAGAGTGGGAAGAGGAAAGCGTCAAATCATTCACGCTCGCACACAAGGGCACCACAGGAGGGGATGAATAGAGATGATCAAGAGTGAGGGGAGGGAAGGGAGGACGAAGGGAGGGCGAAGGAAGAAAGGAAGGGAGGGGGAAAAAACGAAAATGAATGAATGTGAGGGCTGAGAGATGAGTAGTGTGAGATGCGACAGTCTCGGATTGGATTAAAGGGCCAGCGACCAGTCGTTGGGTGTGTTCGGAGATCGATCTGTTCGAGGCGATGCGCGCGGGCGGCTGGTGGCTTATGATGGCACTGGTGGTGGCGGTGACGATGATGACAACAAACAAAACATCAACAATCGACGACAACAACAACAACACAACACAGCGCACACAACAAAACAACAACACAGCACACGCGATGTGGAGGGAGAGACATCCCCAGGGATATATTTATTATTCCCGACCGTCCCCAGACCGATACACGCACGATATCGACATGCACATCATTCCCACTTGCCATGGCGGGCAGGTAGCTGGTGACAACTGCGCTGCTGCACATCACCCTGGCTCAATCACGCACACTTCCCTTCCAGCTTACACGTGCTATGGATATGCGTGCTTGCAGAGTTCATTCCAGAGCGGAATCCTCCCCATCGAACTCACCTCCCTCTCCCCCTCGCGATCCTTGCAACCACGCCCTCAAGACTCAAGACTCAATCGCGTCTTGCCGCTTCTGTCCGATCCGGTGTCAGATATAGAGTGGGAGTGCAGATTCCGAAGTGTCAACAACCCATCCATCCTCTGGCCCCCCACATCGCGCTACCGACGAGCTCGAGTGATCCCTATGAAATGAAGCATTCTCTACTATGTGCCTATATTGCTAGGTATCGTCGATACGCGTCGGCGGAAGGCCAGCTGGCAACTGTCACTATCCGTACATAGAGTGAGAGCACTCCCTCCCGAATTAGCCTGAGTCAGAGCGAGATCCCTTGAGTCCTTGACTCAACGATCCGCTGTGCAACCAAACGCGCAGTTATTGCATTATTATTGTGCTCGTTTCGTTTGACGCAAGGAGCACGACGTAGCCGCCAGCCCACTGCCCAGCCAGCCTCAACAGGGAGCCGGAAAAGAAAGGTGAGTCCAGCGCCGCCGCCGTCGACGACGACGCGTGATCTACGTGATCAGAGGCACCTTGCCTTGCCTCGACGCGAAACGCGGGTGAGGGGAAATATGTGGGTGGTTATGTGGCATGGTTCTGGACAAAGCAATTTGCAAAAATCTACGGTACTCTACACAGCCCAACGGAACCCCGGCGGTTTACACACTTACCTTGGTTAGGTGATGAGTGGGTACCGCGCAGTGAGTGAGTGAGCAGCCATGACCCAGCGGCGTTGAATATGTAGAGCACCTAGAGGGGAGGCACCGATTCGCACTAAGAACCCACTTCCAATCCCCTCTTCGCGTTGTTTAGGCCCAATTCTAGGGTCTCGGACCATAGTAGGGTCTCAGTGGGTCCGCAACGAGCGGATTTGAGTCGATCCCCGTGCTTCGCTGGACTTTGCACACTCTCGATGCAGACTACCGTAAACGCTTGATATCCGATGTCTACAACTCCTGACCTTCATTAACCCTCTCCACGCCCCGCGAAGCGCGGTGAAAACATTCCAAGACTGGAGTTAGGGCACTTGGAAGTCGGTCTAGATCTAGATGGGAGTGGAGGAATATAAAAAGAGAACAGAAACCGAATGGAGATCGAGCTTACCAAGCTTGGAAACCACCAAGTGAAACAATCGGATCGGTGAGAGAGAATCAGCTTACCTATTGTCGCATACGGTCTTACCAGACTACAATAGGTATGGCGACCACAATCAACTCTTGGAATCACCAGACCCCTCCGCCAAGACCACAAAATCCCGAGTGATACACTGTGGATAACTTTACAAAGCTCCAAGCCTTCACATTCGGTTTTTTTTCTCTCTCGCACCCTCCATTCCCGCTCCACTTCCATACCCATTTGATAACCCCACTTCTGCCCGTGATAACACTCAGCCCGCCTACATCGGATCATCAGATCATCGACAACAGCGACGACGACTCGGTGCAGAAAGGACGCCACCATCACCATCACCGTACAATACTAGACTACTGGCACCACCGTTCCGCCAAGGCTGAATCTGCAACCCAGGGCAAAATTGCACATCATAGCAGGTCCATCATGTGTGATTTGAAGTACCAGAAGTTGCACCTCGGTGGACCTAGGGTGGCGGTAAGGGCCGGTTGTGATCGCGTTGCGGCGGAGATCGGAGGGGGGGAGGGGGAGGGGGAGGATGTCAGTTTACTCCTTTACAGACTACAATGGCCACACAAGTGTCATTTCAGGCCAGCTCCGTGTACCATTTGTCTGAAGTAGGCGGGTGTTAATCAACACTAGAGCTACGACGAAAATCAAACACCCGCAAGATTCAAATGCGCGTTCACAGCCAGCAGTGGCGTCAACAAATCGTCCACTTTGTACCATCTCCCTTCAATCCACCGAGTAAAGTCCATAAATTGCTGCCAGGGGAAGACTCACCGACCGCCCCAAAACCGTACTGCGAGCTTCACGAGTGACCGTCTATGCACTGTTCCATGAGCAGTAGTGCCACATGCACAAACTGGCGCCATTCCCCGTCCCCGTCCCTACCCATTCTCTAACAGTCCATACTCCCACATTTCCCGTAATCCCATATATATCTCAAAGCGCATATATCTCCGGCCCGCGACGCGTATAGTTGCATTCCGTCGCGTCGCCCCACCCACCCACAAACTATACCATACCATACCCACCACAAGTTTACAACACAACACAAAATGTCGCCACCGACAGCAACAGCAACAGTAACAACAGCAACAGCAACAACAGTAGTCGAAGCCGAAGACGCACAGGGAAGATCAAAGTTTAACTACCGCCACCTGCAGCAGCTCGCGCGGTACTCCGTCGACTCGCCGTTTCGCGTTGTCGCGCTTGTGTGAGTTCCTTGTTTTATTGCCTGCCTAGAACGAGGGAGAGAGATACCTAGTGAGAGGGCGGTGATTGATACCTAGAATCCGAACGCTGCTACATATAGGGATCTCGATGCTTTCTACGTACGTGCGTCCCGTTCCGTTCTGCCATCACGGCCCACCACGGCTCGACTCGACGCTGATAGGATATGGGTGCAAGGCGCAATGTGAAATGAAACGGCTAGGCGTGTCGCCCGAGCAGCCGCTCGCTGTGCAGCAATGGCAGAGTGCGTGGATCATGGGGTGTTTTTGTAGGTCTACGTAGGTACTTGGCTTACGCGCGGGATGTCTACAGACCTTATTGCGGTCAACTACCCGAGCAGGGAGAAGGGCGTTTCGAGACATGTAGGTCGTCGAGGATTCGGGAGGGAGGGAGGGAGGGAGGGAGGGTGAGGGTGAAAGAGCGATGAAGGCTGATGAAGTCACGACAGATCACCTCGGCCGAGGCGCGGAAACTATGTCCGGACATCCAGCTCGTGCACGTAAGCACCCGATTCCAAGCTGCGTCTTGCACCCTTTGCCTTTACACACTTCTGACGATGCATCCCGCCCCAGGTAGCAACGTGGAAAGCCGGCAAGACCACCTGGTCCTACGGCGACGGATCCAGCGAGCCGGACATGGCGACCAGCAAAGCGTGCCTCGACCCGTACCGTGCCGAGTCCAAAAAGATCCTGTCGATCTTCCAATCCGTGTGCCCGAACGCGCGGACCGAGCGCGCGTCCATCGATGAATCGTTTCTCGACCTGTCGCGCGACATCCACGACCAGCTGCTGCTGCGGTATCCCGTGCTGCGGGGGGCGCCGCCGGACGGCGATTATGCCGCGCTCCTGCCGGCACCGCCGAAAGGGGTGGTGCTGAACTGGAGTGAGAGTCATCTAGTCACGAATGTGGGGGAGGATGAAGAGACGAGGGAGATGCTCATGGAGGAGGTGGATTGGGATGATGTTGCTATGGCGATTGGGGCGGAGATCACGAGGGGCCTCAGGGATGAGGTGTTCACGCAGCTGGGGTATACGTGTTCTGCGGGCGTGGCGGGGAATAAGATGATTGCGAAACTGGGGGCGGGGTTCAAGAAGCCGAATCAACAAGTATGTAGACGGGCATGAGTTACGAGTTGCGAGCAAGAAGCCCGAGCTGAGCTGATGTGGTGAATGGCGAGCAGAGCGTAGTACGCCCATCCGCGGTTGAACCGTTTCTGGCCACATTCAAGTTCACGAAGAGTAAGTCGGCACACCACCGATTCCCCTCTTAGCAACTGACGGACCGGCACCACCTACAGTCCGCAATCTCGGCGGCAAACTCGGCACACAGATCGCCGAGCACTTCAAGACCGAATCGCTCACAGAGCTCCTCTCCGTCTCACTCGCCTCCTTCCAGAGCCTTCTCTCCGACGACACCGCCACCTGGGTATACAACACTATCCGGGGCCACGACCGCTCCGCCGTGGAGCCCAAATCAGGTATCAAATCCATGCTATCAGCCAAATCCTTCCGGGACCCTTTGCCATCGTCGATCGCCGCGGCCCAACTATGGATAAAAGTGTTTATCGCCGACATTTGCTCACGGCTCGAGGACGAGGGGGTGATGGATGGCCGGCGACGACCCAAGACCATGACCATATCGTTCACGAACAAGCACTCGGGGTCGCGGAACAAGCAGGTCTCCATCCCGCCCGCGGGGAAGATCGGAGCGGAGATGCTGGCGAGGCTGGCGGAGGGCCTGTTGCGACAGGTTGCTGGTGAACCCGGTGTTTGGCCGTGCACCGGATTGAGTCTGCAGGTCGCCGGGATTCAGGATCGCGAGGAGGGGAATAGGGGTATTGGCGCGTTTCTGATCAAGGGCGATAAGGCGAGGGAGGCGAATAAACGACTCGGCGAGGGCGCGGCGGAAAGGCTGCCTACAGAGGAAAAGCGGAGGAAGGTCGATATTGCGGGACGGTTTTTTGCTGCGCCGGCACCGGTGCACGAGGATGGCGGCGGCGGTGGTGGGCATGCACAAGCACTCGAGGCCACCGCCGCGGATGCACAGCCTACATTCCGATGTCCGGACTGCGGCGCGGAGATTCCCGCCGGCGACGAGGACGAACACAAAGACTGGCATTTCGCGCGCAGCCTGATGCTCGAAGACCGAGCTGCAACCGCTAGGGAACGAGTGACGCAGGTTGCGCCGCCGGTGCCTAAGGGAAAGGCCAGTGGCAGCAGCAGCAGCGGCGGTGCTGGTGCTGGTGCTGGTGCTGGTGCTGGTGGGAAAGGGAAGAGGGGCAGGAAGGACCCGAAGAAGCTGGAGAAGGGGCAGAGGAAACTGGCGTTTTGAAGTTTTGAGTGAAGTCGGTGGTTGCTCTTTCGCGGCTTGTTTCTTTGTTTCTTTTTATTTTCCACATGTAGATATGAAATAGGTACGATAATCACGAAACGTTGCTTATATACCTAATACATGCGATGAAGCATGGCCGTGCATCTCATCCTCTGCCTGTAGGTACATATCTAAGTCAGACCCTCCAACAGTTCGAACTGGGAATAAAGTGGGGTTATTCCCGAACCAACCAACTGTTGGGGGGTAGTGAACTGAACCAACTGCCAGGTTTTGAACTGGGAAAACTGCTTGTCCCATCAGTTCAGTGAGGCTTAAAAGTTTGGGCCAAACCCGTTGCACCACAAACCCACCGGCCAACCGCCTAGTACAACCCACCACCGAGCCGCTACGTACTATCAACCCAGCGCCCAGTAGGACGCCAACGGTTGACGAGCTTCGAGAATATTGTTCATTGCCTGTCGAGAGTAATGTTCGAAACAGTCCTGCGTCGATCGAATGGTGGCTAGAGTAGAACCGCGGCAGCAACGTCATTTTCCCAAACTCAGCCGAATGGCCATTGACATTCTATCTATGTATTCCAGCCATGGCGGCTGAGGTTGAACGGCTCTTCTCCGAGTGCAAGATGGTTCTGACTGATCATCGCCATCCCCCAGGACCCAGGTACCGAGAGTGTTGAAGCTCTGGAGAGTACATATCCAAGCCAAAGGCATTGATCTCCGTGCGCGTGGTTGGCGGGGTGCCATCTCGAGTCAACAATCTTGATTGACGCAGATTGACTCGGATTGACTCAGGTGCATGTTTAGTCAGTAACCTTAATTGACACTGCACCATCAACTTTCAAGAGGTTCAATCGCCGTGCTCCCATGGGCACTATACAGGGTAGCATCAAAGTAGTAATTCAAATCTAGTACTGTACATACATCTTCGATCGCTTTTTCCGTGACAATTCAAAACTTGTATGTATTGAACTCATTTTCTACCGCTTTTTCCGTGACCATGGGTATGTACCTAGGTACCTATCCTGCCCACTTTGGCTGCCCTGGCTGGACTGGCTGAACTGGCTGAACTGGCAGTTGATTCACTAAACTGACAGTTCTGCCGGTTTTCCCGGGAACAACTGCCAGACATACATACCTAAACCAACTAGGAACTAATACCTACCTAGCCTCTGTTCCCAACTGAACCGGGAACAAAATCAACCAAAACTGAACTGTTTACACCAGTGTTGTTCCCATTTCGACTGACTAACTGTTGGAGGGTCTAGGTCATGTATCTTTAAAGTTTGAACTAACGATGATGTGGGCTTACACTCATACATACTGACTTATGCACTTACATACGAAGACATTCCAGACCTCCACACTCAAAGTTCCGCCCGTACTATACAGACATTATGTACATATTGGGCCGATCCCATTTTAATTTGCGAGGATAATTACCTACATACATACATAAAAGATGGACGGCCCGGCCCGGCCCGGCCCAGGACCGGACGGAACGGGGCACGGGGTGGGACAATCCGCTGATCCGCTGATCGGCGCGGGGGGGTATGTACCAAGGTGTCGGAGGGGAGGAGAGGAGGAGAGGCACATACTCTACACATTCAGCAAACCCCCGAAAAACCCGAACCCCAAAGCCCATCGGGATCCTATCGAGGAAGTTGGGGGTCGGCGGTCTTCGGATGTTGGAGAGCTCACGGAGATTGTGTTGCGTGGCATGGCCCCGCCTCATGCCCTGTCACTCGGCGTGTTGGAACTGCACGCTGGAGAGAGGGCTACATGGGCAAACCTCATTCATCGCCGCCACCACCGCCGCCATAGTCCCAGAACTTCATACCCAGGTATCTCCGGCAGGAGGGTCTCACTATCTCACTATCCCACTATCCCTAGGGTGGTGGTGCGTGTACACACCTACTTACAATACAGCACGATCACCAGCAGCATTATCACCAACAGCAGCACCACCAGCAGCAAATCTGCACAAACACTCTGGTAGCTCCGGGATGTTTTCCCTGGCGTCGTGGTCGTGGTCGTGGTCGTGATCGGACTGACAACTGACAGGTACTTCGGTAAGTACTTCGGTATTGCCCTTCGGCAGACAGGGAGATGGACGTCTCGACCACGGTACCGGTAACCAAGTAGGTACCGTACTGTGCACACACGCCGCCCTCGAGCTCGCCCTGGATCTGGATGTGTGTACGAACATCGGTTTTGGGGGGAGGGGGACGGATGAACATTTGGGCGCACGCAGCGCACGCACCGCACTGACACATGGCCGGGGGATGGGACATCTCGATTCTCGGCTCTGGCTTCTCGGAGTGCAATGTGCAAAGGAAAGAGTGCAGAGGAGTGCAAACAGAGGCAGCGGAGTTGGATCGATAGAGTACCTCTTCGTGATTAGTGGCGTAAATGAACTGCCGGTATCTAATGTATTATGTGAAGTATGGTAGAGTGGAAGCATGAGATCTAGAGTTACTACTTCTACTAGGTGGTAACAATGTGGTAATTAGGTAAGTGAGTATACACAGTAGATGAGCACGTAAGTAGAGTAATAATCATGCACATGTAGTTACATGTTAGTGCAGCGCGGCTAGCCACCAGTGAGTGGCAGTGAGTGGTGGCAGCAACTCGTCCTCCTGGCCCGCCTGGTCCCCCGGGACCGCGAGGCGTTTCCCATTCGCTGTTCGCACCGTTCTGCATGGTGGGTGGTGGTGGTGGTGGGGGAGTATATCGCCCTCCGCGCTCCATCCATCCACGGATCCCAGGATCCCTGAGCACTTGCCTAGTCTAGTTATCGCGCGTCTCCGCCAGCGAAAACATCACGTGTCGTCGCCCTCGCGCCTGCGCCTGCGCGCCTCGTCTCGCCTCTGTGCACGTCCTCTCTCTCTCTCTCTCTCTCTCTCTCTCTCTCTCTCTCTCTCTCTCTCTCTCTCTCTCTCTCTCTCGCACCCCTATTCCCCTTCCCACCCTCCCCCTACCGAGAGCGCGCTGCGAAGCAAATCTGCGATATTTTCGCTGGAGACCTAGAGTACACCTGTACTTCTTACATACCGTACATACATGGCCGAGCAGACAGATGCACTCAATCGTCCACGAAACAGCGGATCGTGCGCAGGAATCGGATCAACGCTGCACTTCAACGCTGCACTGCTGCAGCCTGCAGAGCGCCCTGTGGATGTGGTATGGATGTAGTATGGATGTGGTATGGATGTAGTATGGATGTGGTATAGATGGTAGGTATAGATGGATGGATGGTATGTATGGATGGTATGGATGGATGGTACATATGCGCTCAGGAAGATCGCTTGCAGCTCGCTCGCAGTCGCTGCAACGTGGATGCGGATGGACCCCCAATAGAGTACCCGCGCAGCAGTTGATCCGAGATACTCTAGATAGAGAGAGGGACAGGAAGAGGGAGAGAGTGGGAGCAACCCCTGCCGGATGCACCCTGGACGATGCAACCGCAACTCACAACTCACCGTTCTCTTCGAACTCTTTTCCTCACTCGGCCGTCAGGAACTGTCAGCAACCGCGATTGCGGTGGATCGGGAATCGGCTGGAGGGATCGACGAGGAACGAGGGATCACTCGCCGCCGCTGCTCACCGAGCTAGTTGCCGGTAGATGCCCATGCTACATACCGGGAATAACTAGGGGCGACTGCAAGACCCAAGACCCAAGACCGACCGGCTGCTGCGTCCCGGGCAGCAGCGGCGGCGCGAGTGGCAACTGATTATCACATTCCATTCCAATCTTCCACTCCACCCCACTCGAGGCGGAGTCGGCGGCGACGGTGGTGGTAGTGGTGGGGTTGTTTTTTTCTTTCGGTTTCCTGTACATGCCGTACATGCCTGCCTGCATGTCGTTCCCATGTCTTACGACAGCCAGCCAGCCAGCCAACGACAGCGAGATGCCACACCACTGGCGGCCACTTTCAGCAGCAGCACCACCACTACCACCGCCACCACCACCAAAAATCTCCCTGGCGGCGCACACAGTACAGGCACACACCACACGGACAGACGGACAGAGACGAGCGCAGCACACACGACAGAGCAACGCAGATATCATACGCAGATGGGATACCTAGGTGGGTATGCATTGTCGACTCCAACGAGCGTAGCGCCAATGCACAGTCGAGTCGGGTCGAGTTGAGTCGAGTGTGCGGTATATGCGGCTGCGGTTTAAATCCAATAACTGTACTCTATTCTAGCAAAGTAAGTAAGAGGTAAGTAAGGTAAGTAACGGAGAGGGAAATGCCGGGACGGTTGAGAAACCCATTTGATGGATGGACAGCTATGTACGGCCACAGAAGAGGAAGTGCATCTAACTACTATGCACTCTGCTGTGTGGATGTGCCCCTCATTGCCCGATCCACTGCCATCGATGTTTCCTATTATAACACGCAATCGTTGCGGCTTGGATAGGTACCATCCGGGAGGAGGGGGGGGGCATTTGCTTGCACTCGCGCCCGAGCATCGACTGGTGCCCTTGCCGCCTACATACGAACGCTACACTCGGGGATGCGATCGGCCATTGAGTTCTGTGCCTGCAGCAGTAGCAGCAGTAGCCCCCTATGATAGGAAGGAGAGCTCCGATGTCTGTATGGTACTCTACTCTCGAACGGCTTCGCAGATTCGGATTCCACATCCCACCCCCTCACACCCAGCCGTTGCACGTTCCGCCGGCCAACGCCTGCGTGTGGATGTGGATGTGGATGTGGATGTGGATGTGGATGTGGATGTGGATGTGGATGTGGATGTGGATGTGGATGTGGATGTGGATGTGGATGTGCGTGTATGTGCGTGTATGTGCGTGTATGTGTGTCTCTCGCTGTAACGTGTGGTCCTGCGTATGCCGGGTGTCTCTCTCTCTCTTCCCTCTCGCCGTACATAACGTGTGTGGTTCTGCTCGCCCGCTGATTCGGCCGGGGATGAAATCCGCAACGTATGTATGATATGTAGCAAGCATACGGTATACGGTATATGATACATGCGCTGCCTTCGCTATTACTCTCGCCGGCAACATGTACCCATCGGCTCCCTGCTCGCAACGGCCTGCTTGCCTGCTTGCCAGTTAGCTGCCTGAGTGCTTATGCATCGCCAACCGCGGATGTTGGTGTACCGTAACCACTCTACCTAGCCACTGCACATACCATCGCCGCGAGCTTTTTCTTCGCACCGGTGATTCGTGATTCGTGAAGTCCTCGGCGTATAGAGTATGTAGCAGAGGCGTCCTCCAGCCCACACCGGGCTGGGCTGGGCTGGTCTCGCCGTGAATCGTCCGTTCCGTTCGTGGGGGTGCACCGTGTATGTACCTATCTGTGTGTGCGACGGGGAATCAAACCATGTGTAGAGTATTAATTCCTCCCTCCCCGTGTCCCGGCGTCCGTTCGCTCGTTCGTTCGTGTGCACCCAACCCACCCACTCCGTTATGTAGATATCGGACAGCCTGGACAGCACAGGACAGGACACGGTTCTCGGCGCACACCAACCCACCGATACACCGATGCAGCGATCCTTCACAGCGATAAATAATAATAATTAGCCAGGCAAGACAAAATATGCCCCCTTCTCCTACCCCACGACCCCGACGGGAGGAGGCGGGGGAGGTGGGATGGATGGGCCTGGGGATGAGAGAACATGTACCTATGGTGGTAAGTGGAGCCCGCCTGCCTGGTCACGGAAGTGACTGTACTGGTACTGGTACCAGTACTCTACTGTCTTTGCGTTCCACTTCCGTAGGTGTTGTGTGTGTTGTGTAGGTGTTAGGTGTTTATCTCTGCGCCGGCTGCTGCTGCTATCTATCTATCTATCTATCGACGGCAAGTACAGTATGTACATACATTATACACACATACGATCGGAGGGAATCGAATATTTATCTGACGATCGGAAACAGCATACACCATACACGGACTTGCGGGGGGAGGGGGGAGCTCGACTTGACTGCCGTGTATGTGTCGGGTTTTGGTGGGCCATACCCATACCTAGGAGAGGGAGGGAGGGAGGGAGGGGGGGGGGGGGGGGGGGTGGCAGTAATGCTAGAAGATGTAGGGAATAGGAATGCGAGTGGAGTGGAGGGGTGACGGACTGCAAGAGATCTTGAGATCTCGCACACTGCACTGCACTGCACCTAGTCACCAAACGACAAGCAGCAGACAGGCAGGCAGACGGGGACAGCCTACGCGGTAAGTGATGTGGCGCCGCTCCTCCTCCCTGCTGCTCCTGCCTGCTCCCTGCTGGAGAGGATCTACAGATGCTCCCGAGCTCGAGGTTGGCATTCATTTGGCATTTGGCATTTAGCATATGGCATCCGCACGGCCGTGGGTAGGTAGGTGGGTGGGTGGGTGGGTGGGTGGGTGAGCTGAGCTGGGTGAGTGAACATCCAATTTCTTCATATATCCAAGTAAACACGTCATTTTTCTGACTTCGGAACGACAGATTCGTTTCCCCACCGAGTGATGATGACCGTAGGTCATTGGATCGCTCACACGCACGCACGGAGGATCTGCTCCCCCTCCCCGCTGGCGAGAGTGCGCAAACGACACGGCGGTGACTAGTGAGGGACTCCAGCGAGGGACTCCAGCTCGGAGGGGGCAGCAGGAGCAGGAGCAGGAGGATGAGGATAAGGAGTTAACACCCGCATTCCAGCCATGGGGGCGGAAGAAGGTGACCACTGACCCACCACCCATCACCCAGCACCCAGCACCCATCCTCCAGCGGACCAGCCAATTGTCAGCCAGCAGGAACCCATCCCCGCCGGGATATATATGTACTCTACCCCGACGGCCTCACGCACGCACAGTTTAGTTTCGTTTCCCAGATCGCCCTCCCAAATCTCGATCGGATTCGCATATGGCACAAGTCGATTTTCCCCCATGTGGACGGCGCTGTCTGCTCTAGTTACTATACCTACTTTCCAATCCATGGCCCCTCCATCCCCATCCCCGCCCAGCAGCGCACTCACTCTCCCACCCCCCCGCGTGTGCACCACCGTGTTTAGTGTTTGGTGTTGGGTGTAGGAACACATCATCGATACGTATGTACGTACATACGCCGGGTGGGCTGCAGACTGCAGAGGTCAGGCAGGCTGGTATGTTCGGTCGGTCGGTCCCCGGGTCAGAGTCCAGCAACCAGGTGGTCCTGGGTGTCTATGTACGCAGCCACAGTCGCAGTCGCAGCCATCTGCCAGCACCAAGGTCTCGGTCCGATCCGCGGCGGGGGCGGAACAGGACCAAGTAGAGTATGTACTCTGTGTTCCTGACCCCCGATCGCTGGTACCGATTCACGGGAGGGAGGGAGCGGAGATTAGTCAAGCTCGGGCTTGGAAACTGACTGGGACGGTGGGACCTGTGAGGCGGCGGACGACATGTGTTTGTTGTTTGTTGATGTCTTGTCGCGGTTAGGGTTAGTTATAACTAGTAGTATGTAGATCCTGC